CCTCGGCTGGGCCAACAAGTTCCTCTTCTTCCAGGACATCAAGGTGCGCAATCGGATCAACAAGCTGCCCAAGTCCGGCATCAACGACGGCAACGCGCTCTTCATCTTCGACGACCGCCTGCCGTACGGCTTGTCGTCGCAGCACCAGAAGACGATCGTTATTGCCGCCAACAAGTCCACGGGCAAGGACGAACACCCGATCGCCTACGTCGGCGGCATCGACCTCACCAACGACCGATGGGACACCATCCATCACAACGTTTCGGCGCTTCGGAAGGAGTCGGGCGTGCACTTCCGCAACAGGGGCTGGGTCGACAGCAGCATGCGGATCCACGGCCCGGCAGCCAAGGACGTGGCCAACAACTTCCTCGCTCGCTGGAACTCGCTCTACCTGCCGACGCAGAGTCTCGGAGACGACGTCATCAACTTCGAGAACCCGCAGTACTCGTACCTGCCGCCTCTCGACTACGCCAGCAGCAACACCACGTCCAGGCTTGGCAAGCAAAACGTGCAGATTGTGAGAACTTTCAGCTGCAAGTACAAGCGCTGGGAGTTTGCTCCGAACGGCGAGAACTCGCTCTTCCACGCGCGGATCAAGGCCATCAAGAACGCCAAGAACTTCATCTACATTGAAGACCAGTACTTCATCCACGTGCCCGAGCTGCTGGACGCGTTGATGGAGGTCATGCCGACGTTGCAGCGCCTGATCGTCGTCGTGCAGCCGCCGGAGCTGCTCACCAAGTCGGGCGGCTACGAGAAGTACATGTACGCGAACATGCAGCCACTGAAAGAAAAGTTCCCCAACAAGTTCAAGCTCTACACGATGAAGACGGACCTGGACATCTACATCCACAGCAAGCTCGTGGTCATCGACGACGTATACCTGGCGGACGGCTCGGCCAACTGGAACCGCCGCAGCATGACGTCCGACCCGGAGCTGGACGCCAACGTGGTGGACGACCAGCACGTCAAGACGCCCGACGGGATCAAAGTGGGCAAAGTGGTCCACGACTTCCGCGTGCGCAAGTTCCAGGAGATGACGGGCCGCAGCTACGAGGAGATCGACGCCATGAAGTTCCTGGACGCCGCGGATCTGTACGACAAGGCCGCCGCAGAGTCGTCGTCGCTCATCCAGAAGTTCGACGTGGATAAGGAATGGTACTACAACCTCTTCGGCAGTGGGGTGCAGAAGACAGTCGACCCGCAGGACACGTGCGAGGGCTCCTCATACAAAGCCTCGTAGTGTATGCAGTGGCGCTAGTACTGTACGACATAATATAACACAGATTATTTACTGGAAGGTCACTTCAAATTATGCTGGTTTCATCAAAATTAAATCCGCAAGTGGCCCAAGCCACCCCATACTTTTTGATGGTGCCCTCGGAAGCATCTAAAACACGATCTGGTACGTTTTCACGCTGTGGTTGCTGCTAGTTCAGGCGTCATTAGCACTCCTATCTTCCTACCCATGAAACCACCCCTTAGCTGTTCATTTTCGATACTCAAGCTCAGTTGTTTGAAGGGTCGAGCATGCGCTATTTTTAGAATCGACTCGATAGCAGCATTATCAGTGAAGTGGTTGCACATCATAGCATGCTCTGCTTTTAATAATGCTCTTCCTCCTAAGTGCAATTGCGTATCATTTAGAGCACACGCAGCGCTTTCCAATGATGTTTTTATCCCCATCTGGAAGGACCTAACGGATTTAAAGACTTTTGTCCTAGCATAGCAAAAGGCGGCTTTTCGTGACCTTCCAGTAAATAATCTGACCCTTAAAAGGGTCACTTAGCTGTCTAATATGGTAGAATTAGCTCCCATCCAACCGAGGCTCGTTGCTGACTTTGCACTCTCTCTATCGATCATACTAGCGCCGTAACATCCATCTAGAGTAGATAAAGTCCGCTTGGCACCTTTACAGTAATCATCACTTGCCCACACCCTGTTGCAGGTCCCATACAAAGTTGAGCCAATAGTCTCGACTAAGTACGAATTTACCCGTTTTGAGCACAAGATATATTGTGAAAACCGCTTCGTTTGCTCGTAAATGGATTGATTAGCACTATGATTTATTGTGGAAACCGATTAGATTGTCCGAGCGGATTAGCTGATAAAGCAGCGTTCATGAGAGATTTGACTGGTACTAAATCGGGGATCCATATAATTGCATACGTCATTGGTAAGGGTATGAATCAGTGTAGCGTTAGTAAAATAGGGATTGCCTCATTACCCGCCAACAATACGCGGAACGACCATTTACCACCACGAGCTGACTGTTTCGCGCTCCTACTAACGAGCAATAGCATCGCGTGCATTAAATACTTCTCTGTGAGCAGTCGACGTGTACTGCTATCTATTTATCAAGTTGTGAAGCCATATATTTGCGCTGTCATTTCTCGTCAGCATTAGCGTTTGTCAGTTTTACCTTAAATCTGCCGCCGAATGCCGAGTGGGTGTCGGACATTCGGGCTGATTAGCATGCAAATCAGTCGTCCAGAGCTTTGTAAGCCACTGAGCAGCTAAATCAGCTTGCCACATGGCGTTGTAGGCACAACAGACTGCTCTGTCAAATCAGAGTGCAAATCTTAGGCTGTCGATCTAATTAGGAGGTCGGATTTAGTAAATCCGACCCGATTAATCTTAATCATCTGCTTAACCAACCGATTTATAGTCCAATTAGACAATGTAATCGGTTCCCACAATAGCTCGATCAATTTGTAAATCGATCGCGCCCTGCGATGCATATGCGAGTGGATGTGCAGATTAGGCGATCGTTTTATGGAAGCCAAGTCGATATAGCCGCGCTTGGAGCAGAATGCCCACCTTTTGCAATCGAGCAGTCAAGTGATGCATCTATAATAGATCACGATCGATTTCAGCTCTGATTTGAAATCTGATTAATTTGGCAGATGAGATCTAATAAGGGGTTGCAACAGATGGGCGTTTTTGCTGGTTCTCACAATAGCAATCGAAAGCTTAGAATGTGGAGAATACACCTGGCTAGCTCATTCTGCATAAAACCGCACTGAATTGACATTATGTGGGTACTTGTTTTTTTCACCATATGATTTGCTAATACAAATCCCAAGTAATAAGTTTTTCAGAATGGACTGTCTCACGTTTTGTCCGGAGGGGATTTCGTTTTGGTCTTGAAAACCTGCACCCATCTCGAAGATGCGTCTCCAAACAATCTGGTCCAGTCTGCGTGCACAGAAATGTTTGTGCTTTAGCCATGGGCCATATACATATCCCCATGGCCCATGGCCCATGGGGGGATATTTATCACTACTGACCTTGATTTCGTCGTACTTCATCGCTAGTGACCTTGAATTCGAATATCGACCAATCAGAGAGAACCAGAGCTGCGATCAAAATTTGACCGCATACGTAATCAGCTATTCTACCATGTTGCACTGTGAGCTTCTACTACATTACACAGCGAGCTGATACCTACCATGCTGCACCGTGAGTTGCTACCAAGTTACACTACAAGTTGCCTACCAGGATGCATGTGAGCTCCCTACCATGTTGCACTACCATGTTGCAACATGAGTGCTCTACTGTGTTGCGCTGTGAGCTGTCTAGCATTTTACAGTGCAAGTTGCCTACCTTGTTATACTATGATCCGCCTACCATATTACAGTTCGAGCTACCATTTACATTGCACACCATGTTAGGCCTGTGGCATCGAGCGTCAGTTATCTCTAGCCTTGACCAAGACTCCAGCCCTGATTAACGATAATGAGCCTCACTTGATATATATGGCGAAGATGACCCACGGCTGGCGCGAACATTGAAGAGCGTGCGCATGTAAAGGAAGAAGTAGACGTTGGCATGAATATCATATATTGTCCTGTTTCGTACAAGAGGAACCGTGTGTAGTGCGTGTCATTACGGGCTATTGAGCATGCAAGCTCCCTGGTGTTGTTAGAGAGACAATCGTAACAAGCTTGTTAGGTGGGCTCAAGAAATCTAATGATGCGCTAATGTCAAACACAAGGAAGAATTCGCCCAGTTCCTCCTCACTACGTCAGTTAGGAACAGGGCGATTTCTTCCTCCGCGTTTATCGCGACGTGCCGAAGATGGGTGGCTGGAACCGAAGTATGCTGCCTTAGCAGCCTTGCAAGGCATTACCATGTAGCAGGTTTTGAGCGTGCTCTACGCTCGCCACGACCAATAGAAGCTCGCCATTTCAGCATATGGTGGATACATTGAGCATGTTTTGTTCACTTTCGTAGCTGTTCTGTGCACAATGTATCCAGCGCTTGACCGCAAGATGCGAAAGGGCTTCCAACAGCAAATCTTTGACAGGTTTTGAAGTATACTTTAATCAAGTCTAATGCTTATTCTGTAGGATACAGAATAAGGTCTGGGGCTAGAAGGGTTAGGTTGGATTGCCTCTGAATCAGAGGCAATCCAACCTAATCAGCTATTCTACCATGGTGGCGCACTCAGAGGCTCTGATTGGTCGATATTTGAATTCAAGGTCACTAGCGATAAAGAACGACGAAATCAAGGTCAGAAGCGATAAATATTCCCCATGGGGATACGTACCAGCTCCGTATGTCTCCATACACAAAGGTGTCTGGCTGGCCGTCACAGTCAGAAGCATCTGATCCAATGCGGCTACAATATCCTTGGTGCTGCCGACCCCGCACTTCTCCTTTCGCCCGGAGGCGACGCACCTCAAACTTATCAGTCGAAATGACGTTGCGGATATTCAAGGCCGCGCTAGTCCTGATCTGTGCTTTGGCCACAGCCCCACCCACCACAAGCGCAGACCGTCGACCTCTCGGACGGCTCCGAAGTCAGCCCCTGCTCAAGCCCACCGACTGGTTCCCCACGGAAGAGGAACTAACCGCCTCGCGCGGTGGCGCACATCGGAACGATCTGTCCGTCTTCACGTCGGGCAACGCCATAAAGCCCCTCACCATAACGAAAGAGTACTACGACTCGGTGTACGACGATCTCTCGGTGGCTGGAGAGGGTGATCGCATCATGCTCGCGGCCTGGGACTCCATACTGGTCCCGCTCAAGCCTGATGTCGACGTCACCGGCGCTACTTCGGGATACCACGCAGTCTTCGCAGGTGTAGTGGAGAGAGGTCAGCATCCTCGCTTGGGCCAGCCTGCTACGACGTGGACACAACATTGAGGCTCGCGACGATATCAACAATCTACCGGCCTCCCCGGTCAACGGCGCGCGCGCGACCTTCATCTTCGACGACCGCGTGCGATCCATCTCGTCGTCGCACCACCACAAGACGCTCGTCATTGCGGCCAACAGCTCCAGTGGCAAGGACGCCCACCCCATAGCGTACGTTGGGGGGACTCGATCTCACCAACAATCGGTGGGACACCATCCACCACAACAACTCGGCACTGCGAGACGCCGCCGGTACCACCTTCCGCCACCAGGGCTGGGTCGACGGCGAGCTGCGTATCGACGGGCCGGCAGCGAAGGACGTGGCCAACAACTTCCTCGCTCGCTGGAACTCCGAGTACAAGCCGTGCCAGGGCCTGGGGGACGACCTTCTGGACTTTGAAAACCCGGGCTACGATCACCTCGCCCCGCTCCACTACGCCGGCAGCAACACCATATCACACATTGGCACCCAGAACGTTCAGATCGTCAGGACTTTCAGCTGCAAGTACGAGCACTACAACGAGTTCGCTCCGTTCGGCGAGTTGTCCATCCTCCACGCGCGTATCAAGGCCATCAAGAACGCCAAGAACTACATTTACATCGAGGACCAGTACTTTATCCTCGTCCTTGAGCTGCTAGAAGCTCTAATGGAGGTGATCCCGAGACTGCAAAAGATCATTATGGTGGCGCACGCCCCCGTGGGCCAGATCAAGGTTACCGGTTATGAGAAATACTTCTACGAGATGCTGTCACCCCCAGAGGTTAAGATTCAGAACTCTGCCTGAATACCGAACGCCTGATATATATAAGGGCTCTAGGTTTATAAAGTGAGACCGCGTCGAACAAAAAAATACTGATCGACCAAAGTACGAATTGAGATTTAGGTACCGCGTTTGAAAGAGGGGCGTCTTAGCAATCTTTTGAGGCCCTCCACAACTTCTAACAGTTAGATTCGCCAAAGATATGACCCCGCGAAAAATTATCTCCCGTCCCAGAGCAAAATTGAGATTTTTTTATTGGCTACCCTGGTGTAAAATTGTACAGCGGATCCAATGATACCCTTCGTTTCTTCAAATTCGCAATCTCCAACTATAGTAACTTCAGTATAGGGATTTGTACTCCGGCGTAACCAGCTCGGCTTACCATTTCTCATAACAATTTTGATCAGCTCAATACAACGATACAATCAAACACGATGGTGTATCAACTTTTTTAACAGTGAAAGCGTAGCATGGGTTCGTTACACTGGTTCTGCCTGTTTGATTGGCTCAAATGTTCGCCCACTTCTCGCACGGCGGGCGCACAAGGGAACAGCATACCGTCGCTGCGATGGCTGCCTTCGTCGTCATGAACGCAGGCGCCAATCTAGGCGGGACAAGGTGGCAATTTGGGCGAGACCGCAAGCCGTCACAGCAGACCCTGTGGTCATGAAAACTACTTTATCAATCGGTAGACTCACTCGGTAGACTCGATGCTAACTGGTCTGAGCAGTGGCGGTCGTCCTGGTACTGGGGCCCAAGAGCTGCCACGCACGGCACTTGCAGTCATATGACCAAGGTCGCGAGCGCGGATACGACGTCTTTGGTCTGCTCGCCGCTAGCAGCAGAGGCGGGCTGTGAACTTTCGTTGCGCTCAACTAAGACATATTATAGCAAGGGCTTTGTATTTGAGGTTGTTGCACGCGCCATCTCGTGGTCCAGTCGCCGAGAAACGCCGACAGGAGCACGAGCTCGTCCGGAGTCCCAGAGCGGGAAGGCAATGCGAGCAGCAGGAGATGGACAAGGTGCCCAGCAGCGGCGTGTAAGTGCCCGCACCTGCTGGGGAGGAATTGCACCTAGTCCAGTGGTGGTAATATGTAGGAGAATGCACTTTTAAATACCTATTAAAATAGGTGTAGACGAAAAAACTCATGAGCACTTTCAAGCTCCAGGACTCCTCGGTCCATACGCCGCCGTCTGGCAAAAGCACTTCAAAGCCTTATTTTTGACCAATCACATACCTCTATCTATGCGTCACCTGGTCTGGTTACGGAATCTCGACACAAGTCATTGAAATAGTATTAAAACTTCACTTTCGTGCGATGTTTCACATTAGTGACACATGCTGTCAATTGATATCATTTTGGATTAGCATGGACATAAGTATCATATTGATTGATCAGCTGGGCTAGATGACGTACACGGCTACACTTTTGAACTAAGCTCGACCAGACTTCCGCGGCTTCTTCGTTGCCACGGCGGCTTCGTCGTCTTCTCCTCCGACGACTCTTCCTCTCTGGTCCTGGTTCTTCTTCGCTGCAAGCGCCATTGCAGCTCGGTGTAGGCGGCGTGACTGATTGGCTGCTTTAGCAGATTCACCTTGCTCTTTGCTAAGTGCGGCGTAGATAGGGTCGCCACGGAACTCATCTGGTACGTAGGGACGTACGACGTTGTGCATCGTTTACTTCTTCTCCATGTTGACCGCAGGAGCCGGTAGCAGCTCAAGGAAATGCTCGAACATGCGGGTTACCTTGTCGCTTTCCGTGAGAACGCCGTCAACATTTCGGCGTATGTTCTGTTCTTCTGCATCGGTATTCGGGCTCTTCCTGCACTCGACAACCCCGGGCTTTGAGGCGTCCATTGCAAACCATTGGTACTGCTGCACACCGGTAAGGTTTTTGTTGAGCTCCTTCACGAGGCCCTTGTAACCCTTAAAGAACGCGTCATCACGGGAAATGTGGACGGTTCGGTTCGAAGGGGCGGAATTCATCACTGCATCTACCACGTGGTCTAGCGTCCAGCAATCCTGGCGGACAAGGAACTTGCGGATGTGCCCAAAGCCCCTGTCACACGAATTCTTCGTGTGCCCTTTGACGAAAAACTTGTAGTCGACACGTTCGAGCACGCCCATGTGCACTTGGGCCAGCAAAAATTTGATTACCAGATTGTTTTTGTTCTGGCCTCCGCAGTTGTCCGCATACACGACCAGTTTCTTCTTACCAATCGGGACGACAACTGTCTTGATGAAATGATGCAGCATTGCGTTGATCTGGTCGCTGCCCTTGCCGCTCACAGTCTCATCGTACACGTAGTTTGTCTGGAACTGCTCATTTTCGTAGAAGATGCCGAAAACGTAAACGGCCATGAGTGAGCAGAAGTACCATTGACATGGGGTCGACGAGACCGACGGCACGGTCAGATTCTGGGAGAAGTCCATCACAATCACGGCAACGTCTTGCTCAGTTTCTGGACCTGCAACGCGAGCTCTGCCCTTCTTGTACTCCTTGCTAAATGTCAGCAGGTAAACAAAATGATACCAATGTCATTAGTATATCAAAATAATATCAATGTCCCTCCCAACCAAACCTACCGCATCTCGCGTGTGTACGCCCATCTCTTCCGTCTCGATAGCCGTCGCCCTGCCGCGAATACTCGACTCATAGATCGTGCAAACGTCACACACGTTCGAACGCGACGAGCGAATGCGAATCTCGGGGCAATGCTGAGCTAGAAGCTTCCCCATAGTGGACCGCCCCGGCTCACTTACTCGCAGTCGAATCTGTTCGACGTATGCGTGCATCTCGCCGTACACTGAGTCCCACGTAAAGTAGACAGGAAGCAACGTGTAGTCTTCTCTGCTGTAATACTTCTTGGTCTTGCCGGCAACGGTCTTCTGCATGCGAACGCGGACTGGGACGACCTCGCCCACCTCTTCTGCAAATTCTTTGAACCACTTGATGAGCCAGGGAATGTCGACACTAGACGCGTTCTTGTTCAGCACATTTCCATGTGCCTTAGCAGCAATGCTGCCGTCGCGCACTCGAGACTTGTACCTCTGAATTGTGAGGGGTGTCAGGTCGAGGCAGCGGGCAAATGACGGGCGGCACACTGCGCCCACGAACGGCAGGTAGTAGTTGAACTTCTCTCTCTCGCCCTTGCCACGGCGACGCTCTACCGTGTCCGTTTGCATAAGCACACCTAGCATGGAGTAGACGAACGTCATCCTCTCCGACTTGGTCATCTGCGAGACCGAGCAGACCAGAGACTGCAGCTCTTGAGCCTTTCCCTGAAGGCAGCGACGCTCACACTTATCAGCTCTGATAAGGCCTGTCACCTTTTGGTGAACATCAACCTCGATCAAATTGATACTTATATCCTCCTCAGCTTGCTCACCGTCTTCGATCCCCTCGCTGTCCCCCGTTACCTCTCCATCCTTCTCAGCTGACTCGGCCGTGCTCCAATCTTCATCATTGCTTTCATCAGGCTCCTCGCTCTCAGACGATACGTCGCCGCCGGCATGTGACGCAACGTGCGGGGAGGTCACGCGGAGTCGATTTTTCTGGTTGCGCTGCCGATCGGTTCGAGAAGGCGTGCACGCCGGTGATTCGTGCAGCTCGGATGCACTCTCCTCCTGCTGCGGATTGGAGGTGCGCGCAAGCTGCTGCCCAGGAGCTGCCGAAGCGTGCTGCTCAGGCGCGTACGGCGTATGCTGCTCGGGAGGAGGGGGGTGTTGACAGGGAGGGGACGCGGGCGGCTCCGAGGCACCAACGGACTGTGGAGCGAGAGCCTGCGTGCCGGCGGGCGACGACTCGGGGCCGTTGGAGGTCTGCGATGGCAGCTCGGAGGTCGAGCGGTGGGCTTCCATGTCGGCGGTGGTGTAGATCTTCTTTGAGAGTGAGGTGTTGAGGGAGCGTTCGCTTTGGTGACAGTTCAGGTTCTCAAACCACAAATCGGGCCCTCTCTCGAAACTTCACTTAGATACGAAAAATAGCAGCCAATTTCCAAGCGCGATTTTCTCGATAACTCTATATGGTGGCTTAGTATCATTTTGTTCGAGGCAGTCTCAAGTGATCTCAGCGTTACCAGAGAAAAGGCTGTACTGAATTAGTTTATCTTAGACGGGATTTGACGCTTGCTTAGTTAATCAAACCCGAGTAAAGCAGTGCTGAGTTGTTTCAGCGCTGACCTTCGACCAAGCGTGTTCGCACCACATCAGTGCGGTTAGAAGCTCTACTTTGTACTAATCGTAGAGGGCTTAGCGGGTAGTGCGCAAATGTGAAAGTGGAATCATAAATACAGAGAAGATCGCACAGACAATCAAAAGGGCGCCAATTATCAAACTGCACAGCTTAGTACTTTTAGCCAAACAAAGGTATCCTGGATTTTTACATCAGTACCTTTGCCCATCTCCGTTCGTCCTGTTGTTGCACCTTGAAGTATTCTTTATATGAGGTTATGTATTGTATACCCGTTCGGTATTGAGGCAGATTTCTGTAACTCAAAGTATTGTATTACTCAGTAATACAATTTCGGTATTAATACAGGTTGTATTAATACTTATACTCGTTTTTTGGGCGAATGTACAAGGATAATTGAAGTAATACTACTCCTCGGAATTGGTAATACCAGTACTATTTTACGGTAAAACTTCCAGAAACCCCTCCGAACCCACGCAGGAGCTATTTTAGTGCATGCTCGCGCACTTCCACTCTCTATACGTCCTCCGCGGTGCTATTCGATACCCGTCGGACCGCGGGACCCGTGCGAGGGCCCGTGCCAACGTCTACCACGACCTTAACAGAAACTTCTATCTAATTGCAAAGGGGAAGTTTGCGCTCGATCACTAAACCAAGCTACCGACATACTTCCCAACTACCCACAAAAATATTGTCCTGCCTGTGTTAATTAAGACCAGTGCCGCGGGTCTACCACTACATAGCCACATCTTCAGGTCGCGCTACGTTTGTCTTGGCTGCCTCTGCAACATAAGGACCGTCGTATGAATACTATGAAGAAGGTCTTCAATGCCATTCGCATCGTCAAGGTGATAGGAACGCTTCAGCGTTGAACTGTTATTTGGGCTCAGTATAGAATCCCCACTAGCGAAGCCGAGCTAATGTGGGCCACATAAATTTGTACTACCATAAAGTATTACCCAAAGTATTCATACAATCTGTATTAACTGGACATCCCTTCAACAATGTACGGGAATCTCGGGAAAATAATAAATTCGTTTTTTCCTGGTGAGTCTAGGGATGCTGAAACTTTGCATATCTACTAATATGTCCATCAAAGGAGTAATGCCAAAGTGGCTTCTCCTTTTCTTGTCCCGTTCGGCAACGAGGACATGATGTGCATTCCCCCTTACTATTTGTCAGTCATCTTGTCGCTAGTAATGCGCGATCTTTCATCCCTACCTGAAAGGTCACACAAATACATATAGCACTTTATATGCTGCATAAATAACGGTAAGAAACATCACAGAGGCGCCAGGCAACGCCAACTTGGAGGATAAATCGCTCGAGATCTACATACATTTAGCGCTTCATACAGCGGCATTACCCAAACTAGATGCAGGGCTTTCTATCCATGTCGGTCTCAACGGCGATGTTCCTCTTATTGAAGAGTTAAATTCGCCGAAATCACAGGTTTCCGACCTGTCATGTGCATTCGTGAAGGGACGCTCAGTTAATTCTGATACTTGCTTTCTATACGAAAGTATTGTATAACCGATAGTTATACCAGACCTCCAGTAGGGCCAGTAATACTACTACCTTGATTTGGTCGATTATCCTAACCTCTGGTCACCCCTCCAGACGAAGTACCCGAACAAGTTTCGAGTCTACACCACCAAGCTCGAGCGCGATATCTACACCCACAGCAAGTTCGTCATCATCGACGACGTGTACCTGTCCGTGGGCTCGGCCAACTCGAACCGACGCAGCATGACGTCCGACTCGGAGCTCAACGCCAACGTCGTGGATGACGAGACCGTTGAGTCGCCGATGGCATTACAGTCAACAAACTCGTGCGTGACTTCCGCATCCGCAAGTTCGTCGAGATGACGGGACTGAGCTACGACAAGCTGGATGCCATGACGTTTCTCGACGCCGCGCACCAGTACGACGTCGCCGCCGCGGACACTTCGTCCCTCATCCAGACCCTAGAGGCCGAGTACCATCTCTACTACACCATTTCCGAGTCGTTCTGCACAAATGCTCGATTCAAAACGATCACGTAGAAAAAGGGTGAGTATACTTATGGCGTATACTTGGCCGACTTCTGATCAAATTCTCGATTCAAAATGACCACAGCCATTTTCAAAACGATCAGCTGCCCTTTCTGTGATACCACAGAGGGAAGCAGATCAACAATTGTCCTTTTCGAGAAAATTCTGGCTGATATCAGTATTAATTTGAGAACATAAATACGACGCAGTGTCAATTGTTGATCAGTCTTTCCCACAACGTACCAGAAAAATGGCACATGTTCATTTAGAACATGAAAGTGATTGTTTTGAATCCGTGTACTGTTCTGGTCGGAGTCGGACGTGTATACTGCCCTTTTTCTACGTGATTGTTTTGAATCGAGCATTTGTGCAGAACGACCCGGAAATGGTGTACGTCGGCTTCACGGATCGCATCCGTCAGCACGCGGATCCGCAGGACTCGTGCTCCTGAACGGTAAGTAGATGAACATGAAATCTCTATCGTTAACCATATGCATGTGGCCTCCAATGCTTTTATATACTTTGGTAGGCTGCTTCTGACTACTAGTAAGTATATCGTCTGATAGTCTATAGACGTCCGGTAAACCAAATATATCGTTTTTCCGTGTGTTCCACATTATGTCCTGATTGCCTTTTCTAACAGTATCGTGATCACTATGGTCTCCTGTTCGTAGCGTTAATGCATTCGGTTTTTGGTATGCGGCCTCGCGGTTGCCACGGATAAAATCAACGCCATCTCCCCTAGCCCTGATGTGCCCTAGCGGCCGCGAAAACATTTCGATTTGGTTCCAAGGCTATTTTTGCAAGACCCCTCCGGAGGGGATACATGTAAAGCGATCCGCGATTCCTGTATCACCTCACTGAAATCGACCCATTCTGGAACTTAGAGAAAAAGATGCCATTTTTAAACAGAAGTTCTTCTTTCTATTCCGGGCGACGTTTAAGCTTAAAAGCTCTAGATATCATTTTACTGGACCGGTTCCCGTAGCCTACATTCCGACAGTTCTCTTATCTAAAAGCTCGCGTACAGATCTCGTCCAGCCCGTAAGCCGGACCAGCAATATGGTATCTAGATGTCTTAGTTCGGTACATATCTAAATGTGCACTTCGAAGTTGAAGCAGTTGGGCACTTATCGCAAGATAGACCACGCGATAGCTCCAGCCACGAGTGGCGGCGATGCTTACCATGCATGCAGCGCCATTCTGGAGACGCAAATGCTTCTGTGCTGTGCCTCAGGCTCGGTACATATCTTCCTTCGTCGACTGCTTCTGCCGTGGCTATCGTTGCTTGCGGATGGACTCGCCTTGTGTTGCCTTTGCGTCGGCAGCGCTTTTAGATTCATTTCTAGAAAATTACATTAGAACACTATCGCTACTTTCCTTACAGGTCAGTTTGCACTGCTTCGTATCTGTAGTACAACTACTTATTTCGCTTTTGTCGGAGGGTATACACCCTCCGATAGATTTTGTATTGCGAACAGATCACGGCGAAACCGGAACTTGCGTTGCTGGCAGTATTTTGCAAATGATAGACGCGGACGATGAAGACGAGTTCGTCGCTATCTCATGTTTCGAACTAGCTCTCCAAAAGAAGTATAATAGTTAATATGCGGGTGATAAATACTTACTACTATAGCAATCGTGGAAACAACGAGTAGTACTAACCATTGTAATAAAGTAAGTAGAGGTTGAGAGCAACTTCGCTATGGCAATAATTGGAGTGAAGGCACAAACGAGACGACAATGAAAATTATAATGTGCAAAATGAAAAAAACTGCTAGTTCTAGACATGTTTATGCGAAAGCCTGAGCAAAAGTTTAAGAATTAGCGCGTTGTGACTCGATATCATTCCCCTTTTATTAATTATGTAAATAGTAAAGTGGTCGACTATTATTTAAATATACACTTAATTTGCGGCGAATTATGCTCAAAGGGGTCTTTTAAGGAGTTGGCGCTGTTTTTCAAAACGATTTGGTTTACATTTACTGTAGAAATTAGATCATCTAAGATAAATATCGGGTTTATGCAAAATTACTATTCTAATTAATATAATAACATGATTATTACGATAGTGTTGTGTAATTTGTTTAGCTTAGTACTGTAGTTTGATTTCAACGGTCGCACTCATATTAGTAATATGATATTACCGCAGTAAAAGCTAAAAACGGCAAGCGCTGGTTGTGTAGCTTGGAAATATTGTTACGGGAATGAATTCTGCTGTATCCGTCAGTTTAATTCAAGATTATTTTGGAAGTTATGTCAGAAACTAGAGTGATAGCAAATCAAAGTATCAGTCAGCATATACACCGTTCACTAGGGAATAATTCGCCAAACGTATTGACCTGAAGACATGAAAATTTTCAGCCTCCCCGATTGGCTGTTTCAAAAGTTACTTTGAACCCCCTTTTTTTACAAGTCGGCAAGCAAACATAAGCCCCGAACCGGCTGTGCAGTTCCGCGTTTGAAGGCCAAGTCGGCTGGATTCCTGCTGCAAGGCGCCAACTACAAGACTAGCACCAGCACGGGGTATCAGCGGCGATGACAAGGTGAGCGCAAGAGGCGAGAGCAAGGCCAGCAGCGCCGAGGGCAAGTTGAGCACCTGCAACCAGGCCGTGCAAGTCCACAAACCACGGCGAGTGCAAGACGAGCGCCGTCGTCGAGGGCAAGTACAAGTGCAGTGGCGTCGTGATCGAGGCCAACAGGAAACACGCGAGCGTCGAGGGCAAGTACGCGTGACAAGACTTAAAGCACAAGAAGGCCAAGGTCAGGAACAGCAGCGCCGACATCAAGTCTAGCACCAGCGCGGCGTTGCTGAAATGCTTCAAGTGTCACGCAGACAACGCGCATTGGTGTTGGACGCCATGGACGCTGGAGCCGTAGTTGGCGCCTTCGTGGAGGCACGCTACTGGCGGTAGAAGGAAAGGGAAATTTTTGAGATGTCTAGATTAGCCATCAGATTCCAAGTCAATTTGTAGGTCGTTTGTACTCATGACATGACGGCAAAACCGCAGCACGATCTAATTGGCTGAAAAGCTGTTTATGTTAGGCTCAGCCCAACTTTGTAACCCCCTAATGTAAAAGGATGGCCGAATTCGGTTTCAACCGGTTGCATTCGGATTTCATTCGAATGCAACCGGTCAATAAAAATCCGGATTCTGATCCGGGTTCATTCGGATGCAATCCGAATTTGGTTTGGGACATTTCTTTGTACACATTCTGATTTTATCCAATCATGATCACTCAAAAGATGTGTATCATTTATTACCCCGTGGTAGCCGATTGCTGATTTATTCGTATATAGAAGGAGACTCCATAATGTAGTAAGTCAAATCCGAATGCATCGAATATAACCGGATTTTTTCGATTTTCAAACCGGTTGAACCGGATGAGACAGAAATGCCAATCCGAAATCCGAATGCCATCCGATTAAATTCTCTACCGTTCACGCTATTTAGTCGTAGTTCGCAAATAGTCGTGCTTCCGTACTTTTTCGTGACACAAAGCGCAACCAAATTTTCCCCAGGACCTTGAAACATCACAAAGACGGCGGATTTGGACAGATCCCGTTGAGCCGAAACCAATCATGGTCTTAGATTTCTGAAATATTAAATATTGACGTCACTAGAACATTTTGAAAATTCAACTTTCCCCCTCAAAAATCGTACACCACATTTAGCCAGGGTCCGCCTAAATAGCGTGAACGGTGTAGGCACTAAGCCTGCGTCTTCCGTTGGAGCGAAGCAACATTTTCTTGTCCGAACGCGTGCACATGTGTCATGTTTTATGATATGACCGAAGCACTTTGTCACATCAATGCGGTGCGATAGCACAAGTGAGTCGAAGCTTACACTATTCATAGGTCGAACACCCGTGCTTGGCCCCGGCATAAAACTTGTAAGTTTCCAAAACCGGGTCTCTCTTTCTTAATTGTAATATTTAAGCTAATATCTGCCGGAATTGGGTACCCGTCGATAACTGCTAAGATTTATGTACATTACTTACCAAAGATTGATACTAATCGTTTATTAATTACCAAAGCCTGCATTCAAACACTTACGGACGCTCCAGTACACTATGAGAGCGTCATGGCTTCGCTGAAGGCGTATCAATTTGTGCCATAATCGACCAAGCTTAGCTGAAGGTGACCAACATGACTTGTCTAGGGGCAGGTTACACTTTTTTACATGTCAATTTGCTCAATACCCAATCACTCTTAGCCGAAGATGCCCAACCTCGTGTCTGTCGCCAAACCAATCAGCTCAACTCGACAGTGACACGAGCATCGTTCGTTTAAATATGACTTTTTTTTCTCCGTTGAAGCACCCACTTCAAAGGAATTGGCCCATTAGCGTATTTCTCATTCCGCAATTTATCCCCCAAGCCCTCAAGTTAAAAGTTTGTTTGTTTTGTTTTTGAATTGAGGATCAGTATTGTCACTTAGCTACAGATACCGATGACTAACTTGTACACACAGTCAATCGATACACCTTCAAAATCGGTAATGAAGCTGTATCTATGTTAGGAGGTAAAATCCAGTTTCGGTTTCCCGCCCAGAGGGATCTTTCACAATTCGAACAGAGCCCTGCAAAACACCTCCCCCCGCAGCCCACCATGACAAGCACAACCAATCAAACCAAGGGCAAGTGGCTGACGATCGCGCAGAAATGGCAAGTTATCGAGGAGCATGGGCGCACGCAGCCGCCGCCATCGCTCGCCGATCTGGCTCGCTGGTCCCAGGCCAAGTTCAAGCTGTCCCAGCCGCCGTCTCGAGCCACCATCGCAAACATTCTGCGCGGTGCCTCTGCTGTCAAGTCGAAGCTGGACTCCGCATTCGGCTGAGTGAGCTAGTGTTGGATTGGAGCATGCTCCGAGTGAGCGCTACTGACCCGCTCGCTTTTTTCTGCGCGGATCGGTTCATGTGTGTGTAGTGCGTGTCTCTGCTACGTGTTTTTGATACTATGATTTTTACTATGGGGAGGGAACGCTGCCGATTCCGCGCATTCAGAAATATTTCGGAGCTGCGCGGTACTACTCGCCGCGCACCGCGCGCTCGGAGCACGAGTGCGCGCTTCCATCACTAGAGTGAGCTCTTGATTTGAATGCACGTAAACTTCAAGGTCAACCATCTGTAATACCGTATATACTGAACACATATAATATATATTAGGAACTAAAACAGTACCACTGTACAAGTTAGTCAGCGGTATCTGTAACATCCTCAAGTTAAAAGATCAAGATCAGCGCACCATGCGTCTCTCCTTCGTCCCGCTAGTGTAGCTCTCTCGCCTGATCGTTAGCACACAACATAGTACAAAAATGAGCACAGTATACCTTACCTGCAAAATGAATGAGAGTGACTATTACCACAATAATAGAGCCGGATAGCCGACATGTTTATGAATGATAGAAGTGGCGGCAAGATGTTAATATCGGATTTGCCCATCATCGAAAACTACGCCTTACCAAAATAACCAAAACGTTAGTTTGTTTGGCATCAGTGGTCGTGATTCATTTCGAATTCGCCCCCCTCGAGCGCAAGCCCAACTCAAGTGCGCGCGCACCGCCGCCGCCCCCCCCCCTCGCTGCGGCATCCGCGCTGCTGAACTAGGTCCTGTCATACCTAGCGCCTCCCCTGTACGCGTCAGGGCGACTACGCCATCGGTCGAACAAGCATCGGGACCCCGAAGAGTCGGGCGAATCGGCTTGTGAAGCAGACTGAAGGTTGATGAGGATCTGGCAGTGGTGGTGCGCAACCGTGGAAGACCTATCCCGCAACAGGTACGGCACATGAATGAATTTCGAAGAAGCACTTGCTGTATACACGTGCAGATACACTTTATGTAACCCGGTTTCAGTATTATTCTCAATTTTTTAATTGCCAGCTAATACTGTGCTTGCACAAGCCGTACTACAGGTGCAAAACAAGCGCAGAAACGGAAAGTCTAAACGCTATTTGAACAAGTCATTTAGCGCTATTTCGAGTACATCCACGCCTAAAACCGAGCAAAACGCAAAGGTACATCTGTCAATTTCAAGCCTATTATAACTCCTGATTTAATTACACGATTTGGTGCCGCCACAATTGGCGATTTTAGCGCCAATGATACCAGTACATCTACCATGTATCCAAGCTCAATATGCAACACAATGTCGCTCTGGATTGTTAATTGTTTGAGGAGCTGCCACGCACTCATGCATATTGATTGACAAGAAGTTCGCTATGGCGAACTTGTTTGGGGAGGGACTAGAACGATAGTTCTGGAATCGATGTAGAATAGGGTGTTCCTAATCAAATAATATGATTCGTTTTCGCTGCTGCTGGTATCGTTTCGATCTCCAACCTTATTGTAAAGTGCTACGTAAAATCTTCTCTCTAAAGAACTGAGTCGAGTATCGTTGTTTTTTTTAAAGACTTTTTATAGATTTTTGTGGACCTTTCGTTCTTAACTGGGCTGTGATTTCGGCGAATTTAACTCTTCAATAAGAGGAGCTTCGCCGTTGAGACCGACATGGATAGAAAGCCCTGCATTTAACTTGGGTAATGCATCTGTATGAAACGCTAAATGTACGTAGATCTCGAGCAATTTATCCTTAAAGTTGGCGTTGTCGGGCGCCTCTGCAATTTTTCTTTCGGTTATGAAGTGGAGTGGCCTCTTGGTGCTGCTCACGCAGAGATGGAAGCAACGACAACACTCAGCTGGGCGGCAAAAGCCACCTTGTTGGTCGTGTGTATATTCTCAACTGAGGCCTAGATTATTCACTTTCACCTTTGGCTTACTCCAACTGCAAGTAGTATAGTGGGGATCAGTACAATCCGCAACAGCCCCACCTACGGATTCCCATCAACTTGCATCTCCAAATCTTGCCCTTGGCAATAATCCCATTGCAGCTCTGTGTTTTTCAAATGCCGGACGTGCCAATGGCTTTGTAAAAGCATCGGCCACGTTATCAACTCCTGGCACCCGACGCACGTCAATTTCCTTCAAATCGATGCGCTCACGCACGAAGTGGTGGCGCACATCGATGTGCTTGGTCCGGGAGTGAAATACAGGGTTGCTGGCAAGCTTCTTCGCACTTTCATTGTCCACAAAGACTTGGGATTGCTGAATTTGCTGCACCTGCAGCTCCTTCAGCATTTGGCGCAAGCGCACCACCTCCTGCACCTGTAGACTAAGAGTCTCGGTCGTGTGTAGCGCGACGGGCTTCACCGTCTGGCTGCTCCACGAAATGATGCTCCCACAAAATTGAGTCACGTAGCCTGCAGCAGACTTTCGATCATCAACTCGATTTGCAAAATCCGCATCTGCGTATGCTCTCAGATGATCATCCAGCTTTTGATCTGACCACGCTAGGCCACCAAGCTGGATCCCCCAGTCCGCTGTGTCCTTCAGGTAGCGCAATCCACGTTTTGCAGCTCTCCAATGCAACAGACCTGAGTTTTCCGAGAACTGACTGCACTCTCTAACTAGGTAGGCCAGATCGGGCCGGGTACCGAGCATCAGGTACATCAGGCTGTCAACCACAGCACGATATGGCTTCGATCTCATCAGTTGCCTTTCGTCGTTTTCGGTCGGACACATGGCCTTGCTCAGCTTCAGATCCGCCGTGCTCGGCGTCTTGCAGCCATTGCAGTCCTGCATGTTGAACCGCTTGAGCACGGTCTCGGCATACTTCTGCTGACCAATGAACATCGTTCTCTCGGGCCGGTTCCGCGTGATCTCCCAGCCTAGAATGTAGTGTAACTCCCTGAGATCCTTCATCGCAAACCGGTCCTCGAACATCTTCTTCATCTTGTTGATGAGCTCCATCGACGGAGCAAACAAAATCAGATCATCAACATAGAGAGGGATGAAGACCAACTGCCCATCAATTACTTTAACAGCCACGCAGGCCTCCGACTGCAGCATCGTGAAGCCCTGCTCCTCCAAGAACGACTTGAACAGCTGAAACCACACTCTGGGCGCCTGCTTCAAGCCGTTCAGGCTCTTCTTCAATCTGCACACCCAGTCCTCTTTGCCTTTCACTTTGTAGCCTTCAGGCTGCTCCATATAGACCTCCACGTCAATCGCCCCATTCAGGAAAGCGGTAGTGACATCCATCTGATGCACTTCATAATCCCAGACAGCCGCCAGTGTCAAGAGAACACGCAGTGTCTCCAGCCTCACAACAGGTGAGTACACCTCTAGGTAGTCGATACCATAAATCTGCATGAAGCCCTTGATCACGAGCCTCGCTTTGAATCTTTCGATCTCTCCGTTCGCTAGATACTTGACGCGAAAGATCCAGCGATTCTGCAGCACTTTCATGTGCTTCTCACGCGGCACCAACTCCCAGGTATCGTTCTTCACCAACGAATCAAACTCATCATCAGCTGCATTTTTCCATTGCAATGAGTGCTCACTCTCCATAGCGTCACCGAAAGTATCTGGCTCTTCAAACTCGCCAGTACTCATGCAGCAACAGTCCTCCCACCATGCAAAGATCAACTCGTTCGCCATAGCACGTTGCAACTCAGCTCGTGCTTTCCTCCATCCAGCAGGCAACGAGTTCACATCATCATCTGGATTTGTATTTTCGTAGCCAATGTAGTCGTAGTCACCGAACCACGTGGGCGGTTTACTTACCCGACCGCTCCGTGTCACTGGAGGGTCTTTAGGGCGAGTGCCTCTCGGGCCTGTGTACTCACGAAGTACTGTGCAAGGAGGCGTTGATAGACGCCCCACACTCGCAGCATCACTCGACACTTGGCTGTTCGAGTCGGCCCGCTCAGCAGCCGATGACCTGCTGTCCACCTCTTCCACCTCTTGACTCCCTGGTGGGCCCTCGTCTCGTCAGCAGCCGGTCTCTTATGCCGCCCACTGCTGCATTTCCTCTTTCTCCTTCTTTTGGAATTGTCTGGCACGCACTCAGCTCGCAGGTGGTCTGCCTCATGTCCATTGACACGTTCCTCATCACGTTCTGCCACCTTGCTAGAACGATCACATCCAGATGCTGTAGAGCTCACTCCACGTCCTTCATCTCGTTCTGCCACCTTGCTAGAACGTCCACTTTCAAACACCGCAAACCGCACTCTCTTTGGTCGAGGCGCTGCGGCATCACCACCGGGGCCTCTCTTCTTGGACCCACATGCCCCACCTGACCGGACATCTTGCTCAACCGCCCCACCTGGTCGGTCATCACATCGGGTGTCATCAGCCCCACCAGTCCGATAATCACCTCCGTCTCTGGAGTCGCTGGCCCCACCAGTCCAGCAATCTCCATCATCACGATAACTACCTCCATCATTTGATTCATCATGCATTTCATCCAGCATTGGCTCAATGTCATCCTCTACTGATCGATCAACGCCTAAATATTCCTTACCGGAGGCTGCACTTGGCGTTGATGCCGAGTCCATGAGCAATCGACCAGCTTTATTCTCATAGAACACGACAGTATGGCTGTAGAAGGCCTTGTTGGTCTTGCTATCGAGCAAGCGATAGCCTCGCTTCTCTCGCGAATATCCAACGAAGACCGCCTCCCATGCTTTCGCCTGCATCTTCCGTCTCTCCACCTTGTCGATGTACGACAGGACGGCGCAGCCGAACGTCCGCAACTTCTCATAAGCAGGAGTCTGACGGTGCCATACTGCATACGGTACCTCCATGCCTCGAACCGAGCTTGGCATAATATTCACGGAGTATGCAGCTGTCATCGCTGCCTCACCCCACATCGCTTCAGGCAGGTCGAAGTGCACGAGCATGCATCGCATTCTTTCCGTAATGGTGCGGACCATTCTCCCCGCGACACCATTTTGCTCCGGAGTATGCTTGATGCTGCTGTCAAACTCCATACCATACTTCGTCTCACACGTACTTTGCAGCTTCTTGAACTCCTTTGCATTGTCTGACCTTAGCGCTTTCATTCTGACATGCTGCTACGTCTTGACGCGTTGATAGTACTCCTCAAACTTCTGGTACACTTCCGAACGATGCTCCAGAAGATACACGGTGACAAACCGACTCGCATCATCAACGAACACGGCAAAGTACCGTTTACCACCGTAGGAGTGCTCTACATACGGACCCCAAGCGTCCACATGGACCTTTGCGCCAACTAACCACTCGCGGGTCTGTGTCCGAGACTTCTTCATGCTCTTCCTCGTAAGTTTCCCCGTCCCACAGGTCTCGCAATTGAAACCCACCGGGATACGCAAGTTCATATGTGGCAACGGCCACTGATCATGGCAGAACAGCGCATTAAACGAGTATCTGCCAGGGTGCCCCAATCTCGAATGCCACAGCTCCAAACTACTCACTCGAGCTGGTAGCGCCACCATGGCTACCTCTTGGGGTCTCTCCAACTTCAAGCGATAGAGATTGGTATAATCAACTCGAGCGGTAGTCACACCAGCCTGTAAGATAACATCAGCGCGATCTGCCTCATCAAAGTGCACGTTCACACGATCACGTTCAGGCAGATATTGGTTCAGTTGCCGTCGCACAGAGTAGAGACTGCACTGCAGCTCTGGAGCATAACGAACTCCTCGCAGCGTCAGTGAGCACCTCCCACCAGTAGTCTCGAGTTCCTTAACCACAGTACCTCTACCCTCAACACCCAGCGAGTTCTTTCCTCCAACTCGAATCCGGGCGCTAAGAGGCGTGAACTCCATGAAATCAGTGAGCTGGTTCGAAATATGACTCGATGCACCAGAGTCCAGGTACCAGTTATCATGGGCTTTGTCTGCGACCGGCTTTTTCATTTTCATCACTTGAAGAATAACTGTCATCACTTTCATTAGCGTAGCTACTCGTTTCAGCAGCCTTAGCACTCTTTCCTCCACACATCTTCACGCGCTTCTGAGCTTGGGTGCTGCTGCGATCCTCGGCTGGAGGTCACTTGCCAAAAAAGGGCAATCAAACACATGATGCCCTGCTTCATGGCAGTGATAACAAGCACCACCTGGCTTTTGTCCACTGCCGGCTTGGCCACGTCCAGCTCCACGTCCACCACCTTGGCTCCCGCGACCACCAGAACCACGTCCACCACCGGAACCACGCCCGTGTCCTCCAGATCGACCACCACGTCCACGGCCGCGACCACGTCCTCGACCTCTTCCTCCACCAGCAACGAACGCCTTTTCTTCATCATCATTGTCCTTGGCGCCCTCTGCTTTCCGACCTTGGCGATGGTCGTAAGCCATCTCCAATGCGAGTTCAAGTTGTTCATAATTAGGAGGACCATCAGCATTTTGGGGGTTGTGACTGGCGAGAAACGCCTGTACAACATGATCATATTCGCGCGGCAGAGATCCAATCAATAGTGCTGGCTTTACATACTCGTCCACAGGACGCCCGACTCCAGCAATGGTCTCCATCAGCCGACGCATCTCGCTCAGGTGATCTAGCACATTGCCATTGGGAGCGAGCCGTAGCCGACTGAGCTTACTCCCCTCAGCGTACTTCAATACGTCTTGCCCATAAATCTCTTTTTTAGGCGCTCCATCACACGAAACGGGGTGGGTTCATACATACATGAAGAGGGTGAAGCTTCGATGTCGATATCGACGGTGTCGGTGTCGCCCCGGTCCGCCAAGGTGACGCGACGTATCGTTGCGTCTCCGCGTAAGACGCTGCGTCGCGTGGTCATGCGTCGCACGGACGCGGACGGAAAGGTCCACGAAGAGGTGCAGTATGTGGACGCTGACGGCCAAGTGGTGCAGGGCGGCAACTTCTTCAACGCTGAAGGGGGCGAGACGGATACGACGACCGTCACGCGTCGTATTTCGACGCCAGTGAAGACTCTGCGGCGTGTGATTGTGCGACGCACTGGGGCGGACGGACAGGTCCACGAGGAGGTGCAATTCGTGGACGCAGACGGTAATGTCGTCGAAAGCGACGGCTCTGCTTCGGCCTCGACCTCCACAGTCACAACCAGCTCAACTACCATCTCTACGCCTACTCAATCCTCAGTCACGCGCCGTATTGTTACGCCCGCCAAGTTGACGCGCCGGATTCTGCGTCGTACGGCAGCGGACGGCCAGATCCTCGAGCAAGTGCAGTACCTCGACGCCGATGGAAACGTCGTGCGCACTGAAGGCGCCAGCGATGAGGCCATGAGCGCCGCCAGCAGCACCGTAGTGACCCGACGGACGGTGACGCCGAGCAAGACCATCCGTCGCGTCCTCGTCCGGAAGACGGGCGCGGACGGCCAGGTGCGCGAAGAAGTGCAGTTCATGGACGCCGACGGCAACGTGGTGAACAGCGACGGCAGCGCGCTGGTCAAGACGAGCAGCTTCTCCAGTGTGAGCGGCGCCGGCACGCAGGCTCTCGCGCCACAGTCCGTTGGTGCCTCGGAGCCGCCCGCGTCCCCTCCCTGTCAACACCCCCCTCCTCCCGAGCAGCATACGCCGTACGCGCCTGAGCAGCACGCTTCGGCAGCTCCTGGGCAGCAGCTTGCGCGCACCTCCAATCCGCAGCAGGAGGAGAGTGCATCCGAGCTGCACGAATCACCGGCGTGCACGCCTTCTCGAACCGATCGGCAGCGCAACCAGAAAAATCGACTCCGCGTGACCTCCCCGCACGTTGCGTCACATGCCGGCGGCGACGTATCGTCTGAGAGCGAGGAGCCTGATGAAAGCAATGATGAAGATTGGAGCACGGCCGAGTCAGCTGAGAAGGATGGAGAGGTAACGGGGGACAGCGAGGGGATCGAAGACGGTGAGCAAGCTGAGGAGGATATAAGTATCAATTTGATCGAGGTTGATGTTCACCAAAAGGTGACAGGCCTTATCAGAGCTGATAAGTGTGAGCGTCGCTGCCTTCAGGGAAAGGCTCAAGAGCTGCAGTCTCTGGTCTGCTCGGTCTCGCAGATGACCAAGTCGGAGAGGATGACGTTCGTCTACTCCATGCTAGGTGTGCTTATGCAAACGGACACGGTAGAGCGTCGCCGTGGCAAGGGCGAGAGAGAGAAGTTCAACTACTACCTGCCGTTCGTGGGCGCAGTGTGCCGCCCGTCATTTGCCCGCTGCCTCGACCTGACACCCCTCACAATTCAGAGGTACAAGTCTCGAGTGCGCGACGGCAGCATTGCTGCTAAGGCACATGGAAATGTGCTGAACAAGAACGCGTCTAGTGTCGACATTCCCTGGCTCATCAAGTGGTTCAAAGAATTTGCAGAAGAGGTGGGCGAGGTCGTCCCAGTCCGCGTTCGCATGCAGAAGACCGTTGCCGGCAAGACCAAGAAGTATTACAGCAGAGAAGACTACACGTTGCTTCCTGTCTACTTTACGTGGGACTCAGTGTACGGCGAGATGCACGCATACGTCGAACAGATTCGACTGCGAGTAAGTGAGCCGGGGCGGTCCACTATGGGGAAGCTTCTAGCTCAGCATTGCCCCGAGATTCGCATTCGCTCGTCGCGTTCGAACGTGTGTGACGTTTGCACGATCTATGAGTCGAGTATTCGCGGCAGGGCGACGGCTATCGAGACGGAAGAGATGGGCGTACACACGCGAGATGCGGTAGGTTTGGTTGGGAGGGACATTGATATTATTTTGATATACTAATGACATTGGTATCATTTTGTTTACCTGCTGACATTTAGCAAGGAGTACAAGAAGGGCAGAGCTCGCGTTGCAGGTCCAGAAGCTGAGCAAGACGTTGCCGTGATTGTGATGGACTTCTCCCAGAATCTGACCGTGCCGTCGGTCTCGTCGACCCCATGTCAATGGTACTTCTGCTCACTCATGGCCGTTTACGTTTTCGGCATCTTCTACGAAAATGAGCAGTTCCAGACAAACTACGTGTACGATGAGACTGTGAGCGGCAAGGGCAGCGACCAGATCAACGCAATGCTGCATCATTTCATCAAGACAGTTGTCGTCCCGATTGGTAAGAAGAAACTGGTCGTGTATGCGGACAACTGCGGAGGCCAGAACAAAAACAATCTGGTAATCAAATTTTTGCTGGCCCAAGTGCACATGGGCGTGCTCGAACGTGTCGACTACAAGTTTTTCGTCAAAGGGCACACGAAGAATTCGTGTGACAGGGGCTTTGGGCACATCCGCAAGTTCCTTGTCCGCCAGGATTGCTGGACGCTAGACCACGTGGTAGATGCAGTGATGAATTCCGCCCCTTCGAACCGAACCGTCCACATTTCCCGTGATGACGCGTTCTTTAAGGGTTACAAGGGCCTCGTGAAGGAGCTCAACAAAAACCTTACCGGTGTGCAGCAGTACCAATGGTTTGCAATGGACGCCTCAAAGCCCGGGGTTGTCGAGTGCAGGAAGAGCCCGAATACCGATGCAGAAGAACAGAACATACGCCGAAATGTTGACGGCGTTCTCACGGAAAGCGACAAGGTAACCCGCATGTTCGAGCATTTCCTTGAGCTGCTACCGGCTCCTGCGGTCAACATGGAGAAGAAGTAAACGATGCACAACGTCGTACGTCCCTACGTACCAGATGAGTTCCGTGGCGACCCTATCTACGCCGCACTTAGCAAAGAGCAAGGTGAATCTGCTAAAGCAGCCAATCAGTCACGCCGCCTACACCGAGCTGCAATGGCGCTTGCAGCGAAGAAGAACCAGGACCAGAGAGGAAGAGTCGTCGGAGGAGAAGACGACGAAGCCGCCGTGGCAACGAAGAAGCCGCGGAAGTCTGGTCGAGCTTAGTTCAAAAGTGTAGCCGTGTACGTCATCTAGCCCAGCTGATCAATCAATATGATACTTATGTCCATGCTAATCCAAAATGATATCAATTGACAGCATGTGTCACTAATGTGAAACATCGCACGAAAGTGAAGTTTTAATACTATTTCAATGACTTGTGTCGAGATTCCGTAACCAGACCAGGTGACGCATAGATAGAGGTATGTGATTGGTCAAAAATAAGGCTTTGAAGTATTTTTGCCAGACGGCGGCGTATGGACCGAGGAGTCCTGGAGCTTGAAAGTGCTCATGAGTTTTTTCGTCTACACCTATTTTAATAGGTATTTAAAAGTGCATTCTCCTACATATTACCACCACTGGACTAGGTGCAATTCCTCCCCAGCAGGTGCGGGCACTTACACGCCGCTGCTGGGCACCTTGTCCATCTCCTGCTGCTCGCATTGCCTTCCCGCTCTGGGACTCCGGACGAGCTCGTGCTCCTGTCGGCGTTTCTCGGCGACTGGACCACGAGATGGCGCGTGCAACAACCTCAAATACAAAGCCCTTGCTATAATATGTCTTAGTTGAGCGCAACGAAAGTTCACAGCCCGCCTCTGCTGCTAGCGGCGAGCAGACCAAAGACGTCGTATCCGCGCTCGCGACCTTGGTCATATGACTGCAAGTGCCGTGCGTGGCAGCTCTTGGGCCCCAGTACCAGGACGACCGCCACTGCTCAGACCAGTTAGCATCGAGTCTACCGAGTGAGTCTACCGATTGATAAAGTAGTTTTCATGACCACAGGGTCTGCTGTGACGGCTTGCGGTCTCGCCCAAATTGCCACCTTGTCCCGCCTAGATTGGCGCCTGCGTTCATGACGACGAAGGCAGCCATCGCAGCGACGGTATGCTGTTCCCTTGTGCGCCCGCCGTGCGAGAAGTGGGCGAACATTTGAGCCAATCAAACAGGCAGAACCAGTGTAACGAACCCATGCTACGCTTTCACTGTTAAAAAAAGTTGATACACCATCGTGTTTGATTGTATCGTTGTATTGAGCTGATCAAAATTGTTATGAGAAATGGTAAGCCGAGCTGGTTACGCCGGAGTACAAATCCCTATACTGAAGTTACCATAGTTGGAGATTGCGAATTTGAAGAAACGAAGGGTATCATTGGATCCGCTGTACAATTTTACACCAGGGTAGCCAATAAAAAAATCTCAATTTTGCTCTGGGACGGGAGATAATTTTTCGCGGGGTCATATCTTTGGCGAATCTAACTGTTAGAAGTTGTGGAGGGCCTCAAAAGATTGCTAAGACGCCCCTCTTTCAAACGAGGTACCTAAATATCAATTCGTACTTTGGTCGATCAGTATTTTTTTGTTCGACGCGGTCTCACTTTATAAACCTAGAGCCCTTATATATATCAGGCGTTCGGTATTCAGGCAGAGTTCTGAATCTTAACCTCTGGGGGTGACAGCATCTCGTAGAAGTATTTCTCATAACCGGTAAGCTTGATCTGGCCCACGGGGGCGTGCGCCACCATAATGATCTTTTGCAGCCTCGGGATCACCTCCATTAGAGCTTCTAGCAGCTCAAGGACGAGGATAAAGTACTGGTCCTCGATGTAAATGTAGTTCTTGGCGTTCTTGATGGCCTTGATACGCGCGTGGAGGATGGACAACTCGCCGAACGGAGCGAACTCGTTGTAGTGCTCGTACTTGCAGCTGAAAGTCCTGACGATCTAAACGTTCTGGGTGCCAATGTGTGATGTGGTGTTGCTGCCGGCGTAGTGGAGCGGGGCGAGGTGATCGTAGCCCGGGTTTTCAAAGTCCAGAAGGTCGTCCCCCAGGCCCTGGCACGGCTTGTACTCGGAGTTCCAGCGAGCGAGGAAGTTGTTGGCCACGTCCTTCGCTGCCGGCCCGTCGATACGCAGCTCGCCGTCGACCCAGCCCTGGTGGCGGAAAGTGGTACCAGCGGCGTCTCGCAGTGCCGAGTTGTTGTGGTGGATGGTGTCCCACCGATTGTTGGTGAGATCGAGTCCCCCCAACGTACGCTATGGCGTGGGCGTCCTTGCCACTGGAGCTGTTGGCCGCAATGACGAGCGTCTTGTGGTGGTGCGACGACGAGATGGATCGCACGCGGTCGTCGAAGATGAAGGTCGCGCGCGCGCCGTTGACCGGGGAGGCCGGTAGATTGTTGATATCGTCGCGAGCCTCAATGTTGTGTCCACGTCGTAGCAGGCTGGCCCAAGCGAGGATGCTGACCTCTCTCCACTACACCTGCGAAGACTGCGTGGTATCCCGAAGTAGCGCCGGTGACGTCGACATCAGGCTTGAGCGGGAGCAGTATGGAGTCCCAGGCCGCGAGCATGATGCGATCACCCTCTCCAGCCACCGAGAGATCGTCGTACACCGAGTCGTAGTACTCTTTCGTTATGGTGAGGGGCTTGATGGCGTTGCCCGACGTGAAGACGGACAGATCGTTCCGATGCGCGCCACCGCGCGAGGCGGTTAGTTCCTCTTCCGTGGGGAACCAGTCGGTGGGCTTGAGCAGGGGCTGACTTCGGAGCCGTCCGAGAGGTCGACGGTGTTCGAGCTGTCTGCGCTTGTGGTGGGTGGGGCTGTGGCCAAAGCACAGATCAGGACTAGCGCGGCCTTGAATATCCGCAACGTCATTTCGACTGATAAGTTTGAGGTGCGTCGCCTCCGGGGCGAAAGGAGAAGTGCGGGGTCGGCAGCACCAAGGATATTGTAGCCGCATTGGATCAGATGCTTCTGACTGTGACGGCCAGCCAGACACCTTTGTGTATGGAGACATACGGAGCTGGTACGTATCCCCATGGGGAATATTTATCGCTACTGACCTTGATTTCGTCGTTCTTTATCGCTAGTGACCTTGAATTCAAATATCGACCAATCAGAGCCTCTGAGTGCGCCACCATGGTAGAATAGCTGATTAGGTTGGATTGCCTCTGAATCAGAGGCAATCCAACCTAACCCTTCTAGCCCCAGACCTTATTCTGTATCCTACAGAATAAGCATTAGACTTGATTAAAGTATACTTCGAAACCTGTCAAAGATTTGCTGTTGGAAGCCCTTTCGCATCTTGCGGTCAAGCGCTGGATACATTGTGCACAGAACAGCTACGAAAGTGAACAAAACATGCTCAATGTATCCACCATATGCTGAAATGGCGAGCTTCTATTGGTCGTGGCGAGCGTAGAGCACGCTCAAAACCTGCTACATGGTAATACCTTGCAAGGCTGCTAAGGCAGCATACTTCGGTTCCAGCCACCCATCTTCGGCACGTCGCGATAAACGCGGAGGAAGAAATCGCCCTGTTCCTAACTGACGTAGTGAGGAGGAACTGGGCGAATTCTTCCTTGTGTTTGACATTAGCGCATCATTAGATTTCTTTAGCCCACCTAACAAGCTTGTTACGATTGTCTCTCTAACAACACCAGGGAGCTTGCATGCTCAATAGCCCGTAATGACACGCACTACACACGGTTCCTCTTGTACGAAACAGGACAATATATGATATTCATGCCAACGTCTACTTCTTCCTTTACATGCGCACGCTCTTCAATGTTCGCGCCAGCCGTGGGTCATCTTCGCCATATATATCAAGTGAGGCTCATTATCGTTGATCAGGGCTGGAGTCTTGGTCAAGGCTAGAGATAACTGACGCTCGATGCCACAGGCCTAACATGGTGTGCAATGTAAATGGTAGCTCGAACTGTAGTATGGTAGGCGGATCATAGTATAACAAGGTAGGCAACTTGCAGTGTAAAATACTAGACAGCTCACAGCGCAACACAGTAGAGCACTCATGTTGCAACATGGTAGTGCAACATGGTAGGGAGCTCACATGCATCCTGGTAGGCAACTTGTAGTGAAACTTGGTAGCAACTCACGGTGCAGCATGGTAGGTATCAGCTCGCTGTGTAATGGAGTAGAAGCTCACAGTGCAACATGGTAGAATAGCTGATTACGTATGCGGTCAAATCTTAATCGCAGCTCTGGTTCTCTCTGATTGGTCGATATTCGAATTCAAGGTCACTAGCGATGAAGTACGACGAAATCAAGGTCAGTAGTGATAAATATCCCCCCATGGGCCATGGGCCATGGGGATATGTATATGGCCCATGGCTAAAGCACAAACATTTCTGTGCACGCAGACTGGACCAGATTGTTTGGAGACGCATCTTCGAGATGGGTGCAGGTTTTCAAGACCAAAACGAAATCCCCTCCGGACAAAACGTGAGACAGTCCATTCTGAAAAACTTATTACTTGGGATTTGTATTAGCAAATCATATGGTGAAAAAAACAAGTACCCACATAATGTCAATTCAGTGCGGTTTTATGCAGAATGAGCTAGCCAGGTGTATTCTCCACATTCTAAGCTTTCGATTGCTATTGTGAGAACCAGCAAAAGCCCATCTGTTGCAACCCCTTATTAGATCTCATCTGCCTAATTAATCAGATTTCAAATCAGAGCTGAAATCGATCGTGATCTATTATAGATGCATCACTTGACTGCTCGATTGCAAAAGGTGGGCATTCTGCTCCAAGCGCGGCTATATCGACTTGGCTTCCATAAAACGATCGCCTAATCTGCACATCCACTCGCATATGCATCGCAGGGCGCGATCGATTTACAAATTGATCGAGCTATTGTGGGAACCGATTACATTGTCTAATTGGACTATAAATCGGTTGGTTAAGCAGATGATTAAGATTAATCAGGTCGGATTTAGTAAATCCGACCTCCTAATTAGATCGACAGCCTAAGCTTTGCACTCTGATTTGACAGAGCAGTCTGTTGTGCCTACAACGCCATGTGGCAAGCTGATTTAGCTGCTCAGCGGCTTACAAAGCTCTGGACGACTAATTTGCATGCTAATCAGCCCGAATGTCCGACACCCACTCGGCATTCGGCGGCAGATTTAAGGTAAAACTGACAAACGCTAATGCTGACGAGAAATGACAGCGCAAATATATGGCTTCACAACTTGATAAATAGATAGCAGTACACGTCGACTGCTCACAGAGAAGTATTTAATGCACGCGATGCTATTGCTCGTTAGTAGGAGCGCGAAACAGTCAGCTCGTGGTGGTAAATGGTCGTTCCGCGTATTGTTGGCGGGTAATGAGGCAATCCCTATTTTACTAACGCTACACTGATTCATACCCTTACCAATGACGTATGCAATTATATGGATCCCCGATTTAGTACCAGTCAAATCTCTCATGAACGCTGCTTTATCAGCTAATCCGCTCGGACAATCTAATCGGTTTCCACAATAAATCATAGTGCTAATCAATCCATTTACGAGCAAACGAAGCGGTTTTCACAATATATCTTGTGCTCAAAACGGGTAAATTCGTACTTAGTCGAGACTATTGGCTCAACTTTGTATGGGACCTGCAACAGGGTGTGGGCAAGTGATGATTACTGTAAAGGTGCCAAGCGGACTTTATCTACTCTAGATGGATGTTACGGCGCTAGTATGATCGATAGAGAGAGTGCAAAGTCAGCAACGAGCCTCGGTTGGATGGGAGCTAATTCTACCATATTAGACAGCTAAGTGACCCTTTTAAGGGTCAGATTATTTACTGGAAGGTCACGAAAAGCCGCCTTTTGCTATGCTAGGACAAAAGTCTTTAAATCCGTTAGGTCCTTCCAGATGGGGATAAAAACATCATTGGAAAGCGCTGCGTGTGCTCTAAATGATACGCAATTGCACTTAGGAGGAAGAGCATTATTAAAAGCAGAGCATGCTATGATGTGCAACCACTTCACTGATAATGCTGCTATCGAGTCGATTCTAAAAATAGCGCATGCTCGACCCTTCAAACAACTGAGCTTGAGTATCGAAAATGAACAGCTAAGGGGTGGTTTCATGGGTAGGAAGATAGGAGTGCTAATGACGCCTGAACTAGCAGCAACCACAGCGTGAAAACGTACCAGATCGTGTTTTAGATGCTTCCGAGGGCACCATCAAAAAGTATGGGGTGGCTTGGGCCACTTGCGGATTTAATTTTGATGAAACCAGCATAATTTGAAGTGACCTTCCAGTAAATAATCTGTGTTATATTATGTCGTACAGTACTAGCGCCACTGCATACACTACGAGGCTTTGTATGAGGAGCCCTCGCACGTGTCCTGCGGGTCGACTGTCTTCTGCACCCCACTGCCGAAGAGGTTGTAGTACCATTCCTTATCCACGTCGAACTTCTGGATGAGCGACGACGACTCTGCGGCGGCCTTGTCGTACAGATCCGCGGCGTCCAGGAACTTCATGGCGTCGATCTCCTCGTAGCTGCGGCCCGTCATCTCCTGGAACTTGCGCACGCGGAAGTCGTGGACCACTTTGCCCACTTTGATCCCGTCGGGCGTCTTGACGTGCTGGTCGTCCACCACGTTGGCGTCCAGCTCCGGGTCGGACGTCATGCTGCGGCGGTTCCAGTTGGCCGAGCCGTCCGCCAGGTATACGTCGTCAATGACCACGAGCTTGCTGTGGATGTAGATGTCCAGGTCCGTCTTCATCGTGTAGAGCTTGAACTTGTTGGGGAACTTTTCTTTCAGTGGCTGCATGTTCTCGTACATGTACTTCTCGTAGCCGCCCGACTTGGTGAGCAGCTCCGGCGGCTGCACGACGACGATCAGGCGCTGCAGCGTCGGCATGACCTCCATCAACGCGTCCAGCAGCTCGGGCACGTGGATGAAGTACTGGTCTTCAATGTAGATGAAGTTCTTGGCGTTCTTGATGACCTTGATCCGCGCGTGGAAGAGCGAGTTCTCGCCGTTCGGAGCAAACTCCCAGCGCTTGTACTTGCAGCTGAAAGTTCTCACAATCTGCACGTTTTGCTTGCCAAGCCTGGACGTGGTGTTGCTGCTGGCGTAGTCGAGAGGCGGCAGGTACGAGTACTGCGGGTTCTCGAAGTTGATGACGTCGTCTCCGAGACTCTGCGTCGGCAGGTAGAGCGAGTTCCAGCGAGCGAGGAAGTTGTTGGCCACGTCCTTGGCTGCCGGGCCGTGGATCCGCATGCTGCTGTCGACCCAGCCCCTGTTGCGGAAGTGCACGCCCGACTCCTTCCGAAGCGCCGAAACGTTGTGATGGATGGTGTCCCATCGGTCGTTGGTGAGGTCGATGCCGCCGACGTAGGCGATCGGGTGTTCGTCCTTGCCCGTGGACTTGTTGGCGGCAATAACGATCGTCTTCTGGTGCTGCGACGACAAGCCGTATGGCAGGCGGTCGTCGAAGATGAAGAGCGCGTTGCCGTCGTTGATGCCGGACTTGGGCAGCTTGTTGATCCGATTGCGCACCTTGATGTCCTGGAAGAAGAGGAACTTGTTGGCCCAGCCGAGGATCTTGACGTCTCCCCCGCGCTTCACGATGCCTCCGACCACCACGTCGAAGTTCGACTTGGCGCCGGAAGGGTCCACGTCGGGGACCAAAGGGATGAGGTCGGTGTTCCAGGCCGCCAGCAACACGCGGTCGTTCTCCTTTGTGGTCGACAGATCCTTGTACGCCGAGTCGAAGAACTCCTTAGTTACGGTGAAGGTGACAACCGAGTTGCCTCGAGTGAAGGTGGACAAGTCACTGCGGGGGACGCCGCCGCGAGACGCGGTGATCTCCTTCTCCGTGAGGAACCAGTCCGTGGCCTTGAGCAGAGGCTGCTCCATCCTCACATCGGAGCCGTTGGACTTGTCCACGTCGACGCTGGCACTTCCCGAGCCGGAATCATCGTCATCCCCGCCGAATAGGGATGAGAAGGACCAAGCTGATGATGGCACAGGGGCAAGTGCCAGCACACAAACCAGGATGACGGCGAGTCGAGAAGCGATCGCGCTGCGGCGTGGGGATAACCTTACAGCACTCTCCATGTCGGACAAAACTCACACTGACGAGAGGACAAGTGCTCTGTTTGTCGCTGAAGAGGTTGTGAGAGGCGGAATGTTCGGGGGTGTACGGTACCGCACGCTCTCCTCCGATGTTCGCTGATCCAGAGCAGACGGTGTTGGCCTAGGTACCGTAATTTAGATCTCATACTACACAGATCTCTTACTTCATACTAGGCATTAGCCAATGATATCGCGCCATTTACCCAGCTCATCAGTTGAGTTCTCATAATACGTAGGGTATAAATAGAGCAAATGCAGCAAAAGAGGGCCAGTCATTGCAAGAGAACAACCATGGAGCGCACGCCAAGTCCGCGGGAAGTGATGTCCCGCTCTGCAGGTCAGCATTGAGGGCGGACACGCACAACAGGAACAGGAAAGCTGCCGAAGCAGTTTAAGCGTGTTGCTGTCTCCTTTCAACACAAGCTCAGCGTGACGCTAGCTGCCGTGGAGTAGATAGATCTAGACAGCAGTGTTTAAGGGTACCGGTAAATTACCACTTTGCATGATGCACTTCAGAATACGAACATAAAATCGTCGGTACATGTACATCTCGTGTCCACTTTGCAACACAACAACTTCAATAATCAGCTATATGTAGTATGAGATCTAACTTACGGTAATTCTGTTAGGGCCGGGGAAAGCAAAGCGTTCTTGTTGTCCTCGGCGCGTTTTGGCCCGTCCATATTTTCTCTTACTTGGGTAAAGAGTCTTTACTAAAGACCGACTCAAGTAAGCCACCCTTCCTCGCGCGGTTTCCCAGTCTGTCCTCTCAGAATCCCAATGGGATGGGAAATGGGCCCACCGGCGGGCGGTAAGCCCAATTCGGTGACCGTCTTGCCGTATTCGTCAGAGGAACCGAGGGTAATTATTGTATCGATCTGCACGGACAAGTTCGCCCTGCTTGCTTACGATGGACCTGGATCGAGATTAACACGTATTAAATTTAAACCGTTTGAGCTTACTAAAAACATTCATGATGAAACAGGTGCCCAACTTATAATACGGGTTGTTGTCTGGTTCATCCCACCATATGGAATTGAGGTTTGTAAAAAAAAGAGCTTATTTGTGGAGCAAGCCGTGTGTCTTGGATCTCAAGCTTTTTGCAACTATGTAAGAGCGTGTTCGCTAGGTAGCTGGAGATGGAGATGACCTCTCATCAACTCTATTTCTTGTCTTTTGATTGGTCAAAATAGTTTAGTTCACAACGTGACAACTGGAGAATTACTCCGTCTCCTTCTCCAGCTCCCAGAGCTGGAGAAGGAGAAAGTAGCTGGAGATTGAGGCAGTTCAGCCGCACACACAATGAACGAAGAGGAAGCTGTACTGGTTGCTACATGCTCAGCTGTCGCACAGGTTGCAGTCCTCCTATCAGGAGAATCCGACGATGCGCCGCAAGGCCCTAAGGAACAGATTCGTACCGTGACCTCACTGCACTTTGAGCCCATGCTACAGTCAGCCGCGTATGCAAGTTGGTTTGAAGACAATCTTCGCTGCACCAAGCCAACTTTCCTACGTATTGCTGGTTTACTACGAGATCAAGGTGTTCTGTTTGCTGCTGGCAGCATAGCTTTGAGAAGAAAGTTGCAGCCGTGTCAAAACGAGCCCGCAGCAGGGCATCAGCTGCTGCAGTCGTCCACGCAAAGGAGGGTTGCTTCGTAGCGATAGACGTTTCACCAGTATTGGCCTTCTTCTTCTGATTCCCAACGCGGCGATGTGAGTCTTGGTTGCGGGCTGACGCAGCTACAACTCCGAGCGCAAAAAGCTGGCTGGGTGTCTCTGAATGCGGCAGCGCCAGCGAGGAAGTGCGGGCATCCAGCTCCGTTTGAGTGGTGGAGTAGTGGGCGGTGTCGCATACACAGTCTGGGCAAGAGCAACATCGGAGGCAGGTATGTCCAAACTGGCAGCAGCCAGCACGAGGTCGCCAAAGGCTGACGGGAACGGAGGCGCAGCTCTCGGAGCGTCATCGGCAGCTTGGTCCATCTTGATTCGAGCTGTCACAAAAATCCAGCAGCGAATCGACAAGGCCATTTGATTCGCTATAAACAGAACTACTTTAGACCAATCACAATGTATTTCTCATGTTGAAGTGCTCGTGTTGACAACAACATGATTCTTCAGCTTAAACTGCATCACCTTGGCCCACTCAGCAGCTTCGGGCGTCTCCGTAGACCAGGTTTTCACACGGGGCGCATAAGCTTCCCACAGCTTGTGGACAATTTCGTTGAACTAGCCACCATTCATAACAGCAGGGGCCAGCGCGTTGCCGGACGTGTCGCGCTAGTTGAGGGTTTCTTTGACAATCGGCTGTACCAAGAGCTGGTAGAGCTGCTGGGTTGATACCAGCGGCATAAGGACTGCATCAGCTTGAGTCGTGTTAGGAGCTGCGGCTGATGCCCGCCTCTGCGAAGCTTGGGCTGTCAAATTCATCGTCTGTGCAGCTCCAGCAGCTGATTGCAAGCCCAGAGTAGTGCCTCTGGCTCCGACTCGCTCAGGTACTGCTTGCCCTTCGCTGTGGCCTGCTCCAGCAGCGACTCGCAGGTCTGGGCCGACACCTCCGGCTGCGACTCGCTCTTGCACTACTCGTTCTTCGCTGTGACCAGCTCCAGCGGCTGCTTGTATGTCTGGGGTAGCACCCCCGGCCGCGACGCGCTCGAGCACTGCTTGCCCAACTTCAGGTCCTGCTCCAGCAACGACGGGCAGGTCTGGGGTGAGGCCAGCAGCAGCGCGCTCTCGAACCACTTGATCGACTTGGTGCTCAGCTCCTACAGGGGCTCGAAGGTCTTGGGAGGAGCCAGCTGAGACGCGTTGTTGACCGTCACAGTCTGCTTGACTCTCAGCTCCAGCAGCGGCGCGCAGGACTTGAGCGAAGCCAGAAGCTGCTTGCTCTGCTGCGAATACAGTATCCGGCGTCTCCTGGTCTTCTGATGGGTCGTGACGCGCTACATTCCCGTGCGCAGGGTATGGCGAGACTCGCTGATGGCTTCGCGCACGAGACGATCGTCCTGACGGCTGCTGCATTGCATTGACTGCGGAAATGCGGAATGCGGAAATGCATCTGCACGTGGGTTCAGAGTGATTGTCTTACCCTGTGTATTTCATAAAATATGATTTTACGAGGGTTTGTCGGCTTTGCGGCGATTCGGCTGGGTCGATTCAATCAATCGACCTCGGAAATTTTGAATAGAACGCGCAATACTGCAGCGTGAGACCGGCCACTTTTTGACTTTCGGTGCGGCCTCGGCTTGGCATGACTGTCACCGAGAGATCGGTACCATCACTGTCGGACTGCTGCTTCGACACGGTGCTGGAACCGGTCTCGGAGTCGTCGTCACCTCGGAATAGCGATGATAAGGACCATGCTGACGATGGGGCTGCGACTATTGCCAGCGTGGAAACCACGGCAAGAACGAGCTTGGAGCTGCGTCGTGCCGCGGACGGCACGGAAGTCAAGGTGACGCAGCCTCGAGGAGACTATCGAGTCGCGCGGTGGAATCCCTCGCCATGGCCTGCAGACGTACACGACCGGCAACAAGGTGACGGTCTACACCGTCGCGAACGAGTTCTTCACTGCGGTTGTTAAGGACTTTAGAGCGACGAAGGAGGGCGACCGCGTCATGTACACAGGTTGGGACACGTGCGTCATCCCGTTCGAGGCCGACATCGACCCTAAGGGCACCAAGACAGGCTTCGACGTCATGTTCAAGGGCATCGTGGAGCGCGGCGGCAGCGTCAACCTCTTGTCGTGGTCCAACTTCCTGCTGACGTCGCAGAACACGAACGCGCGCGACGTCATCAATTCGATTCCTCCATCGAAGATCAACGGAGCCAAGGCTGTGTATCTCTTCGACGACCGCGTTCCGCTCGTGGCCTCGTCGCAACACCAGAAGACGATCGTTATTGCCGCCAACAAGTCCACGAGCAAGGACGAACACCCGATCGCCTACGTCGGCGGCATCGACCTCACCAACGACCGATGGGACACGATCTACCACAACAACACCGCCATCCGCAAGGCGGCCAACATCCCGTACCGCAACAATGGCTGGGTGGACGCTCACTTCCGGATCCACGGACCGGCCGCGAAAGAAGTGGCCAACAACTTCCTCCAGCGATGGAACTCCGACTACAAGCCGTGCCAGGGGCTGGGAGACAATCTCCTGGACTTTGACAACCCGGACTACGAGAAGCTGCCGCCCATCGACTACGCGAGCAGCAACACCACGTCCAAGCTCGGCCACCAGAACATCCAGATCGTGCGGACGTTCAGCTGCAAGCACAGACACTACGAGGAGTTCGCACCACGAGGCGAGCAGTCTCTCTTCAAGGCCCGACTCAAAGCGCTTCGAAACGCCAAGAACTTCATCTACATCGAGGACCAGTACTTCATCTACGTGCCCGAACTGCTGGACGCTCTCATGGAGGTCTTGCCCCGGATCCAGCGCCTCATCGTGCTCGTGCAGCCGCCCGACACGCTGCTCAAGGCCTCAGGCTACGAGAAGTACCTGTACGAGATGATCGGCCCCATGAAGGAGAAATACCCCAACAAGGTACAGATTTACACCACCAAGCCAGAATTGGACATCTACATCCACACCAAGCTCGTGCTCATCGACGACGTGTACGTGTCGCTGGGCTCGGCCAACTGGAACCGCCGCAGCGTGACGTCCGACTCGGAGCTCAACGCCAACGTCATCGACGACGAGACGGTCGAGTCGCCTGACGGCGTCATGGTGCTCAAGCTGGTGCGCGATATGCGCATCCGCAAGTTCGTCGAGATGAGGGGCTCAGCGACAAGAAGCTTAACGCCATGAAGTTCATCGATGCGGCGGACCAGTTCAAGATTGCCGCCAAGGACGAGTCCACGATCCTCACGGACTTCAGCGTCAAGCACCACGCGTACTACATCACGTTCGTCGACGTATTCCGGGAGCAGGTCGATCCGCAGGAGGTTTGCACCTTCACGGAGGAAGGCTCCAAGAGAGAGATTCAGTAGAGCGCGCCAGCGTAATGAATATATACGCTAAACTCAGTGTCGTGCGTTATATTGCGTGCCTTCCCGTAGGATACGACCTCATTATTTGAGGAGATGAAGAATACAAGCCACATTGTTGTCAGCATACTTTCTCGAAATTTGTTTGGCACGTTCACGTTTACTTACCGGAGCTCTTACTAAGCTTACTTGTCACGCCCCAACGCCCACACTCTTCATCTCTTAAAGAATCAAATACCCAACGCCCCCTTTCGTTAAACCTGCAGCTGGTCCAGCAGCGCGTTGTACTCCACGCACTTCTCCGACAGCACGAGCATCATCTGCTGGTACGTGGCCAGCAGCTTTTCCACTCGGCCGTGCAGCGCCAAGGCGCGCTCGCTCTGCAGCTCGCCCGCTGCCTCCAGCTGCGTCAGGCGCGTCGAGTGGCCGGCGTCCGGGGCGCGGAGCTGGTCCAGCACGCTGCTCAGTTGTTGAAGTTGCTGCAGCTGCGCCGCAACGCGCTGCACTTGGTCGGCGGAGCTCAATATGGTCGCGCGCTTCAGTTCGTCACCTGCACGGGAGCTGCTGCGCGCAAACGCACTCGCGGACTGCAACTGGAGATGGTCGGCGTGCTCCTGGTCTGCAGGAACGTCGAAGTTGATATTAGTGGATCTCTAAATTGATACAACGCAGCAGCTACGCACACAGCTCGCGCAGCTTGGCAGCACCCGAGGCGGCGCCGGAGAGCGAGTCCAGCTGCGCCTGCAGCCCACGCAGCCGCTCCACGAGCGGTGTAGTGGCTGGAGGCGGTGTGCTCCCCAGCCCCAGCACCTTGCTGCGAAGCGCAGCTTCACGACATTCGAGCGCGTCCATACCGTCAAAATTCCAACGGGGTTGGACTGCTTCCAACCAAAACCGGTCTAGCAACGGTATTAGGTTTTTTGTTCAGCTGATATTTAACCTCACGACCGCCGATTGGATTTTCGGCCAACAGTCCAGAAGCTTCCAGGTTAGTGCAGGCAGCGAGTCGTGCAACGCTGCTTGTGCTACCTGTGCTGACTGTGCTGCTGTTGTCTCTGCGTGTACACAGGCGCTGCTGGCCGCTGGGCCGTCTGTGCTGCTGGGCCGTCTGTGCTGCTGGGCCCTGTGTGCTGCTGGGACGTGTGTGCTGCTGGGCCGTCTGTGCTGCTGGGCCGTGTGTCCTGCTGGGCCGTGTGTGTGTGCTGCTGGGCCGTGTGTGTGTGCTGCTGGGCCGTCTGTGCTGCTGGGCCGTGTGTGCTACTGACGCTGGGCCACTTGCTGCTGGGCTATGTGCGCTGCTGGGACGTGTATTGGGTTGCGTCTGTGCGCTCTCGTGGCGTGTGGCTCAAGTGGCCGAGGGTTTGGACGAGTATGGTGCTGTTGATGGATGCGACTTACCCGCGCCTATGGAGCTCGTGAGGTTGAGCGCCAGGCCTTCGGGCCTGGAGGATCGGGTTCAAACCCCGACATGGGCATCAAGTGTTATGTGTTTTTGCTTTCTTTTTGGACAGGTCGGCTAAGAGAGTGCGTGCTACTCCTGTTGTACGTATTGTGTATCTTATTGACTGTTTAGTGTGCTGCGTGTGCATTTAGGTGAAGCGCAGGAATGGCGGAAGGGCAGAATTGGGTGTCGGGTCGACGACTTCGCCTTCGTAGTAGCGCTCGCGAAACTGGTCAAGGAGGACGGAAAGGTGCCCTGCTTTGTGAAGCGCACGCATGGCTTTGACGACCGAGCCAACGTCTACAGCCTGTGAGCCTTGTGCAGCCAAGTATTCAAGCGTCTTTATCACGGCTTCGACTCCAACAGTGTGGACCTCCGCCTTGTACGCTGGCGAGGCCGGGTCCAGCTTGAACCCAGAAGGTAAGCAGAGCATCATGAATGCAACTGCGTGTCGTGACTCGTGAAGGATGGCTTTGCTAACTGTTGTTGATTCGTATATGCGTGGTACAGCAGTGAACCACTCGAACCACACTGTCGATAGCGCTTTGGAGGCACGTTTGCGCGCGCGCTTTGGCTGCGACTGCTCAACGTCTTCGTGCTGCTGCTCAGTAGTGTTTGTTTTCTTGTCAATAGATTCTGCGTTCGCCCCCAAAACAGCCAGCCTTTCCTCTACGCGTGTTTGGCGGAGCAATAGCTCGTCGAGCTGCTGCGACAGCTTTTCGAGAACACAGATCATGTTTTGAGAGGACTCGGCCACTGTTTCTTGTTTCTCTTCTGCAGGTGGATTGAATGCAGCTCGGAGGGTGATCGACCATGCCAACAGCTCGGAGGTCTGTATGTTGAGGACACCAAGGGCTTCATGAATGCGACGGACGTACGGGTTATCCAAGCGATGGCGTTCCATCTCGGGGAAGTGAAGGATCAAGGTCGCCATCAACACTTCGAGCACCGGAGGATCCAAGTTCCAAGACACTGTCGGGAAACCAGTGACAGCAGCGAAGGGGAGATTCTGCAGCTTCTCCACGCGCGCTCGGACGGCTCCGTCCAGGGCGGTAAGGTCTGGAAGTCGGGCGCCCGCTTGCGGGTTCCACCCGCTCAATTGGCGCGCAACTTGTTGATCTTCGTGTGTTGTGTTCAGCATGTAGGAAAACGCCTTGCTCACGCGCGACATATTCCAGCCCCCGCGTTCAACAACCCAGTTCGGGCTAATGCGACTGTCGGCGTTGGCGTGCATGGCCCCACCTCTTCTGAAGGAGTGCGAGGTAAGTCCCTTCGTGAGTCCACTCTCCTTTGCTGCTGGCAGTCCACTAACCGTGACTAATAGTCTATTGATATAAGCTTGGGCACCAGGGGCCGAGTTGGCTCGACATGGCTGTGGATTCTTGCATGTAGGTGCTTCCCCAAGCTCGCGGTCCAGCCGCGCAATCAACCCCAGCTCGCCATCGTCGTCTTGGTCGTCGGACGCGGACAGTGCAGGTACGGCAGCAAATTGCGGGAAGATGCGAGTTCCTGGAGCGGGTTGAAGGGCGAGAGCGACAGCTAGCACGTGTAACGGGCACGTGATGGGATCGTTAGGATCCTTAAACAGGGAGGTTCCCTGTTGCGAAGCAGTCTTCACACGCTTAAAGCGGAGAAATATCATACCGCCTAGCATATACGCACAGAATTGTCAGCATAATTCGTGGGATTAATTAATACAAAAATTCAAAATCCTGCATGATTCGTACCGGGGTATACACACAGCTGGGCTTTCTCCAATTGCTCAGCCTCAGAACCACGACCGTAGAGGTACCACACCAACGCCACTAGCGCCGCATCCAGGTAGTCGGAGTTGGCGGAAGCGTGCATGTAGAGAGCCGAGATGATAGTCTTTATATCTTTCTTAGTACATGGTGGCGCTTGTTTCGTGACACCTTGCTCCGGCCTCTTTTCACAGTACCGATCTAGAGTTGATAGCATCTTTTGCAGCTTCTTAGCTACACATTGGCTCTGTTGCGGGTACAGATCCGCCAGCCAGTTCTTAACATTGCCAAAATAAGATAACACAGTGTTCTTGGACAGAGCTACTCCTTGTCTTCCTACCTTTTTCACTAAGAACCACCCATACTTATCCAGAATGACAAACAAACTCTTACCTGTGCTGTCCTTAGAAATACGATAATGCACTTCTGTGAGCGTCACCTCCTTCTTCGCAAGGAAGTCTTCGAAGGACTTCACAGCCGTCGCTCTGCTTCTCTGGCTGTTCGCAGGAACTAGCGATGCCACCGACATGCCTGTGTGCGTCGGAACGCAGAATGGAGTCGGAGATGAGCTGGCAGGGGTTGGAAACCTATGAATATTTATTCTATTTGTAGTTCACTTGATATTTGTATGGCGTGCTCGATATCAAATCGCGTTTCCAACCAGATATCGTTGGAATGTTCAGATCAGCGGTTGGCAGTCATTCCCTCTATTTAATTGGTCGAAATTTTAAGCAACGGTAGTGTCTATTGGTTGTAAATGCTAAGAATCGCAGACGACACACTCCTATTGGCCCGAAGCACCATACAAACTTTAAGGTATTTTTCAGGGGTTAGAATCGCAGCGATATGCTACCTTATCACGTTCTTTGCCGCTCTAATTCGCGGTCGCTGCCGCCAAGGTGGATGTGTTTCAGCGTTTTTATCGATTTTTTAACAAAATGCGGGCCGAGCGTGAACAAGCTCTGCACGGCTGGCCCCGGTTACCTAAAGGTCGAGACACGCCTGGCGAGCGGAATCCTACATGCATTGTGATTGCGATACACGCGCCATGGCCCGCGGCCGGAGCACACATCCATTCATGACGCCCAGCCCAGTCTTGATACAGTCAGGCCATTTCCAGATGGACACCGCCCGCAGCTCCAGCCACGTTGTGTCTCTCCGCCGCCCCACGTGCCGAGCCCGGCTCGTTGCCGTCGTCATCCAAGGGGGTGTCCTGTGCTCGAGATAGGAACTGAATGCGCTAACTCAGCGGTCGCTTCAACGTCAACCGAGCTCCGCGCACCAGTCGATCGCACATCGCGGCCCACCGCGAAATCCAGGCGCGGTGCCGACAGAGATCAAGGAGCCCCGATAAGATTGCAAGATGTGTGCGTCGCGAATGAATTGTTACATGTGCAACTGGATTGTAAACTCCGCTGACGAACTCCGGTGGTCAGTGCGGCTCCGAACGCGTAAGTACATATCCTTGCTGGTGGACCAAAGATACCAACTTGGCCAAGATACTTTCCTGCGCGCCGGCACGGTCCAAAAGCATGTGCTTGTTTTGCTTTTTATCGTCCTGTATTCATTTGCTTCGGGGCTGCCTGCGTGTACAAAGGGGTCTGCGTTATACTAGTACCATCACATTACCGCGGACTCCGTGGCGCGGAGCAGTGCAGTGCAATGGAGACATCAGTGCGGTTAGTCGCCACCTTACGACCACCGGACAGGGATCGCGCAGGCCCAGGGGCGTGTTGAAGTGTCCCTCAACGCCTCATCGAGTTGCCGCGTTGTGCGGGTCCACCACCCTATCAAACGGCATGCGGCCGCAGAACCTCCGTCCGAGCCTGCACCCCACAGAGCAGCAGACACGCAGACAGCAAATGCTGAGGATAATTTTCGCCGCGTCCAGCGCGCTCCATGGACTCCGCCGCGAGAGTTACAAACCGATAGGGACAAGCCGTCAAATCCTGCAAGTACTGCCTGAACCTGCGATTCTCTATTCAATTTGCACGTCGGCCGATACACCTCGTGGTTGCAGACCACCACATATCCCGGGGATAGTCACCATACATAGCAGGGAAACTATCAATTTGCACACCTCCCATTCATGTCGGTATATCGGGATAGAGAGACTTCAAGTCCAAGGTCTCCGCATCCCGACCTGCATCTTCGGCGACAGCAGCTGGGGATTGCCGGCTAGGCCAAGTGCTGGGCGCGCCGGGGCTTTGCCACGTCGAGTGAGATGGTCTTCCCCGTCGTTCGCATGTTACTGCACTGTGTGGAACGGGAAACTTGTTTTTCGTGGCTCACTCGGAATTCCAACCGCTCAACAGCACAGCGCCGCTTGACGCTCGACCTGTACCTACCTCTCCCCCCTAGCTAAACAGATCACCATGGCTCGCTTCATGACGTACCTCGCGCTCCTGGCCCTCGCCGCCGTGGCCGTGACCAGCCCGGTGTCGGCCATCCCGGACCCGAACGCGGTGGCCGCGGCCGCCAACGCTGAGGCCGCGACGACGCCCGAGGCCGCCGTCAACAACGCCGGCAGCACGGTCACCGGTACCGCCGCCACGCTCACGGAGGCCGACACCTCCAACACGGCCGCCGCCATTTCGGACAGCATCACGAACGTCACGACGGAGACGAGCATCAGCGCCTCGGGCTCGGGCTCGGTCGAAAAGAGCACCAGCACCAGCAGCGCCAGCGCGGCCGCGTCGGCATCCGCGTCGGCCTCGGGCTCATCGGACTCGTCGCACATGACGCCGAGCCTCGCGCTGGCCTCGGTGGCCGCCATCGCCATCACCGGACTCTTTATCTAAACTCACGGCGGCCCCGCCCACGACGGAATGGGATCGACGACTTGATGTAGTCTGGTGTAGAGTAAGTTTCGGGTCGTCCTCAATGCGAGCGTGCCCTCCGCTGGACAACATCTGCCTTAAATAAAAGCACGTACATGGGTTTATAAGAGTTGCGTTTGTCCACCTTCCTCTCCAGCTTCTTAAGCGAGTGGTCGACTAATGTTACCGTCGGTAGCTTCAGCGCTTTCGTCAGGTATCTTCATCACGGCGAGTTTGATTGAGTAGCAAGTCGTTCGACCCGTCAGTTCCTGTTTCGCCAGCCGTGGCGTTCTCAGCTCGGAGACAGAAGTGTAGATGGGGTCATTCGAATTCCTGTAAAGTACCAGCAAGCACTGTGTGGTACGGTTGAAGGCGAATGATTAACTGAGAGATGAGTTTGATTAATCGGATGCGTTGGCTGCTTCCCCTTTACCGTCTACGGTGTGTGTAAGTGTACTTCAGGCTTGAAAGCTGCAAGCTTAGGCGAAGTTGAGAGCGAGTCCGGCAACCGCAAGGGCGGCCATGACGAGGCCCGACGACTGGCACGACGAGGGGGCCGCAGAGGAGCCCGAAGCGGACGTGGAGCCGGAAGCGCTCGCCACGTCGTCGGCGACCGAGCCGACGATGCTGGCCGCGGTGTCGGCCACGCTGCCAGCCGCGTCGAGCAGGCTGCCTGCAGCGTCGGCGGCGCTGGAGACCGCATCGGCAGTCGTGCCGGTGGCGTTGGCAACGGTGTCGACAGCCGAGTCGACAGTCGCGTCGGCAGCGCTCGAGACCGTGTTGACGGCGCTGTTGGCGGCATTCGAGACGGCGCTGGAGGCCGTGTCGACGGCAGCATCGGCAGCGTTGTTGGCCGTGTCGGTGGCAGCGTTGGTCGCGGCGTCCGTGATGCTGTCAACGATGTCGGCGGACGCGACGGCGGCGAGGGCGAAGAAGGCGAGGACGGAAAGGACACGCATTTTGAGCGGTTTGAGTTCTGTTGATACTGCTGCGAGGCTGGGAGCGAAATCGAGAGTGAGCGCCGAGTTGTGAGGGAGAAGAGCTGAACGGCACCACTTGGTGCTGCGACAGAGTGTGCGATTCTCGCCCTACGGACCCGTATGTTCCGGCAATGGATTTTAATCGATGCAGATCATCTGGACAAGCGCTGGCCCTTCAGATCTTGGAGCAGGGCTCACCAGCAGATTAGGCCCACTTTTTAGAACATTCAAATTCTAGAAACGGGGCAGATATTTCTGTGTTTGTATTACGAACCCCATTGTGTAGTATTTATGTTGACACCCACTCGACACGTCACGCCCACCAGCCCCGGCTACTTCTGTTTTTGTATGCATTGCGATCAGGGCTGATTTAAATATGTTTGTTCGGCCCTAAAAATCTATTTTTCCGCGCTCAACCAGAGGCGCTGTTGTCATCGGTTTCCCCAGATAAAGCTCGGAACTACCTACCAAGATCCGGGGCAGTTGCAGGCAGTGGCGGGGCCACATCAAAAGTGTCGGTAACTACCATTTTTGCAAGTCTCCGTTCTAGATTTAGACCGTTCTAAAAAATGGGTTCGTTTTGCCGGTGAGCCTGAAGCAGCAGTGCAGCGCTTCGGAGCCTCTGAAGTTCGGTCGCGACTGTGCAATGCGGACACGGCATGACTCCGGCGATAACGCCACTTAGGTACTGAAGCTTCAACTCGACAGGCTCGTGAGCTAGCAGCGATGCCACCACGACGTAGCGAATACGGTACATGTAGCTTTGGCGCCAGTCCTGTGTGTAGCAATGTACAGTATCCGCATCCGTGACGCCCACCTAATACGACTCGGGACTGTGCAGCTACGTTTATTGTAGTTGTCTAACGATCTACACGCTGCAGATTTGCGAGTCCGCGCCAGTGGACTATAGGATGTTCGCGGCGAGGCCAACGGCAGCAAGAAGCGCTGTGGCAGTCAGCGCCGCGGTCTGCGCCGATGATACGTCGTCAACGATTGAGCCCGTGGCGCTTGCGACCGTGTCGTAGGCGTCTTTGGTGGTGTCTCCTACCGTGTCTGCGGCGTCGCGGACCCAGCTCGAGGTTGTGTTGTAGGTGTCTTCCGCTGTGTCTTTCACGGTGTCGGCAGCTCCGTTGACCCAGCTAGCGGTCGAGTCGTAGGCGTCTCCGACTGCGTCAACGGTGTCGTCAATCACGTTGGCTGAAGCGTTGGAAACTACAGCGACGACAGTGAGGGCTAGGAGCGGGAAGGAACCGATGCGAGCCATGTTCTTCGTTCTTCGAGGACGGGTGTTGATGCTTGGAGGCGAAAGTGAGAATGAGGAGGTGCAAACTCATGTTGAGCGCCACTCGCTGTTCGTTAGTCTAACTAGCTCGCTATCTACCTACACGTTTGATGTCAGTACAGGACAAGTTGCACAGGCTTACATACAAGACCGCGTTGCCGAAAAGGAAGCAATCAACACGTAAAATCCAAGCACAAGGGTGATCACTTTTTAATCAAGGACGGCAACGCAAAATAATCCAGTCTTAGGGCTGTCAGCACCAAACACGATGTCTTCGGCGCAGTTTGCAGTGCAATCCGCGACGCCTTCGCATCTAGATGCGCTCGATCTCGTTTCTCTCCGCACCGCGCTCTCTGACAGCAAAATGGGGCCAGAAGTGCTTCGCTACTGTACATACTTGCTGTCGCGCAGCCTCGGTCTCTTTGCCACTTTGGAATTCGCTCGTCCTGCTTCGAACTCAGTATCCATGCACTTCACCGTCCTCTTCGTCGTCGCAGCCGCGCTATTTTCTGCTGCTGTTCCCGTCAACGCGTTTGAGACTTGCAGCGATGCCGACAACGAGCAGTTAATCGAGCTGTACTCGACAGCAGCCGAAACTAGTGCCTGCGCGCCGTACTCGACGTTCATGCCGATCGGAACAGCAGCGATCTACTGGCCGTGCGACGCCACCGATTGCCAAGAGGTAATGGCGCAAGTCGCTTCGGGCATGCCTGACTGCTGGTACATGGGCAACAACCAGAAGGAGACGCTGCAGGAGGCGGTTGACCGCTGTGCAGGCGAGACACCGGACTGGACGACATCAAGAAGCTCAAACGGTGGAGGCGACTCAGCACCGTCGTCGAAGCCGTCCTCCAGCCCCTCTTCGGAGGCGACGGATGACGAGGCTACGACTAGGCCCCAGAACCCGAGCAAGAAAACACAGGACCAACTGCAGCTTCGGACGTAACCGCAACAACGGCGCCAGTCGGAGACTCGACGCCAACGTCAACTGCATCAACGCTCGTTGGTGCTGCATTGTGGTGGGGTTTGATTGGAGTGGTGGCGCACCCTTGATACTTAAGTACTGTACAGTAGTTGAGGGAATGCATCCGCGTTGTGTTTCAGAATACTGGCAGTCGTACGCCCCAAATCATAGCCACATTTGGTCTTTGGCAATGAAAAATCTTTGTTCACAGGCTTTATGCTCCCGTCGTCATAGCCCAACGCTCACGGCAGACTGCCGTCGGCAGCTGCATGGCAGTTGCGGCAACACCACTAACAATTCTTGCCACCCTCAAATTGAGAGCATTTTGTGGTTGTGCAGGACACTTCAACTTGTCTGAATAGGTTCGTAGAGTGCCTTGCATCGCTCGTAATCGAAAATCCGGCCAGGATGAATCCTCGAAATACATGTACGCAATGCCATTGCGTCAATGGTCGATGTCGTTGGACAGCAACAACCCAAGAAGAAGACGAATCCCTGATTACTGCCTGCAGCGATACCTTCTCGATTGTCAACGAGGTCACCCGCCACGAATATGGCGCTCGCATCTTGATTATCTCCAGTGGCGCGTTCTGTCCACCACGGTAAACCCTCGGTATCTCACGAGGTATTCGCCGAAGCAATTGCTGAGATTAAGACGGAAACCAGATTGGTGCTCGAACGCGTATTCACCTACCTACCTTTTGAGCAGCGTGAGACGGCTCAATTCTTCATTCCTCATCTTGCTCTCAAGTGACAACAACAACTACCACCCATCCAAGGGCGCCATTTACGATCGCCATGGCTCGCATCACCTCGTACCGAACTCTCGCGGCGCTCGCTGTTATTGTTGCTACGGCCTCACCCGCCAGGGCCAACATCATCGACGACGCCACCGACGCGGCTGAAGACGCCGCCAACGCGATCGCCAGTGCTGCCAAGGACGCTGCCGACGCAGCCGGAAGCTGGATCGACAACGCTGCCAGCAACGTCCAGGAATTCTACCACGACGCCGCCAGTGCTGCGGAAGACGCCTACGAGGCCGCGGCCAGCGCGGCCAAGGAAGCGTGCAACAAGTTCAATGCTGAGCACAGCGCGTCGCTCGACTGCACCGAGTCCACGGCGAGCGCAGCTGCCGATGCTGCTGCCAGTGCCGCCGAGGAAGCCTGCGCGGGTTACAACAACGCCACCGACAGCTCGCTCGACTGCGCGCAAGCGGCCGCCAGCGCCGCATTAGAGGCTTGCTACAGCTACAACAACGCCACCGACAGCTCGTACGACTGCTCCACGATCAATGCGTCCTCCCCGACCACGAACTCGACGAACAGCCCTGCCAGCAGCACAACCTCGAGCACGACGAACGCGCCGGCAACAAGCGCGGCCAGCAGCTCTGCTGACGGAATCTCGACCACGTCCTCGGCCCCCACGCTCGCTACGCCCGGCTTCTCGGCTGCGTGCGTCACTGCGATCACGCTCGTGGGGCTGCTCGCGAACTTTGTGTAGGGAGCTCGGTCGACGCCCAGGGCACCTTCACCTTGCACGCTTCTTGATATCTTTCAGCAAATACACACGAACACCGTCTAGTGATATGATGTCTTAGTGCGCCTTGGTTTCGATGTGAAGGGGTCGACTACTGTTTGTGTTGCTGCGTTGTGTGACGAGGATGCAGTGCAGCTCGCGGTTCATGTTGAAGTGGTGATTGCAACTTTTGTCAAATGAGTGGTGGGCAGTTGATTCAAGGCACGTTGTCCTCGCGGACCAAGGCGCGCCGCTACGCTTGCCGAGCGGAATGAGCGCAGCAAAGCGCACCGATACAACTGCTTTTTCCAGGACGCAGCTGGCGGCCAGAAACCCAGTCGAGGCAAAGCTTTGGGCTCGTGAGGACTGGTATCCTCTACACACCTGCTTACCATGCTACTTTTAAACTTGATATCACGTCAGGCTATACTCCTGATGAACCAATCACCGTTTCGTAATGTCATTATTTTACTCTTTATAGTTTTGAACTTTTCATATCGAATGCGCCATTACACTCAAACAATGCATTGGTACAGGTTTATCCGACTTTTTTCTGTTCGAGCTGACTATCTGACAATCGTAGGCAGATCCGCTTCGGAGCAGCATGAAAGAGTGCACAGCAGCACACTCGGATTCCTCGGCTCCACAGAGGAATCGCACGCGCTGCTCACATCCCAGCTTACATTTCATTCCACGATAGTCAGAGCTCCTCTAAAGTCACGCCATGGTCCGTCTTCTCGCCCTCGCGTCGCTGCTCGTGGTCGCCGTCGTGAGCCTTTCGCCCGCTGCCGCCATCCCCGACCCCATGGCGGTCGCCGCCAAAGCCACCAACGTCGCCATGGACACGTCCAGCGGAGCCGCTGACGTCGTGAAGGCAGCCGCCAAGCTCAACACCAGCGACACCAGCCAGCTCAAGCCCCCGCCGAAGCTCCTCATCTAAGTCCCTCAGTTATCGGAGACTTTCGCGCAGACGGACTTCACGGACCCCATCCCACCCCAGACCGAGCGACGTACTGTACTGTACTGCGCGAGCCTCGGTATGTGATTCTTTTTGTGTCTTAAGTAGAGATTTAAGCGACCGCTAATGCATGTCCGAAAACACGTCAAGTCCGTTGTGTTCGAAGTTCATCATAGATAAGAGCCAGCACCTTCCTTCCTGCATGAAATTCACTGCTTGGGTGCGAAGAAGTCTTGCATAGTGCGTTGGTGCAGCTCCTTCTTCATCGTCTTGGGCTTCTTCTTCAATGCCTCCGAGGGTTCCGCCGCATCAGCTTGGTCTTCGCTTCGAGGAGGGGTAGATACCGGGCTCTGTTTGGACTCTGACGACGCCGGACTGGTGGTGTGAGTCTGAGGCGACTTCTCGGGCTGCTGCTTGGCTTCCGCGTCGCCGTCTTGCCCCACCGGTAGTTGGAGCGCTGACAATGCCCGTTCCAGCGAAGTAGCGGCTCGAGATAAGACGCTCTGCGCGCCTCTCATCCCGCGACCAACGCTCAATTCGTCGAATAGAAACTCGGCCAACCACTGCGCGAGTCCTCCGCTCTGGCGGCCCCATTCACGCGCTTTCGGGCTAGTTGCAAGCGTTAGCAGCGGATTCACTTTGTTCTGTAGGTCCAGATCTCGCTCAAAGAGCACGTAGACCAACTCGCGATGCCGAAGCGAAGCTGCAAGCCACTGAATCAGGAACTTCAGCTCGCGGTCTCCTTGAAACACGCCGCAGCCCCAATTTCCTGTAGCCACAGGCCAGCACTGTTCGCCGTCGTGTGCGTCAGGGTAGGCAAACCCTGCGTATGCTTTCACCAGATCACGCCGTACGTGCGCACGCGTGTACTGCCGTTCCACTCGAGCAGAGCCGTAGTCAGTTGCGTCAATTCCAACGATCACGCACTCGCGGCGTAGACGTCCGTCAGCTTGAGCTATCAAGCGAATCGTATCTTGAAAATTACCACCAAACACGAATGACCCACCGTAGCCTTGGTACGCGCTATAGCGCTCTGTTCCATGGATCACAAATGCTTCGTGGGGCTCCAGCTTGGCGAATATGAGGCACGACACGAGCAGCTCGGGCGACAATAGAAACCGAATTTCCTCCTGGACGCAACCAGAATTGAGCACGCCACCGCCGGCAAACTTGTTCGCAAAGTCAATCTGTAAATGCTTGTCCAGATCTTCAATCAAAGTGTCCGACACACACCTTGCAGCGTGCAAGCGTGGACGTGTATCTACATCATCATGCGCTTCTTGAACGGGTCCATCAACGTCAGATGTGGTTCCTATGATTTCGAGAAGCTGTTGGGGCGTTTGCTCCGAGCGATTCCGCCCTTCATCGCCAGGAACGTGCACACCCACCCGAGTAAAATCAACGACTTCTGCAGAGAGAGCCGCCGGATCCGAAGTCATTCGAGGCACCACCCGCAAGAAATACTGCAAGATACACCGTAATTTCTGGGCCTTGAGCACGACCATCTTGCCCATGTTGCCTGGAGCCGAAAACATTCGAACCGCTGTAAAGTACGGGAATTGGATAATATCATCGTCGTTGTTGCCGCGTCGTCCCGCTTTTCGACTCGGAGGACTGAGCTCAGGTCGGACTTGCTTGACGATGTCTTGGTCCGGAAAGATTCCAAAGAAGCAGCCGCACACCAGCGTAAGCACTTCCAGCTTGGTGAACGTGTGGGTTTGCGTCACTACCCGAGTCTTCTTCCTTGAGCCATCGCCAGAATTTACCTCCGCTTCGTCACCACCTTCCAATGGTGTCAACAGTGGCGGCGGCGTTGCAAACATCTGCGGCATGTCCAGCACCAGTCGCACCATTTCCGGCAGCACGTCACTGAAGAACGCGGCCCTCTCCTCCCTCGTCAGCAGCTACAACACAAAAAATATAAATAAATAAATAAATAAATAAATACATTCTACTTTTGATCTTCCCGTCTCACAGAGTCTCGCACCTCGTTCATCGCGTACTCCAAGCAATTGAATCGGCGTCGAGGGTCCGACAGCGTCAACCTGCGACAGAACCAACCAGACACAGCGCTACAATCACTCTTTTGTCCTGCACCACTTCATCTAGGTATCCGGCCCGTACAGTTGCAGTCTGGCTGCGAGTTCGTGGACGTCTCGTATCGGCTGCGCCAGGAAGGCTGTGAAGTAGGGCCACAGCGGCACTTCGTCTCTGAAGATGCAGTTGGGTGAGCAGGGCAGCTGCATCCTGTGCTCTGCAGTAGCGGTGGGCGTCTCCATGTTGACGTCGCCGTCGCCGTCGACCTGCTCCTGCCCTGTTGCGTCCTGGTAGTCTCTGGGGTACTGCAGCCACAAATCTGCAGGTCTGGGCGGCGGCTCGAAGAACGGGTGACTGTCGGTCCGCAGCCAGCGCCCGAGCCGCAGCGTCTCCTGCAGCCAGAAGCGCGTCACAGGCCGCAGCAGCGCGTCAGTGGCGGCCGGCGTGCAGTCCGCCCAGTAGCTCGTGATCACGTGCACGACGTCGGGTTTGCTGCTGCTGGCGGCGTCGTAGAGCGCTCCATCGTGGCTCAGCAGCAGACTCTCCAGCTCGCGGCGCTCGCGCGGCGGCACGCAGTGGAAGGAGAAGACGGCGCCGCCCAGGGAGAAGCCGCGCGACATGCTTAATCGGCAGGATCACTTTGGACTTTGATGTCAGTCACTGCGGCAAATGGAGAAATGTAATTCGTATATGCTATTAATATAGGGTTGTAAATGTAATTTAGGGGTTATTGATGCAATCAGAAACACTTTAACTTTTGACGAGGAGAGTTTCAAACTACACTTAAGTAGGTGTCTAGAGGTGGAAATACTGGAACTTGTCAGGAGAATGAAGGTCTGATGACGCATCGATTATTTAGTGTTGAGCACACAAAATGCATGCTGCGCCGTTGACCGCACTTCGTGCTTCCTGCTGGGTCGTGACAACCGCCACGCACTAGCGAAAACAAAACAGCGGTATCAGGTCTCTGCAGCCATGGACATCGACGTGCTGGAGGCGCCGCTGCACGCGGTCCCTCTGTGGACGGAGGACGAGGTGGCCTTCGTGTCCGCGCTGCTGTCGGACGCGCCCGACGTGCTGAGCGACGAGCAGAGCTCCCCGAGTCCGCCCGCGTCCGTGGTCGACGAGAACGACGCCCCCAACGTCTGCACCGCCAATGGCAGCCACTCCGCAGCGCGCGCGAGCGTCAAGAAGACGTCGAAGAAGAAGACCAAGCTGTCGCGCGAGGAGCGCGCGGCCGCGAGACGCGCCAGCCACCGCGAGACCATGCGCAGGTCCAGGCAGAGGTTCCGCGACCAAATCGCCGCCATGATGCGCACGGTGCAGGAGCTCGAGAGCGTCAAGGCGCAGGCGCTCGAGCAGCAGCGGCAGCGCCCGGACGGCGGACTGCAGGGCCAAGTGGCCCATTTGGAGCGGCAGAGGCAGCAGCTGCTGGACGAGAACGACGCGCTGCACGCGCAGTTGGTGGACTCGCTGCTGGCCATCACGCGCGCGCATCCGGACAACTTTGAGCATGACCAGGTGCAGCGTCGAGTGGTGGGTCAGGCTGGCGAGAAGCAGGCAGACAATGGGGCGGACTTCTACGTCATGAACACTGGCCATGGGTCACTGGTGAAGAGGGACCCCGTGACGCTCTGCGACTTTGTCACTTGGGACGTCGGCACCATTGGCCACTGCTTGCAACTCGTGCGAGACGCGACGACCGAGATCGCCAGGTTTTACACGGCCGTGACCAGGGAGAAGCCTGAGAGGAAAATTGCGGCAGATATGATGGGATGGAGGCAACTGCGACGCGCGCTGGTGAAGCAGGACACGTGCGTCGAGTTTGCGTTCGACAAGACTTTTACCGGGTACTCGCCTGGCCAATTGTTCCGCAAGACGTGGGCGTTCTGCAGGAACCAACGGCAGTTTGCAACCATGTTGGAGCCGGTGCTGCATGCGCTGCAGCTTGAAGTGCTGCACCAGATCAACGACGACATTGTCGTGGTGCGCCGGATGCAGCAAGAGTTGAGCCCCGAGGGCGAAAAGCAGACGCCGACCAAGTACCGCAGCATTTACCTGCTGTATCGCATGACATCTCCTGCTGGGCTCTTCGTGGTGCTTCAGTCGGTGAACCCATCGTTCACTCGGCGCTGTGGCTGTGCCAATAATCTCTGGTTCGAATCGTTCCTGTGGTTTGGATTCTCAGCAAGTGATACTGGGAGCGCGGGCTGCCTCGTCCGATTTGGAGGCTCTTTGGATGGACATTCGGAGGAGTTCGCGAGTCGCTGGCAGCGAGAGATTTTCTTCATGCTACTGCGCTGGGAAACGCACAACGTCGCTCCGGTTGTGTTGCTGCCTCAATCCGACTCAGCATGAGGTGGAGCGAGATGATTTAAATTAGCCGAATTCTTGGAGTGGCTGGTAAGGGAGAATTACAACCTGGCTAGTTGTCGAGCACTCGGTTCAGCTTGTTAGCCCCAAGAAATACAACGGACGAAAGGTGTATATTCGCACTGTATCAGCAACGGTGTGCATGTCGAAAATGGCACCACCGTCAGCTGGAAATTCCACAAAAGTTTCAAGCAAAAAAACGATGCAGTCTAAACAGGTGATCATATCTTTCGTGGCCATAGTCTCCGTAGCCTTTCACACCGCGCACGTATCTCCTACACCCTTAGTGCTCGGTATCGTGACTGACTCCGTCGTTTTTCTAGTGCTGCAGCAAGAAGGGGGCAACGGCCAACGTTTCCCAACGAATGGCGAGGAAAAGGAGCTCCTTGAGTCGCGAGGACGCCAAGTCTTCGCTGACACACGAGTTTGTACCGCCGAATTCCGTCACGGTAGTGACGTCCTGGCCGGTGACGGGTTGAGCAGGAGACACACGAATCCAGTAGAAGATATCCCACCACTCCTCGTCATTCCGCAGCACACGATCAGCTTCCGGTGTGTCCAAGGTCTTGATACCCAGCGTCTGGGTTCCGTCGGCATCAGAGACGCGGAAAAGCACATACACCGTGCGGAGTACAACGTGTCTGCCCCTCCCGTCCGTGCTATTAGACCGGTCTTCCGTTTGTCGATGGATGATCAGAATGTCGTCCGAGATCTTCTGTAGCACCGTGATGTGAGTGTGGAGGTGCGATGGCCCTAGTCGCTGGAGGATGTCACCGTTGGTGTGCATTTGCCACGTCCGGTCCATTAGTTGCTGCGGAGTAACATTATGCAGCAGCTTCCTGACGCAGAAGGTGACAGCGTCACCTTGATGTTCGGCGTATTGGCTCCAGCCGAAGAACGTGGGGCGATTCTCGAAGCGCTCTTCGCTCGCGTAGTACAGTCGAGCGTCGTGAATTTGTTTCAAGATCTGCCACACGTAAGCCATCCCTTCTTCGTGTGTGAAGTGGGTAGGCTGCATACCGCTCCTGCTATCGAGAGGAGGGAAGCTGGCCAGTCGGTAGCGAAGACTGTTGTTGAACAGGTCACGCCTGGCCAATTCCTGAGCCATTGCAGCATTCTGTCGCCGGAATTCCTCGATCTCGGCCGCCAATTGAACGTACTCGTCCCGCGTCACGGGGGGTGATGAAGACGGATACAGCGACGTCGACACGACAAGATTTGGCCAGAACGACGGCGATGCACATTGCTCAGTGGTGGTAGTGGTGGTGGTGGTTCTGCTGCTTGCTGGGGCTGAACTGGCTGAGACTTGCGTCATGAGTTGTTGCTTCTGCAGTTCCAACGCTGCCACAGTCTTGCGCATCTGCTCCATGGTCTCCTGTCAATGCGTGAGCAAGCTGCGTGAGTCACAAGCGCTCATCATAATGACCGACATGAAACGCACTCTCTTGGCGAAGCTGCGTTTTCGGTCCCGTTCGTTGCGGCGGCGTTTCTTGAGCTCATCGGGCGATAGCTGTGTATCGTCCTCCTCCACTGGCGACAACAGAAGTTTCATTGACGCGGATTCTGTTGGAGTCTCTCTGCATGACTCCGCCTTGATGGCGACTCGCTTTGTAGTTATCGCTGGTGGCTCGGACTTGACCATCGAGCCAACCGATCCGCCGGCGCTCGAGGTACGAGGAGGAGGCTGGGGATACATTTTACTGCTCACAAACACGGTGAATGGAACACTGCTGCGGGTCGTCACGCATACACCCGAATCACAACTCACGGCGCATCCTCTCGCGTTTACAATTTGCGCTGGACACGCAAGATCAACGTGCTGCTTCAACCGCGCGGATGACCCATAAAGTTCAATTCAACACGAGCTAGGCTAGAATTGTTGCTCGACAACTTACTTAGTACTTCACTCCACTGCACTTCCGACATTTAAAACTTGAGCAGCGTGGGCGCCACGGCCAGCGACTCCCATCGGATGGCGAGGAACACGAGCTCGCCGAGCCACGCCTTGGCGATCTCGTCGCGCGTGTAGGTGTTGGAGCCGCCGAACTCGGCCACGGTCTCAAAATCTCGCGGGCGGCCGTCATCAGAGCTGGTTCGGACGGTGCCGTTGGGCAGGAAGCGGATCCAGTAGAAGATGTCGCACCACTGCTCGTCGTGGTGCAGCAGCTTCTTGACCAGCGGCAGGTTGATGGTCTTCATGGCGAGCGTCTGGCTGCCGTCGGCATCCGCGGTGCGGAACAACACGTACACGGTGCGCAGTGCGAGCTTGTTGCCGAATACGCCCGTGCGGGCGTTGTCCTCGCTGCGGCGGTCGATGACGAACAAGTCGTCCGAGAGCTTCTGCAGCGGGCGGATGTGCGTGTTCACCGTCGACGGGATCAGCTTCTGGGTGTTCTTGCCGTCCGTGAGCAGGTGCCACGTCGTGTCCATGAGCTGCGTCGGGGTCACGTTGCGCAGCGCCTTCTTGACGGAGAAGGTGATGGTTGAGCCCTCGCGCACCGTGTACTGGCCCCAGCCGAGGAACTTGGAGCGGTTGTGGTAGTGCGCGTCGGTCGCGTACAGGTAGCGCGCGTTGTTGATGAGTTGCAGCGTCTGGCGCACGCACGAGAGCCCTTCCTCGCGCGTGAGCGGCGTAAAGCGTACGCTGCTGTCGCCGTTGAACGGGCGAGGCCCCGATCCGAGCGGCTCTCTGGGCTTGTTCTTCTTGTCCTTGGACTTGGTCGAGCTGCTGCTGCCGGAGCCCGAGTCGCTGCCGCTGTTGTTGTCGCTGTCCGTCTCGTCCTGGCTGAACTCGAGCAGCAGGTTCTGCATGTAACCGGTGGTGACGTCGCGCTCGCGGAGCTGCTGGGTCATGACGGCGTTCTGGCGCCGGAACGCCTCGATCTCGTTGGCGAGGCGCACGAAGTTCTCGCGCTTGATGGGCGTGGACGGCGACGGGTACATGGAAGCCTCCGGCTCAGCATTGACGGTGGCGGTGGCATTGGCGCTGCCGTCCGCGCGCTGCACGAGCCGCTGCTTGCGATCCTCGAGCTCCTTCACCTGCTGCCGCATCTGTTTCATAGATTCCTGGGCGGAACATCACGAAGATCCGTCAGTGCATTGGCGGTGATGGATATCCTATCGTAGTGCAAGGGCAGCAGCTAGCTCACTCGCTTGGCGAAGCTGCGCTGTCGGTCGCGCTCATTGCGCTTGAGCTTCTTGAGCCGCGCGTCGGCTGCTTTCGAGGTTGAAGTGGCTGTGGGCGCGGCCATCCGATTCGGCGACGGGTTTTCGGTGTCCTCGTCGGCCGGTGCAGCATCGGGCGCGAGGAAGTAGCTCGCCATTGCCTGCAGCTCTGCATCGGCGCCGCGGAGCGGGTCGAGCATCGCCGGCGCCGGGGCTGGAGCGTGCAGCGACATACTGGAGGGGGCCGGAACGTCGAACACTGATGACCGTCGTGGCCGAGCGTGGGCCGCAGGCGCCGGCTGACTGGGAGTTTGTATGGGACATTGCATTAGGCCCGCTCTGAAAAAGACCGCGGTCTCATCAAAAGCTACGCGAAGGTCCTTAAATCCGATACCCTTTCATTTCCGTTTAAATGGTTTCTAATACAGGCTTGTTTTTATCCTGTGAGACTGTATTTACTGCGAAATCAGATTATGGTATAGATAGATGAAGTTGTAGTTTTTATGGCTGACGTGCAACTGGCTCGATTTTAGAGTTTGACGTCAACGCTTCAGCTGGCTCGTCATGGTGGCGAGCTGAGGTGTACAGTAGCGCTCTCATCGGCGTGGACACATCCACGGCAACGGCTCAAACGGCCCAAGGAGGCGACAGTTCTCTTTGACAGCGCCAGCAACAGCGGCACCGATACGCCGGTGGCGCCGCCTGCACCGGGCAGTCATCGCTGGTGACGGGCACAAACAGGCAACGAAGTGAAGCTGGTCGTCACAGGTCAGGCAATCCGATTTCGGTCACCGCACGGAGTGCAGAGCCCAGGCCTGTAGAGCTGCAACTTGCAAGTTGCAGTGCAAGGGGCGAAATGACACCGACACCGCAGCAAGTTGCTGCCAAGCTAAGTTAACGGAAGTCTCGCTGCATTGCAGGCAAGTGCTGCTGGGCGGCAAACGGCTCGTCGACGACGTCGTCACGCCTGACTTGCTTCAAAACGCACTCATCTCGAGTTGACAAAGGTCTTCAAGTCGGCATCGGTGATTTGCCGATTTGACACCGAAAAACACATCTTATAGCGAATTAACTACTGTAACGTTTAATAAGTGCTGGTCGCTAGAGGATGCCCCGCAGCGACATCCCAATGCGCGCGCCAACGGGGCCATCACTGCTGCTGCTGCTGTCGCTGTCCGCGACCATCTCGACGCGAGGGGCGCGTTCGGCGGGCTGCGTCTCGAGCACCTTCATCCTAGGCAGCTCCTCCGGCAGGTCGCCGATCATGGACTCCTGCCGGATGAGCGCGCTCTCCATCATGGCCATCGTGTCCTCAACGTTGCCCAGCACGTTCACGAAGGCGGCCACGAAGTCCACGTACGTGTCGTACCGGTGGATCTTGTTGTCGTCGCCAAAGTAGAAGGTGTTCCCCACTTCGTACTCGACCTGCATCCCGATGAGCCGCTGCACGAGCGCCTCGTTCCAGAGGACGTGGGGAAAGATCTCCTCAATGGTGCTCCGCGTGAAGCGCACGTAGAGCGTGGCGGGGGCGAGCACCACCGGGTTTGGATCCGCCGCCATGATTTGCAAGTTCTTGACCTCGTACTTGAGCCCCGCGTGGTACAGCGAGTACTTTTCCCACTGATCCAGCAGCTCGCGCACGCCGTACGAGCTGCCGAACACCATGTTAGGGTGCATGAGTCCGTTCAGGAAGCCCGCTTGCCGCGATGAGAGCAGCAGCTGCTCCTGAGGCACGCCGCCGCGCTCAGCAACAGGCACGCCGTACTTGAAGAGCGAAAAGTACTCGTTCACTACGTTGGCGAACGACGCGCCTATAGGTTGTCGAGCGAGCGGCCAGGCGGAGCTGGTCTCCTGCTGCTGCTGCTGCTGTGTGCGCCCGTAGAGGTTGAGCTGGTCCACCTCGTGCTTGAGCTGCTCCACCTGCTCCTCCAGCGCCTGCACGTAGTTCTTCCGGCGCGAGCGGTATAGCTTGCCGCGCTCGCTGTTGGACAACCGGCGCGAGCGCTTCTTGGACGGCGCATTGCCCGCGGCGACGGCGGCGGCGTGCGCGCCAGTACTTGAAGGTTGCTTGAGGCCACTTCCGCCGTCGCCGGGGCTGTGACGAACGGGGGCGAGAGGGGGCAGGGCCGGCGCAAAGGCGAAGGCGGCGGAGGCAGTGGCGTGGCGCTCGGGCTCGGGCTCCTCGGCTTCGGGGCTGCACAGCGCAGTGATGTCCATGCGGCGGTCGTGCATGTTCATGGGCCTCGAGGGCTAAAAATGGGAAGGTGGTGCGGGTAACGCTAGTTTACCTGGCCTGACCTGAGCTCCGCGCGTCGAATTGCCGAGTGACTCCCTGAACCGTGGTCGTCATTTTTCTCGTCGGCCCCCCCGCGAGTATCGCGATCACCGCGTGGTACAGTGGTACGTATCAGGTCTGCGAGGTAGGCATACGAAAATCAAGATGTTTCCTCCCTCGAGATATGCGATGCTGAAGGTCTTTTACGGACGTTATCAGCGCCCGTGGTGATCATTTGTCGGTGTTTTCCGTATGCTTGCCCGGTCGATTTGTGCGCGCACAGAGCGGGGCCGCCATCGGCGCCGGACAGGATGAGTGTCGAGCGCTCCCCCAGGCAGCACCGGTCTCTCCTCGGCCAGCCAGCAAGAACGGCGCGCCCGGCCGAGTCTGGCGCACCAAGGTGTCGCATCGGAGAGCCTCTTCCGCGCGCGCACCCACCACAAGGCTCGTCACTGCGCGCCGAATCGTCGTCACCTGAAATAGATTTGCCGGCAGCAACGAATAATGACACGCTTGCAGCAGCGGTACACCCGTGCCGCCGCAGCGGAACTCACAGACTGCTCGTGACCCCGCCCACCTGCGCTGCCCGTGCCGAGCAGAGCACGAGTGAGCTGACTGCCTGTCGACCACCGAGTTGCCGCTCTCGTCTTCTTCTTCACCGTGAATATATAGTCGGCTTCCTCGCGTTGCTGGACGCACGTTGCTCGGCCGAGCACTTTCCAGGGCTGCAAAGCTACTGAAAAGCCCCCGTCGATAACCAAGGCTAACTTATGAAAATGTGCTAGGATTTATTTATAAGCTTAGGTGCTGGTAGTGAACATGGACCCTTCCTTAGTCGCTCAGGATGAAGTCGAGGTCCAGCCGGCTTGGTGAAGATTCCGGCGATGGCTCCTCATCGCTCGCTGGGGGCGTGTGGGTGTGTTTATTGCAATTGCTGGTAGTCCGACCCTTGTCCAGCGGCTCATCAAGCGAGCCTTCACTCGGCGCAGGGCTGCTGGCTACTCGGGTCTCCTCTTCGTCCACGGGGGCCAGCTGGCGGCCGTCATCCTCGTCGCCGATCATGTGGCCCCTGACGATCACCGCTTCGCCCATGATGCGAGCCACCAGCAGCGGGTCCTTGAGTGCAGCCAGGAGCGCGCCCGCGTAGTCGGCCTCCACCGCGTACCACTCGATCTTGCCGTTGCGGTCAAAGTGGAATTGGTTGTTGCTCGGATACGTCACCTCCAGGCCGATGAGCGCCTGCGTCAGCGCTTCGTCGCCCACCAGGTGCGGGAACACCTCCTCGATGGTGCGGCGCGAGAAGCGCACGCGCAGGGTGGCGGCAATGGCGACCACTAGCGGTCCGTCGTCGTATCGATTGTCCGCGGTCACCTCCCGCGGCTCCGCTAGCTGGATCACGTCCAGAGACTTCATCGTCCACTCGATGGCGGCGTGGAAGAGCGAGTAGCGCTCCCATTGGGCCAAGACCAGGTCGATCCCCAGGTACTCGCCGAAGCGGACGTCCTCGGTCATGACGGCGCGCAGGAAGCCGCGCTGCGCGCTGGTGGACTGCGCCACGAGCGACGCCGTCGCGTCCTGCTCGTTGACGGCCAGACGGACGGGCGTGCCGCGGCTGAACATGGAACAGTACTCGCTAACAATATGCGCGGCTGCTCCCAAAGGCGTTCGTTGCTGCGATAACGCCAGCTCCCGCTGGACTTGGCGCGTGACTGTTAGCGCCGCGATCTCCTCGCGGAGGTCAGCCACGCACCGCTCGATGTGCGCGCCGTAGAGCTTGCGTCGCTGCCGGTAGTACTTGCCTCGCTCGCTGTTGTTCATGAGCTTGAGGTTGACTGGCGGCGCGTCCTCGAACGGAGCAGGGCGGTGCTTCTGCTTCTGCTTCTGCTTCTGCCTGGGCTTGACATAGGGCGTGAGGGCATGGCGGGTGGTCATCTCCTTCTTACTCCCCGGCGGTGAATTGGCGAATGGCTAGTCGAACGGCGCTGCACGTCGTGCGTGGAGTCCACCTCTGGCGGGCGGGAAAAGGCAAGGAAGCGCAGCCTGTAACGGTGGCTGGCAAAAATCCGAATGAACAACACAGTCATAAGACTGGAGACTGGATTGTGTTCACGTGAGCGCGGCCAACGAGCTGCTTTTGTACGCCGAAGCGGACCGAACACCTCGCGCGCTCGACAGCGGCACTGTTGCCAGCGCAGCTTAGTGGTCTTCGACCCGGGAGGAGAGCAAACCGACGCCCTGAGCGGATTGCCTTGCGGATAGCTGCTGCTGCGAGGCTTTCGTCACCGTCTGCGGCGTGTCCATGCCTTCACTGTCGCGAACGAACGGGACCAACACCACATATCGTATCGAGGTTCCAGTCGTGGCCAGATCTGCCAGCGGTTATCCGCCGCAACTCGCGATACCGGTAACTGCTGGGTGATAAAGCCACAGGCCCGAAAACTGCGCCAAAGGCTTGCTAGGACAGCGAGCTGCTTATAGCTTGGGCTGTCTTTAGTCGCTGCGAAGATGGAGCGAACCAACATCACTCCTAGAACATGCCTTGTTGCCTTTGCTTTATGACTTTTCTCTATTTTTTAATTTTAAAAAATACACTGGAGTTATTGGCTTGTCCACATAGAGTCGCGCATGACTACCGTCTGCTGCGTTCGTTCGTCTTCCTCAGAGTGACGCATTCATCTGCATCGCGAATCGCGGCTGAAGATCGCGAATCGCGATCTTCAGCCGCTGCCTTTGAGGTGGCAGGACGCCATTTAGCGGCGGTATACCCATTGAGACCTACCGTGCTTTAATCAACCACTACTTGGAACCTCTCTCCATTGTAGTTAGAGCATTTATCGCTCATGTATGAGGACTCGACAGGAGCGGATGCCCTGGCATGCAGCGTTTCGTCAAGGGAAAATCCATCCTCGAGGACGCATAGACCCGCGCCATGTTGAAGCCAAAGATCGCGATGATGGCTATTGGCAATCAACGCTCAGTCGTCCAAGGATGTAGTCCAGCGCCAGCCGATTCGGTCGGTTCGGCGAGGACTCCGGCGAGGGCTCGTCGCTCACCACTGCGACGCCACCCTCTTCTCGTGCTCGCTTGCTCCTTGGCCTATCGTGGTCGTGGTCTGGTGTCACCTCTGGCGAGACCTCGCTCCAGGCAGGGTTGTCGTTGTCATCATCGGTATCAGCATCAGCGACTTCCTCCACCACGGCAAGCTGGCGGCCGTCGCTCTCGTCGCCGATCATGTGGTCCTTGGCGATCAGCGCGAGGCCCATGACGCGCGCCACTAGCGCCGGAATCTTGAGCGCCCTCATCAGCGCGCCTACGAAGTCCACCTCGGGCGCGTACCACTCGATCTTGCCGCGCTCGTTGAAGTGGAAGTGGTTCACGCACGGGTACGTGACCTCGAGGCCGATGAGCGACTGCGTCAGAGCCTCGTCCCCCACCAGGTGCGGGAACACCTCCTCAATGGTGCGGCGCGAGAAGCGCACGCGCAGGTCGGCCGTGATGGACACCACGAGCGGCCCCTCCTCGTGCTGGTTGCCCTCGCTCGCAATGCGGGGCTCGGCCAGCTGCACTATGCTGAGCGACGTCATGGTCCACTCGATGGCGGCGTGATACAGCGAGTAGCGCTCCCACTGGTCCAGCAGCAGCTCCACGCCCAGGAACTCGCCGAAGCGCACGTTGTCGTTCATGACGGCGTTGAGGAAGCCTCTCTGCGCGTTGGTGGACTGCGCCACGAGCGACGCGGACGCGTCCTGCTCGTCCACGGCGAGTCGCACGGGCGCGCCGCGGCTGAACAGCGAGCAGTACTCGCTCACGACTTGCGCTGCAGCGCCCAGCGGCGTGCGGCGCTGCGAGAGCGCCAGCTCCTGCTGCACCTGGCGAGAGACCGTGAGGGCCGCGATCTCTTCGCGCAGCTCGGCCACGCGGCGCTCGAGATCGGCGCCATAGAGTTTGCGTCGTCGTCGGTAGTACTTGCCCCGCTCGCTGTTGTTCATGAGCTTGAGGTTGGGCGGAGGCAAGGCGTCGTACGGCGCCGGCCCGCGCATCTGCTTCGGGTTGGGTCGGCGGACGCTCATTGTCGTTCGCAAGGTAGATTCATGCTCTTTCGTTCTCGTTCTTCAAACCCCCAAAAATATGGAAGACGATACAGTAGTGTATTTGGTTAACGTCGTCGCCGAAGATAAGTGTAAAGTTCGAGCAACATTAGAGCAACATTCTAGTAACATATGACTATTGTGAAAGAGCGTTTGATAAAACTGCTCGCAGCACCACGCCGACAATGGAGCGTGGGGCAGATGTCGAAGCCATCGTGGACTTGACGGAGAGCGAGTTGGGGCCTTTTTCTAGAAAACAAGATTCTTCAGCCTGTGCGAAATTCAACACCTTCTTGAAAAAACACGTAGACACCAACCTGACTATGGAGACGCTGAGGGCAGCACAGGTCACTAAGGAAATGCTTGGTAAGCTCCTTACCTTTCTGTTCAATGATCCTGACATCCACTGGCAAACATCGATGAACTATCTGAGCTCTATCAAGAGACAACTGGAGGAGAAAACGGGAACGGACCTGTTCCGCAGTGACCCCGAGTGGTATCGGCGTTGCCGACGCCATTTGCAAAAGCAGTATCTCATGCTTGCCAGCTCGGAAGGCAAAAAGCTGAAGAACCACGTTCCATCCATGACAATTGATGATCTTCGCTCAATATCAACCATACTATTTCTCAAAGACGATAAGAAGGCGCTACTCGACCGCACTCTTCTTAACAACCAGTGGCTTGCAGTTGGTCGTAGCTCCGACGTAGGAATGCTACACTTTACGGACTTGCACTGGCATGGCAGTTTTCTTCTCATTGATCTGACACGGTACGTGCATATACTTTGGCTTTAGCATTGTAATAAGTAATTGACCTGTGTGCTGCTTCAATAGCATCAAGGTGCAGCAGCAACAGACTATCTCAATTTTTTGCTCTCCGATTTGCTGGAGCATCGATCCCTTTCACGTGTTGGCTTCTCAGCTGGTTGCTGACCCATACAATGCCTCGCCGCGTGTGTTCTCGCAAGTGACTGAAGCTACAACAGACGAGCGTGTGGCTATATACATTAATCGAGTGTTAAAATCGGTGTATCAGTACGACACAAAGCGAGAGCTGACGCAAAGCCTACAGTCACACTCAGCGCGCCGAGGTGGCGCAGCGCATGCAAGCTCCAACGCTAGCGTCAACCTGGCTGATTTGGCCCACCGGGGGCTCTGGTCCATGGATGGATTTGCTACCTTACTCGAATACATATCGCCAACGACGGCTAGCGGCCAGAACGTTGCAAAGGTGCTCGGAGGGTGGGCGGACACAAAGCAGGCTGGTCACCCGCCTACGCTTGCCTGTTTCGAAAAGAATCACAGACATTCACAAGGGTCAGTACATTTGCTCAAGCACTACGGTTGCTTCACTTCTCCAAGATTGCACCGAAAGGTTTCGCGGACTGTCTTACCGCGACTCTGCTGATGTACTACCGCGACACGCTTGCTGTCGCACCGCAACACATCGTCCACCAAGAACTGGAGCGGGTACATTCCTCTCTGCACTCGCAGCTTGAATGTCAGGATGAGCTGCTTGACTGGGGAAGCAAGATTCGCAAACGCTTTGTCACCGACAACATCCTTTCACTTCCGATACAACATGTTAGAGACAGCCTTACAATCCAGGAGCAAGCAGAGCAGTTTGTTGGATTCCATACCTTTGCCGAAACGCTGGAAAGGCTACTCATAGGATACCAGCAGCTGGTGACCTCCAATGAGGAGCTCAGATGCATGCTACATCTTGTGCTTCGACGGCTTGATCGTCAACCAGAAGGCAACGCTTCCTCCACCAATGCGACGGAAGGTAGTCCAGATGCTGAAGTTTCTGGCGGGCTCTCTTGCGATCCCCTCAGCTTGGTAAGGCGTGACCCACTAGCTTGACGAAGCTGAAGGGTAAGCATCTCTCCGATGTTCTCGTCCAGTTCTACACAGAAGGCCGGGTTATATTCCAAAGGAACGAGGAAATCGCGGGCAGAAGGATTGCCTTCGAGCTGTTAAAATCGTTGCCTACGTTGCCGACTTAGCCAGCATCCCACCAGTTCCTCCATTATCGCGAGAGGTGGACAGGGTTCAATGGGTATCTGCAATGAAAAACATAGCAAGTCAGTGCGAAACAGTGTTAGTCAATGGCTTTACCAAAGCTGCTGATGCAAAAGAAGGAACACAGCGCAAGCGCCGTCGCTCTGGAAAACTTACCGGTATAGTCAAAGCCTGGGGTGAGCTAACTGATCAGCAGTGGGCGGCTTTTCGCTCACTACCGCGTATCCGATTCTTAGCAGCATGAGAGAGATAGTTGGAGGCCTCTTGGTCAAGTTGGGATTACACAATGCATATGTAACTTGAATACACGTCATGCCACCTTCGATGCACCACTAGCTCCCGAGAGCACCACCAGCTTCAACGACATGAGCATCGCCAGATCGGAGTGCACCACGAGCTCCAAAAACAACGCTGCATCCGCGAGCACCACAGACTAATTCCGAGAGCGGCACGAGCTCGGAGTACCCCACGAGGTCTGACAGCAGCACGATCTCCAGGAGCAGTACGAGCTCCAAGTGCGCCATGAGCTGGGAGGGCAGCACGAGCTCCGAGTGCGCCATGAGCTCCGAGTGTGCCATGAGCTTCGAGGGTAGTACGAGCTGCAAGGGCAGCACGAGCTCTGAGTGTACCACTAGCTCCGAGTGCGACATGAGCTACACGAGCATCACTGAGGCCACGAGCACCACCGAGATCACACCCACGACCATCTACATGAGCCCCTCCAGCTCTGTGTACACCACGAGCGAGCTTCGAAATCACCACGAGCACCACTGAGTAACGTCCGCGAGCGCCACCGAGTCCAAGAGCGTCACTAACTGCACGAGCACCACCACGTCCGCGAGCCCCGCAAAAACTCCAGCTCCGAACGCATCACCACACCACCAGCGAGTCTGCGAGCACCAACAAGAACATGAGCGCCACGAGTCCACGAGCACGCCAACTATAAAGCCACCCACCATCTCCTCAAGCGCCACCGAGTCTGCGAACACCACCAGCCCCGAGAGACAGCACCGAGTCTGCGAACACCACCGAGCCCGCCAGTGCCCCACTGTGTGAGCCCCCTCCTCTTCCTTGCTTTCCTATTTTCTTTTTCAGCCAATCCCAGCTTCGGGACGAAGTTACTGGGGGTACGAATATACAACTATAGTTTATCCAAGTGTACACGAGCCGCCAAATGTAACCACTATCTTCGGCCGCGTTTTGATGCTGTGCAGGGGCCGAAGTTGAGGCGAAGATAGGCGATACAGTACTTTGAATCAACGCATTTTGGTTGCATCTTGGTTTTAGTAAACCAGTGGCTATTATGGTGCCTTTCCAAAACTTTGGCCAATCTGACCTCAAAAAGGTGGTCTTAAGAAGGAGAGGGTAGGGCTAGACCTAGGATTTGCTGTTGGCCTTGCATCGGATTACGGAAGTCCTACGTAGGAGTTCCGTCTTCATCTAATGGGTACCTTTTTGGAAATAAGGACCTAATGGCCATGTTAAGCTGGCCATTTGGACCTTTGTAGGACTAACGAGTCCTTCGTAGGACTAGATCAGGCCAGTGCGCCTGAAGCATCTGTGGCAAATGCATAGTTTGGCCACACTCGTACAGGCGGAGACTCAGGCAGCACCGCACATGTGCTACAGGTATAACGGTACTGAACGCGCTGACTTGTCAGCCTACCTTTGCAAGTCATTCGCTCAGTTTACATTCAGTTTTTTGTTTATACCAGGTTTTACTGTCCTCGGTACTAACTTTTACGAGACCTTACGTAGGAGCAAAAGTGCTACGTAGGACCTCAAATCGGAGGGCGTTTTGGCAGAAAGGCACAATACATTGTATTTTGTCCGTCAAAACGTAAGACAGTTTGTCGGACAACAATTTGCACCATGCGATTGGCCAAAACTTTCTGCACGAAAGAGGGTAGTGTCATTGCGTGCGTTCCTCCGTTGAGCACGTAGGACCCGGGGACAACCGCTTTGCCGTTTTTGAATTGCTCGTGCCACCTACAGTCGAGCCGACGAAATAAGGCGCTCACAAGCACGAACATGTAGTCGGTAGTGCGGCCCTACTGCCGACTACAATGTACACGCTTGTTTGAGAATGGTTAAGAAATAAATGCACCCGAACCATTAGCCCAGCTTGACAAACAAAACGTTCAGGGCTTTATAGTGAATTCTAGTTAATGCATAACCAAATAGAGCCCCTATCCCTCGGGTAGTGCGGCCCACGAACCCTGTCGTGTCCTCTGAGGACGCCTCCGAGCGAAACAGTGCACGACGAGCGCGCACACATGCTTCGCATTCCACAAAACGACGGGTCGCAAGCAAGTGTCTGCCAAGGGTCGCCTAAAAGGGTCTCAGGGCCCTTGGCCTTCCTGGGGGGGGGGATCCTCCCACGGGAGCCCAGGAAGGAGCGTGGCGGCTGTAGCGACGGCTTCTGCGTGACCATGGCCGACGAAGGGAGTCGGCACTGGAGAAGCTCGCGCGCGACGACGGCGATTGCGCTCCAAGAAGGCGGCGACTCTATGGGTCGCTGTCACGGTGGTGGGAGGCCCAGCCTTCGACCACTCTTTCCAGCTCGCGGCAGGCGATCGCGGTTCAAGCACTGAAGCCACGCCTCCACGGAGGCATTGGGCGGTGTCCTTCGGGACGCTGCCGTCATGTGATGTTAGTTCGAGCCCAGGCTCACGCATCCTACAGCACGCGCCGGACGAACGCGATCAACCCTCAAGTCAAGTCTCCATTGGGACAGCATCCGATGGCCGCACAAAAGGAGGTGCAGGGCCCCTGCCCTGTATCTGCCGACCTCGTGGGTGGCGAGTACGAACCACTGGCCTCGCTTGAGGTCGCGCTTTGCACTAATTTTCAGACTCTCCCACCAGACTCTGGTCCAGAGAGCCCCCTCCCTAGTGACGTTTTGCACAGGTGAAGTCCCCGGTCTTTAGTAGTCGTTAGCGATCGTATTAGCTAAGTGACAGTAATGATCCTCAATTCAAAAACGAAACAAACAAACACATGCTCCGCACCGAGGCGTTGTCGGAGGACGCGAGGGAGTAGACGTTCAATACATTATGGGATCTTACCAAAGTCATGAAATGAACTGTTTTGCAGTAGCAACAAGGCAGCGTCAGCCAGTCTTGGTCTTTGTATTTGTATCGGTTCAGTCGACCACTCCCGTTGCTAACGAGGAAGTTCCTCGTAAAGCCTGATCTGCAGTGCATCATCGTCCCTCCAACAAATGAGGGGGGGGGGGGGTTGTTGGTGTCGCAGCGCTCCTCCGCACAGTTCTATCGAACCGCCAATCATTACTACCACTACTATGCTGCGCCCGATATTAGTCAGGATACGAAGTGCAACGAAATACATCAAAAAGAGTAGCGAAGAGGAACGTGGGCCTTCCTAGCAGAGCATGCGAGCACTCTGCGCCTGGCAGTGCCAACAGAATTGGCAGGTCGTATTGCGAGAACCGGATAAAATGCCCATCTGTAGCAACCCCTTATTAGATCTCAATGACAAAGTTAATCAGAGTACAAATCAGGGATGAAATTGATCGCGATCTAGATGCATCGCTTGGCTGCGCGATTGCCCTGTAAAAGGTGGGCAATCTGCTCCAAACGCGGCTATATCGACTTAGCTTCCATCAAACGATCGCCTAATTTGCACATCCACTCACATAGGACGCGATCGATTTGTAAATCGATCAAGCTAAATCAGGATGCTAATCAACCGATTTACGAGCAAAATAGGCAAATGAAGCGGTTTTCACAATACTATTCGCAAATCAAATCACTAAATTTGATTTGTCGTCAAACTTACGAATGCTCGACACAAGTGATTGTCGAATGCCTGCCCAACCGGGCGTGGGGAAAATAGTTTTGTCGGGTAGCACGGATGGAAGTGCTGGTCAGAAACATCGAGGCGATGGGAGGATCGCTCCAGTATTTGCTCTAAGTTACCGCTCGTTGGCGATGACTGCCTCTCGTTGTCTATAGTCTGTACCTTACGGATGACGCAGGTTGTGGCACTAAAGTTCAATAGCATCTCAACTTACATGTATGCATGGAAACACCCGAGGGCATGACTGACTTCGTTGTCTGGAAGCAGTATTATCACCAAGAAGATGAAGCAAAGTGGTTGATTCATACAAACTACGTGCTTGTTAAATGTGAACAAGGAGCGCGGCGGCGTAGCCCTTACTCGTCCAAGATGTAGGCAAGTCGTAGCTTGCTCAGTTGACAAGGTGGCGACTCGAGGAACGGCTCACGATGGCCACGTCGTACTTTGTGCTTGACCCAATGTGTTGGCATTCTGCATCGAGCGCGTCTTCAAGTGGAATATCGCTGACACTATTGGTAGCAAAAGCGATTGGTGCTGCCACAGGCTCCGCCGCAGGGAGCTGGCGGCCGTCGCTCTCGTCGCCGATCATGTGCCCTTTCGTGATCAGCGCATTCCCCATGACACGAGCCACGAGCATCGGGTTCTTCAATACATTCATCAGTGCGCCGACAAAGTCCGCCTCTGGTGCGTACCACTCGATCTTGCCGTCCTTGCCGAAGTGGAAGTGGTTGATGCTAGGGTATGTCACCTCCAGTCCGATGAGCGATTGTATGAGCTCTTCATCTCCGATCAAGTGCGGAAACACCTCCTCGATTGTGCGACGCGAGTAGCACACGCGCAGGTCGGCCGTAATAGACACTACCAGCGGGCCTTCCTCGTACTGGCTGTTGGAAGCTTCCGCTAGCTGAACAATGTTGAGCGACACTCGATGGCGGCGTGATACAGCGAGTAGCGCTCCCACTGGTCCAGCAGCAGCTCCACGCCCAGGAACTCGCCGAAGCGCACGTTGTCATTCATGACGGCGTTCAGGAAGCCTCTCTGCGCACTGGTGGATTGCGCCACAAGCGAGGCGGACGCGTCCTTCTCGTCCACAGCCAACCGAACCGGTGCACCGTGACTGAACAGCAAACAGTAATGTGAGCAGCAGCACCGAGCGGTGTACGACGTTGCGATACTGCCAGTTCTTGCTGCACCTGACGAGAAACTGTCAGCGCTGCAATCTCTTCGCGCAGATCAGCCACGCGGCGTTCGAGCTCGGCCCCATAGAGTTTACGTCGTCGTCTGTAGTACTTGCCTCGCTCGCTGTTGTTCATTAGTTTGAGGTTCGGCTGCGGCGACCCATCGTACGGCGCGGGTCTGGACTTCCTCTGCTTCAATTTGGCGCAAGGCCAACGAGGTCGAACGTCGCTCATGCTGGGTGGGAGAGCTTCTTGTCGCCGGTCGGTGAGATGTCGAATGGCCCTCGCTGAAGACGTTGAAGACTTTGGCTATTAGCGGACAGGCGGAGCTTGCTGCTTTGAAAGCCTTGCCAAGAAAGGCAACGCTTGGTAACGTTGGTTTTGGGGAAGGGATGTAACGGACATTGCATATCAACATTGGCAACATTATGGGCACTTGGAAGAAGGTGTGGTGCTGCAACGAAACCCGTTCGATCTGTTCACCAGGATCTCCAAGCTACGTTCATATCCAAAGTCCTATGAAGACAACCGTTTGCCAAACATATCGTGTTCATACAAGCGGATCCACACGTACGGACTCCACATATTTTGCCAATGCAGCAACAATTCAACAATTCGTCGAGCTCTACCTGAGCGGGGGGGGGGGCAGCGGACGGCAGTGTCCGGCGCCCTAACCGGCTCTGCAGTACTTTCGAGCTTGGTACACCCAGTTGACTACACGACGGACAACAGCGAAAAATAGGTGCGCTGAACACAGCGCGCCGCCGCAACCAGCAAGAATCGTAGACAGCCTCGACTCGACCGTCCTGTCGCGGCAGCAGCATTATCATGATTTCTATATGGAAAAAATGAATGAACGGTAGTTAGCGTAACAAAAGAGGTTGCGCAGTAATCGTCTGCTTGTCTTGATCTTGCGTTGCAGCCTGGAAGCCCAGGCTGGAGTGCCTTTCATCTTTTGGGGATCGAAGGTAAGTTACCGTGTTAGCTGCAGTCGAGGCCGTCGAGGCCCTTCGACTCGAGGGTGTTGAAGACGCATATCTACGTGATTTCCACGCCTCCTCCTGAAGAGCTTCTTTCTCGCCGACTCGCTTGCTACACGGATACTACCACCGCGACTTGTTGTGTTGACAGCATGATGCTCTTTTGCAAGTGTCTAAGCGGCTTTAAGATACTACCAAGGCCAGACTCCCAAGAGTTCGCGCAGTCTGTCGCACACAGTGCTTCAAAAAAGGAATTCTGGCAACGGTTGTTAGGGAAAAATCGCCGTCTTTCACGGCCGAAAGACCTTGGTTGCGCGCCTAGTGCCTTCATGAATGGGCTCGTCTTCACAGTGCTGCATCTTAGCAAGCCGGGAGAAAACTGCAAAAGGCGCATAGTTAGGCCTAGTTCTAGCCATGCCATGCCATAGGGCTAGGTACCGATTTTGCATGACACTCCGTTTCCGAATGAAATGGCCTGCGCCATGGCAAGATGAACTGGCACTTTAGCACCCCGTCGGCCAAAAGCGGGTTACATGGGTTTCTAATAGGTGTATGAACTAGTATATACCAGCAGAGCGAAGTCTGATGCCCGTCGCGAGCAATTTCCCCATTATGGCACATGGCACGACCAATTGCCATGGCACTTTCATGGCACCAGTGACCTAAACCCGAGGAGCTCTCGGCCAATGAAAAATGACATGGCATGGCATGGCACGGATGGGACGCGGTTTAGAACGAGGCCTTAAGTACTGGACGAGTTTTTCTGCAAAAAGCGCATACCGAGTTTCTGATTCCACGTAGGAATCAGACGATCAGCAACTTACACGGGAGCGCGCACACCGTCAATGGTTACAGTTCCTTCGCTTCCTACCTCAGGGAAGGCCCGAAGACTGGCACATCATTCGGCCGCAGGACTCCTACATGCCTGACAAACTTGCGCACGCTATGGGCTATCGGACACACGAGTATGGTACGCAGCAACTATACCTCAAATTCCACCTCGAGCTGCGAATTCCGCATCAATGTGGCGTGGTGGGTAGTAAAAGACTTGAGCAGCTGAGCGCGAATTCGCAAATGAGCGCTCCTGCCTACTCCTACTTGTCCTACAACATCCGTAGAGCCTTTGTCCGTTTCCCAACGACCGTCCTCGCGTGGCATGCCAGCCTCACCACTTCTGAAAACTTCTCTTCCGCATGAATCCCCGGAAAACATACCATTTCAGTCGGGGGGCGTGCTGCTGAGTAGCAGCACCTCAAATCGATGTATTAAACAGTGGATAGTCTGCGGCCGTGCAGACTTTGCCCATTGATAGTGTCCACTGTTTGCATCGGGTTCACCATTGAACTCGCCATACTTGCCGTTACGCATACACCTCGGTGTCAGCTAGCATGCTCACACCGCCCTTGAGCCGTATCATGGAAGGCAAGCATCTCAGTCACGATGTAGCAATGCATGCCGCCGGGTGTGATTTATGCTTGCACCAGGGTTCATATCAGGAAGAGTAGCGGTAGCACACAGGCAGAGCGAGCAGCGTCAGCGATCCATCGATCGACATCTAGCAGGACGCTAGCTCTCAAGTTGAGAGTCTCAACCCGCCCACCACATCCCACGGGGCTAGTCTCTCACTGCCCTGGCTTGCAGTGCAGTTCAAGCCTTGGCTTCTACTCAAAATGAACTTTTCGTTTGCCCCCTAGGATGCCGCATTGAAGGAAACCATTGTCTTCCAAACTACCAAGTTGTGCTGGGTTGTCAAACCAACTCTGTGCTGCAGCACAACTGAAGGGGAAAACGCTGTCGATTGGCTGGGCTTGTTCCAGAAAGTTGATAGTTGTAGATTGCTCCTGCACGGTGCAGGCTGCACCTAGCCGATATGTATGCTACCCTCTCTCTCTCTCATTGGCAATTCGCCCGATGCGGTGGTCTTGAAAATTAGTTGCACTTCCCCGCCATGAAGGCCTCGAGATGGTCCAGGTGCGCGACACATAAATAGCGTGCGTAAGTGCTCGTTGCCAAGCTGGTACATCGTGCTAATCGTTGTGTAAGTTGCTTGATCGTCTGATTCCTACAGGGAGTCAGAAACTCGGTATGCGCTTTTTGCCGAAAACTCGTCCAGTATGTGCCTTTTGCAGTTTTCTCCTTCAAAGGGGGCCGATCCTCACCGGCGGCATCCATGCTACGAGCGAGCGGTCGTGGCATACAGTTAGGTTGGTTGGTGAGGGCAAGCCGCTTTGGTATTAATGCCCAGCAAGACTTGCTCGAGCCCAAGCAAGATGCTGGCAGTGCTGGTGTGCATGTGTATGCACTTGTGACTTGAGACGGTTGGTCCGCCCTTGCCGAGTGCGGTTCGTCATCTTCAACTTCAGTCTTGTCCAGCACGACTTTTTCGAAGCAGCAAGATGCCTGTCCTCATACACTCCACCCGACGTAACTGTACAGCGGGCCGGTCGCAACCTCTTGATTTCTCTCTTACACAAGCTCCCGCCACACAGACAACACGTCCGCCGACGACCGCCACCCTCTTCTCAACACGCAGTCGCCATTTCACCACCAAGCACGCAGGCACTACATCAGCCCCAATGGACATTCGCCGATCCCAGCAACACCGCCCCGCGTCATACGACGCCTCGCCGCCGCCCAACCTCAAGCTCATGAACAACAGCGAGCGGGGCAAGTACTACCGACGACGACGCAAACTCTATGGCGCCGATCTCGAGCGCCGCGTGGCCGAGCTGCGCGAAGAGATCGCGGCCCTCACGGTCTCTCGCCAGGTGCAGCAGGAGCTGGCGCTCTCGCAGCGCCGCACGCCGCTGGGCGCTGCAGCGCACGTCGTGAGCGAGTACTGCTCGCTGTTCAGCCGCGGCGCGCCCGTGCGACTCGCCGTGGACGAGCAGGACGCGTCCGCGTCGCTCGTGGCGCAGTCCACCAACGCGCAGAGAGGCTTCCTCAACGCCGTCATGAACGACAACGTGCGCTTCGGCGAGTTCCTGGGCGTGGAGCTGCTGCTGGACCAGTGGGAGCGCTACTCGCTGTATCACGCCGCCATCGAGTGGACCATGACGTCGCTCAGCATAGTGCAGCTGGCCGAGCCCCGCATTGCGAGCGAGGGCAACCAGCACGAGGAGGGGCCGCTCGTGGTGTCCATCACGGCCGACCTGCGCGTGCGCTTCTCGCGCCGCACCATTGAGGAGGTGTTCCCGCACCTGGTGGGGGACGAGGCTCTGACGCAGTCGCTCATCGGCCTCGAGGTCACGTACCCGTGCGTGAACCACTTCCACTTCAACGAGCGCGGCAAGATCGAGTGGTACGCGCCCGAGGTGGACTTCGTAGGCGCGCTGATGAGGGCGCTCAAGATTCCGGCGCTAGTGGCGCGCGTCATGGGCCTCGCGCTGATCGCCAAGGACCACATGATCGGCGACGAGAGCGACGGCCGCCAGCTTGCCGTGGTGGAGGAAGTCGCTGATGCTGATACCGATGATGACAACGACAACCCTGCCTGGAGCGAGGTCTCGCCAGAGGTGACACCAGACCACGACCACGATAGGCCAAGGAGCAAGCGAGCACGAGAAGAGGGTGGCGTCGCAGTGGTGAGCGACGACGAGCCCTCGCCGGAGTCCTCGCCGAACCGACCGAATCGGCTGGCGCTGGACTACATCTTGGATGCCTAACCAAAGTAGTGCTGCATGTCGAAAAAAGATCTGCTATTTTCTAGAAAATCCAAATATTTTGGATTTTCATGAAAAATTAATTCTCATGATTGCGCGCGCTCTATATTTAATACCGGTTACTTTGCGGTATTTTTTCAGTTCTCATTTTATCAACTTTCAGAGCCACTTGTTTTTGAGATCGACATGGGGCGCCGCAACTCGCGATGCCTCGATGGGAGCAACCGTATTCAGAGCTGCGTGGACGCATGCCTATCCATTGCACCGGGGTCGGAGACCCAATGGAGTTACAGTGCGGAGTTCATGGAGCGGTGGTCCGCAGGCTGCGCATTCAGGCGGCAGCATGCGCGCTCGCGAGCGTCCGATGTGGGCTATCTCGAGTTCACTTGAAGCAGTGCGTGTATCAAGTACTGGCGTCGTTGCGTGCGGCTCGGCATCTGGCCCAGAACGCGGCTCCACCCAGCAGCAGCGGCGGCCAAACCTGTTCGTATCATTTTTCGCCCTAGACCCCATGTGACGGCTCATTGTGATCACCACAAGAGGGTTATCACTTCTCCCAGGTCGTACTTAGTACATATAGAAAATATACGATACAAGTTCTGTCCGCAAACGGAGGACGCATCCCCATATCATGTAACATATCAAAGATCGGAGGGGAAATTAACACTTGATTTACAGCCGGCAATTTTTACTGCCGCGGGGTTTTGGTTGATTTCTTCCACGGGGACGGCCGCTTTCGGCCTCAGCGAGGGCTTGACGAGAGACGATCTTGCTCTTGCACCGGGCCCGCCCGACTAAGGCACCATGCGTAAAGCTCCGTGGTCCAAACCTCCCAATTCATTGCTCGTTTCGCAGCCCCGCGCGCTCATCCCTCGACACTGATGTGGGTCCTGGACTTCGGCACTTGCACGATTCACATGGACGACAAGCCGCTCCGCTTCCCGCCGCCCACACTGCCCCAGCGCTCAGACCAGCAAAACGACGACGACAATGACGACGACGATGAACAGGCCTCCTCTTCGACAACGGACGCAGCGGCCGACGACGACCGGCCTAAAAAACGCACGCGCAGAGTGGTGGACTCGAGCACCACGTGCGCGCCCGAGCAGTTGCACTGCCGCTATGCCAACAAGAAGTGCCTCAACCCGCGCGCCGTCAAGCGCACGGGCGGGCTGCACACCTTCTGCGCCATGCACCGAGCCAACGCCAACCGCAACCAACGCCGCCTCGACATGCGCAAACGCATGGCCCGGCAGGCCCTGAAGGCGCAGGCAGCGGCGGCGGCCGGAGGACAGGTGGCTGATGCAGCAGCAGCAACCACGTTGAAGACGGAAACGGTCGTGACGAACACGTCCACAACGGACGGACACGCGCAGTACGAGCCGCTGCAGACGCCCACTCCTTTGCAGGCCGAAGACATCTCGACACTGGTTACGTTGTTCTTGCCCCCACTGACCCCGCGACGCCGCGCGGACGGCACGTTCGGCTTCCAGCTCGACGCGCCGATGACCCCCACGACGCCCCACGACTGGTCGTCCTCAGAAAGCACCGGCGGCAACACGCCACCTCCTCCAGTGTCGGGCGGGATGAGGTTCTGACCAAGGACGTGAGAGGATCACCAACACCACACGCAGAACGAAATTGCGTAGACGCCCATATATTTAACAAACAACAAACACGATGTGCTTGACGTGCAGTAGGCGAGAGACTGCAGAGAACGGGATAATGCAGTGCTTTTGCCCTTAAAAAATGTTAGCTTCCTGGTGAGCTGCGCTCCATTGTGCGAGCGGCGAGATGTCAGACGAGGCGTGGACACCACGATAAGGCCAACAATAGCGTGGTGCTCACACGTGTACAGCTGAGCGGAGCCTTGTGAAAGCGCTCGGCGCTACGTTGCCGATGTGAAATGGCTTTGCGCTTTGCAGTGTCCAAGTGAAGAGGATACGTGGGTGGCCTTCCCGAACGTGTTAAAAACGCATGCCTTGGGCTTGACAGCGCCACAGTGTACACAAAGCCTACTTTGGTAGTCACGGACTCACCTCCAGGCATATACCATGTCGCCTAGCGCTTGAGTCAGGCGCCGAGCTTATAGTTCGATTATCATTTCGGTGGTTCCGCTCAAGGCCGTGTCTGCATTTGCTACATGTACATTCCTGCGAGGCCAGAGCTCGCACCTGTGGCGTGTTCACCTTTCAGCTGCTGCGCTCTCCTCTGGAGGCAATTGAAGCGGAAGTGACATCTGCGCGCGCCATTTGGCCCGAGTCCCTGACATGGTAATATCAGCGACTTCAAGCTGCAGGGCATTCCTGACAAGGCAAAAGGCACGTCACCCGACCGCGCTTACAATCGTGCTGCAACAACAGCGTTTTTCGACTAGCTTAAACTTCAAGAACTAAGCTACAGCCTGCAGGTTAGTCGAGCATGCGTCCCCAGCCGCGGCAAGAGTTCTCCGCCACCATGAGCACCATTGGCAAGACGGTGACCCATTGCACCGGAGTGCCCAGTGAATAAAGCCCGCTGCTGCCGCCGCCGTCTACAGCGAAGAGTCCAGTTCGAGGTGTGCCGGCGCGATGCGCGGCGCAGCGAAGGTTCAAGGCCACGCGATGGGAGGAGGCGAGGACAAGGAGCTCGAGACTGGATTTTTCTTCTCCGGCCAACCCGAGCTCATGAAGCCCATGGATCTCTCAATGGTTGCTGGTGTCAATTCCCCGACATCATTCATAAATTATAGCACACTTCTGCATTTCGTAACTACGTGGGGAGGCTCGGCCCTCCCCTCCACTTCAGAGTTCTTCAGCACTTCAATCGTCCCCTTCCCTCTCTCTCGATCACCCTCCGTTGATCTCCTCATGCGACGGCGCCGCCGTAGATCGTGAAGGCGACGTCCGTCTCGACCGACGCAGCGACCTTCTTGGCCTTGACGACGCGGTCCACGGCCGCCACGCGCTGCTGCAGCATGCGCTTCTGCGTGCGCCGCTTGCTCTCGAGCTTGCGCTGGTTCTGGTTGGCCTTGGCGCGGTGGCGCTCGCACAGGTTGTGGCGCTCGCCGTTGCGCTTGATGGCGCGCGGGTAGCCGCACTTCTTGTTGCGGTAGCGGCACAGCATGTCGTCGACGGGGGCGCCCCTCTCGCCGGAAGCGGCCGACGGCGGAGGAGGCTGCGACGTGGCCGTCAAGGGGCCAGCAGCAATAGCAGCGGCCTGTAGCGGCGTGGTCAGCACGGGCCGGAGCTGCGGCGCGGGGGCCTGCAAGGGGTGGCACTGCATCGGCTGCAGCGCAGCGGCCGCGGCCGTGAGCAGGCTGATGGGCGGCAGGCGCGGCGGCGCTGGGACGGCCACCGGCGCGGGAGCCGCCGCGGACACCGAGAGCATGTGCAGCCCGAGGCTGGCGGCCGAGCTGCTGGGGCTGGCGGCGCTGGCCGCGAGCTGCGCGGCCAGGTGGGGCAGCGGCTGCGGCTGCGGCTCGCTCTTGACGGCGGCGGCCTCGTCGGCGTCGGGCGCGGGGTCGTCGTTCAGCAGGCGCTCCATCCTTTGGGGCCTGGGGGCTCTGTCCTCGGGGCTCAATGAGCGATTGGTTCTGGCCGAGGCGAGACGAGTTGCGGATTGGAGCCGTGCAAGTCGGTCGTCTCTGTATCAGAGCGGCCCGGCCACGCCCGCTTGCTCGAAGGAGCGGATCCCACGGCTCGCGGATCCCACTGTCGAATGGTTTGTCCGCGGCAACGCATGCACTGCGAGTAAGCATCGCTGCTGGGTCCGCTTCGGACTCCGATTTGTATCGGAAGAAGACCTGCATGGACAGTGGGTCCCTGCGATACTGGATAGGCTGTACTTTAGAAGCCGGGCGACCCGGAGCCGGTCGCCGTGAGATGGACGTGATGGCGGATCTGGGCCGATGATATCCCATGGCCGATGGCGGCGAGCGAGCGCAGCACCGCCAAAACGCGCAGGCAGCGAGGGCGGCCACCACGCACAATAAGTGCTCGCTAGCGTGGAGGGCGCTTGGCCGCCGTCCTGCTCGCTTGCACCGGCCTTCTGCGAGCTTCCAGCAGCTTCAACCCGGACCGGGACCAGATCCCGTCGCTGCACCGATTCGACTGAGCGCACGCAACCTGATTTCTTCGTCGCGTCGCGATATCAGGCTTCGGCTGCAACTCGGTCGCTGGCTGGCTGGCTGCAACTCGCTGCGACCTGGGCTCGCTCGGCCGAAAAATCCAGCGCTCGCCTCGTCCGCCAACGAACTCTTCCTGGGCGAGTCCGATGTGACCTCTCTCGATCTCGCTGCTGCCCCCTTCGCTCTTTCTGTGGTGGTCTTGAACCTTCGCTGCCCGCCCGCCCGCCCGCGCATCGCGCCGGCACATCTCGAACTGGACTCTTCGCTGTGGGCGCCCGTGGGCCTGGTCGCCGGCCTGTGGCGGGCTTTCGCCTGAGGGATTTCCAGGGCCACGGCGTTCATAGCGGCGCGGAAATCTTGCTTTGGAGATGAACCTGGCTGGGCAGCGTTCACGTTATGCGACGCATTTCGACTAACGCGCTACATCGGCTTAGTCGAAATAGCTGCAGCCATGGCGATTGTAAGCCGGCCGGCCGGCTGGCGTGCTGTGTGCCCACAACCCCGAAACAGCACCAAGGTGGCCACAGTCTGCGGCCCGCAGATGTTGCGCGCCTCAGTCGCCTCAAGAGCGTAGCGACTGGGGGGGGGGGGGGGCACACTGCAGCGAGCGAGTTACATGCAGTGTGAGACGACCGTGCAATGCAGGCCGAGGTGACGACCACCGAAATGATAATCGAAGAATAAGATGTTGAAGTGAGCTCCAGACTCTGGAGTCCGTGAGTCAGGCAGACTCACGCCTCTGGAGCCCAAAGTAAGTACATGCAGGTGCTCAACACACCGCAGCGGAGGCAGAATTCTGCATGGCACACTCAGCTTGATGTCCTGTCTCGCTGGGATATCAATGCGAGGCTAATCTCCACGCCGAGACCGACAGCTCGCTGCATTGGATCGTCAATTCAAGGTGGCGTTACGCTGACTAAGAAAAAACGGCTGCCAAGGCTGAGCGACAAACCTCGTGTCCTACATGTATTCCTTTTTCAGTGAGATGCTTCGTTTAACGTTTAACAACCTTCTCATGAGGAGCGTCGGCGCCGACAGCTCTGGCAACTCCAGCGCCTGCAGTTCTTGTGGGCACGAGCTTGTAATCGATCGCTCACCCCCCCACCTACCGGTAGTTTCGTCTGCAACTGATGTATGTGGTTTCTTCAACTTGGAGCGGGTGGCTGAGCTCTAGCGGTGCCTGACGCTGACGAAGGGATCTGCGTGTTTGCTACGCCGGCCATTTACTGGTACGAATGAGGATATCTTTCCTGGGACTTGGGAGTAGATTTAGAGTTGTAGAATCCAAGTCCGAACTCGGCGGGATCAAGCCCAAGCCTCACTATGTTGCTGTAAACGGCGAAGCCTCCGATTGTAGGGCTAGTGGGGTACACGTCGATAACAACTCGGTGTTTCTCAGCCAGGATTCCACCTGCAATTGCCTCAAACACCTCAGGGGACGAATAGCCTTGGCGACAGTGGAGCAAGTAAGACAACCACGAAAAGAGGAGAAAGTTGAGCAGCTGGAAGGAGTTGGTGCCCGGAAAGCGGTAGGTACTCAAAGTTGCCTGTTCCCCATTCCACAAGTGACCCGACGAGGCTGAATCCCGCGTACGTCCATAAGATCCATCGAAACTCTCTAAAGAGCTCCCTTTTTGATACGAATGGCGATTCAGGAAACCCAAGCTGCCGCGCATACATCGCGTACTCAGGGTAAATGGAGAAATTATCATCCGTCCACAAGTACGTCATGGCAATAATCCCGACCCACAACAACCCCGTGACGATGGCAAGAGGGAGACCTCCAAGCTGTAACTCTCCCAGAGCGATAAACATTGCTACCCAAGTAACTACGATCACTCGTATCCACCCAGACTCGCAAAAGCTAAGCCTGCAAAACGTGGTGCCCCAACCTCTGGCCGAGTACATCAGAGTCTCGATGGTGATCACGTACGCTGGAACTTGAATAGCCAACGCGGCCGTAGGAAGGATGTTTCGCTGCCAGTTAATGTACATCCCAGCGGTCTTCTGTGCAGCGTAGGCAACAGATTCGTACATCACGTTCACGGCCAGGACAAGAGCAATCTTGCGATGTAAGTTCAGCACTGTACCAGGGGGAGCACAAACCATTTGCATCATCCAGACCAAACCCAGGAGGTTGCCTTTATTTTGGTTCTTATGCAGATCAGGTTTAGGATTTGAACATGCTGATTATGAGACCGAATCCGTAGACCTGAACCAAACAACCACAGCAGTGGAACATGGCACAACGATCCATCTCCATGCTCCGTTCAACTACCTAGATATGTGTCCTACTAAGTATGTTGCAGATAAAGGTGGTCTATATGACTGGTTACTCGAATGAGCAGACATTGTGCAGTATCATTCTCCGATGTATCACTATCACTGCTAGTAATTTCTAACTGTAAGTTCGTGCATGTACCGGTATCTGCATCTATCTCTTCCGAGTTTCTACCCACAGCAAAACGCACTAGCGGTAACCTTACATGTGCTGGACATTCTTCTACGTTGGTAAGATGTACTACTAAAAAAGAAAATTGTGGGAAACAACACAAAGTCCACAAGGCACCAATAGGTGTTACCCAGTAACTGGGATACCCAGTTGCTTTGCTTGGGGCGTAGTAAAGTACCGTAGCCGAAGTGCGCAACGTTGCTGAGGAAGCTGTGCCAGTAATGTCAAGGACGCATAACACATTGTAGAACCTCGCAGCAATACAGTGTTCGAAGCAATTGTATTCGAATCGACATGAAAACTACGCAGTACGCAGACTTGACTCCGTTCCTAATGGTCTGTCTGTCTGTCTCGCCTGCAGTACCTACCGTCCTAGCGCTTCCAAGTCTTACTCTTTGAGTCAGGCAACTTGCATGGGAAAAGTGGCGAGCGCGGCACGACCGAGAGCCCGCGGCAAGTGTGGACCGAGATCTAGCCCTGGTCAGCGTATTTTGTGAGGCTGCGGTGCCGTCCAGGTCCACGGCGGTGACGGAAGCCTGGCGCCTCCAGCTCCACGACCGTCGTACGCTTGGGATTCTCGTGCTTGGACTTGGTCAGCACAATGTCGAGCACGTAGTCCTTCAGGTACACGTTCTGTCAGAGAGTCAGCGGGCCGGTGCTCATCTGATCAAGTCCGCGCGGCGGGAAAAGGATGCCATCGGTGTGCTTCGTGTCCTCAGCGCCTAAAAGCAAGACAGGGGAATTCAGACATGACGTTTTCCCAGTTAGTCACACGTTTGATCAAGAACGATGGCGAATTCGGAGCACACTTACGTTCAGTGTTCTTGAGGTGTCCAGGCAGCACGCCATACCACGATAGCAGCATGCTCTTGTCGTTGTCTTTCCGAGGGTCTCGTAGCATGTACCCCATCACAGCGCTGGCATCGCCCACAGGATCGGGTGGCATCAGCACCTCGAGATGCGCTCCGCCGCGCGTAGAGCTCTTGATCACAAGAGGCGCGGCCAGTCGTCGTCGTCGGCAATGCACAGCGAGCGTGCCCGCGTCCTCCTTCTCCTTGAAACGCAACCGCCGTCTCGTGCCCAACGGCGACTTCTCCGATGGCAAGTCTGCGGAGGTCGTGCGAGCTTTCCGTAGGCGCACCGCAGGCTGCTGCTGCTGCATCTGCATCCCCCAGCTCACAAAGCTCGCTGGGGTTGCCGGCAGGTGGGGAGGGAGCTCACTGCATGACGTGCTGGACCGTTAGGTCTGGAAGGCTCGACATCACCGAGAAGCTGGCTTCTCGGGGATGCTTGCCAGCGCCATGGCAGCCACTGCGCTGAGGCTCGACAACTTTCGTAATGTAGCCTTTTGCGTCTTCCGATGGCGAATGTGATCCAATCACGAGATCATAGAAAAAGTAGACTTGTTCTGCATAAGACCCATTTAAAAATCTACCACCCAGGATACTCCACAGTATGATCATCGCGAAATAGTACCATGCAAGCCAGCTATTTGGTTGTCGGAAACATTCCCCCGTTGTGGTGCACAGGTTCATCGACACTGTGCCCTTAACATCGGGCTTATAGGGAGACATGATACAGTCTCTCGACCATCTTTCGTTCTCCGCCTCCGACCGATTCGGGTAGTTCTCTGGGCAGAAGAAGCAAGGGGTTTTCTTCCCAGTAGCGAGAAAATAACTATCTGCCGCCGGTGGCAGGTACTCCATACACGATCGTAGAATGCTCTGGTTTGCGCCTAGCAGTTCGCACGCGTCGATGTAGAAGGTTAAACTGTTGGAGCTGTAGCCCCTGACCCTGGAAAACTCCGTCTGACTCGAAATATTGTCGACTAAACCCGAGATTGTCTTGGTTGACTGATAGGTTTCGTTGGTGAGGGACTGATGGGTATGACTTGCAGTAGTAGTCGAGCGTGCGGTTGGGCATGGCGCAGTGCATATCGGGGTGCGTTCCCTCCGCATTGACATCGATGATGATCGTTTGAGCAGGCTTACCGGTTGTGTAGATTATTGGAGGCGTGTAAAGCACCGTAATGTCCGCGATCGCTTCAGTGGCAAGTTCATCACACACGAGCAAGTAGAACAGCACACGACCGGCGACGCCGTCGCTGCCGCTGTTCAACGTGAGGCTGAAATCGAATGAGACTTCGAAGGTTCCGTTGCGCCCGAACTCATAATCTGCCAGGAATTCCAACGAAGAGAAGGACGTGCTGCTGTCCAGGTACGCGTGGTGGTGGAACTTGGACGGAGCGAAGAGAGTGGCCACTGTTAGTGGAATTTCGGGAGCTGCAACATTGTCTTTGGTCGACGCTGATAGAGTCAACTTGACGAAGGCACACCAGAGAATGAGGAACGTCTGGGCTAACCGTTTGCTGCGCTGTGAAGCGAGTGTGTCGCTACTGCTTACGTGTGTGCAGCTCTGGGAAGCAAGGTAGATCGTAGAATGGATAGCGAAAGGATAAACTTGAACCTCTTGGATGACCATTTTTTAGCTGGACGTAAAACCAAGTCTTCTTATCTTGTACGTCTTCTTATCTTATCTTATGAGTCAATCGATTCCAGTTTATGGTAAATCAGCGCTTTGCGGCCGAAACGGAGAGCTAGTCTTGCAACTGTGAACTGAGAATTCCTTTGTCGGAACATCGAGGCTGCTACTCAACTCCATCACATACATTTTCCACAGCTTTGCGATCATGGCTCTACATGTACAGTAAAATGAGGCGCTGGCATTATAGCTGGCTTCACAAGGGGTGCTGATCTTCATCTTGGAGCTTCCTGCTCTAACTATGCCAGACGAAGAGGTGAGTGAGTTTACACCAGGGGTCGGAAAAATAATAGCAAAAAATTATTATGGTATTGTCCCACTACAATTATTTATTATTGGAAGTTCATGAAACCAATACAATATGATATTGCCCCAATAATAGCAATACAATATCAAATACTATGAATTCTGGGGTTGGGCGTTCATAAATGATGAAAATGCTATAATAAACTATTATAATCTCTATTTTTCGGGTCGATGACACAGCCTTGGGTTGCGAGGCTTTTGTGGAGCAAGCGGTGTATACTCAATAGCGCTTTGTCGGACAGCTTCACTTCCCAAAACCGTCCTGGAAACAGTACAGGGCTATTGTAATCGTCATCAGCCTCCACCTGTATTTTCTCACTGTATAGGTTGGCCTGACACCTCAGTAATAGTTCGATATCAGTCATGGGACGTTTGCGTAAAGTTCGCGTGAAGTTTGCGGCCTTCCTGTCACATTTTGGCAATTAATAGCTCATGTCACGAATTGTACAATATACTTAAATTGTACCAATTATTATTATTGGTTGCCCTCATATTGCCGTTATCACTACTGCAGCTTTGGCCTCGCAATACAATTTCATACTGTACTGTCCGACCCCTGGTTTACACATTCACTGGTATAATGGCGTCCACCTCACCTGCTTCAGCTGGAACCATAGCGGTCGCAATGCCAAAAGGACACCGTTTTTCATCCGACAGGCATTTGCGCTCTCGTCCAAGCGACACCTTCTCCTGATAGCAGTACTTTGTAGTTAGTTCCGAGGTAGTGTTGTTTATTACCAAGTTAATAACTACTAATAACTGGTATTAGGATTTTTAGCTATCTAATACCGATTGGTAATACCATTATGTAAAGATTGAGTACGATAAACTGTCTTTTTGTGTGCAGTCAAAACTCCGCTCAGAGTCCGGAAGAATGCGCTTCTTCACAATAATATGACTTCATGCTTGTTCTCACCTAGTGTCTTCTTACCACTAGGAAGGTATGATGAGCGCATTGGTGCTATCCTCATCTCGTTCTTGTTTTTTTAGCTAAAGTAGTCCTGACACACCAACTTTACACAAAAGGTATTACCGTTAATAGGAAGGTATTAATTGGTATTAACTCGGTAATGATTTGACCCAACTGTATTCCGAGCAGTATTTTCTTGTCCGTCTTGATGATTGCGACGGACGTGACCTTGCGATACGTCCTCTGAATGGCAAGTTGCTCCTCTTCTGAGCGTCAATCGCTTCACGCGCTTCCGAATCAAAGTCCACGTAAGAGAACGACCCGAAAAAACAAACCGACGACAGCGGAAAAGATAATACAAACACACGAAAAGGCAATAAGTGAGCGCTTGGAAGGTGAAGATAGCCGGAAAAAGGTACACGAAGTCGTTCCCATCGATATTCGCCTGAATAAGCGACGCAAGCGGGGAAACTCCCATGTACCCCCACAAAATCCATCGAAACTCGCGGAAAATCTGCTTCTTCGCTTTGGATGGCGCCATGTCTAATCGCGCCGTTGCGCATGCCTCATGTCCAGCGGTTGGCCAAGGTAATAATCCCGGTCCACAGCAAACTCGATACGATGACAAGAGCGAGGTGATCAACCCACAACTCACTCACTGCGATGAACATTGCCACCCAAGACACAACAACGACTCGAATCCTGCTGGATTCACGAAAATCAAGTTTTCGAAGCGTAATATCCCAACCTTTGGTCAGGTACCAGTATAACAGAGTCTCCAAAGTGATGACGAAAGCTAAAGTTGAAAGGCCATTGCAAGTGTAGGAAGGATACCGTGCTGCCAGTCAAGGTACATTCCAGCGGTTTGCTGTGCTGCGTAGGCAAAAGACGTGTCGATCACTAACGAAAGATGTCTTTCCAATCAACCGGTTAGGTTCGACAAGCACTAAGCTTAAGATTAAACAATTTATCGTATTCTAAATCCGCGCGGTAGCTCACCAACAGGAGAAAACAGCGTTAACCACGCTTATTCAAATAAAATATCGCGGCTGCGGTCAACTACTTCTGTATACAGAGACGTCATCGTCACTGAATATGACGAATATTCCTTAGCAACTAACGCGTCATCTTGTTAGTGGCCGAAAGTGCCAATTGTAGTCATCTTAGTAAGAAGGAACGTGAAATTGCCACCATAACAACGTACAATTAATTTCGCGTGCCCTCGCGTGTTCTGACGGGCCTGTACCACTAATCCTTCCAGTGATTCAGTCAGATCTACGAAATCCACACCGAGAAGTGTCCCCCCGATCGTATCATCCCGGACAAATCTTCACTTTGTGGAAAGCAATACCCAAAAATGCACCGGGTATTGTCAAAGAGTTTGATTGAAAATGGAAACGTAAAAAAGCTCATCCATTCTTAAACACGCCGAGCTTGTTCCCTGTCTGCACATCCTGCAACAGCCACAAGGTCACGTACTCATCCGCATAATTGGTCGATTCGGTCGTGATGCCCCAGCTTCTTGCGAAGCAGCGGCATAGTCCAGTCCTGTCCTTTGTGCTGCTCCCCAAAACGTCTCGCCAGCGGGTTCTTCTGGAGCTTGGCCTCAAGATCTCTTCCGAACTTGAACGCGCCTTGGGGCTGAGGCTTCTCACAACGTCTTAACCTGGGGTTTCCACGGGAGGGACAACGCCACCCCAGTCTTTCGCTGGACGGTGTTGTAGGACCGGACCTGAACCAACGCAATGTACGCTTGGTACTCCTCCGAGGTCTTGGGAGTCCCCCTAGTGATGCCCAAATTTTTTCTGAGCATAGACGGGGTCCATTTTTCATTGACGAACTCCTGGACGATTTTTTTGGCGACTTGGTTATTCTTCACTTGTTTCTCGATGAACAACCGAACGGTGTTGAGCTTTTCAGGCGTGAGAGGACCCATCATATCTTCGGCAACACGGTATATCGACAGCTGTGGGGCCTTCACTGAGGCCTTCACCTTCGGAATCTCGATCGTTAGAAGCGGTTTCGCTGGGACCTTTAGTTTTAAAAGCGGCTTAACAACATCGGGACCCCGCTCTTCACCCGTCAAGTCCAATTCCGTATCTTGCTGGTGCTTGTTGTTCGACTCGGTGCTGCGAAAGAATCGCTTGCCACTCTGGACCGATTCGGTCAAGGAGAGATCGGAGGCACCCGAAACCGGAGTCGCGGCGAGGGCCACTGCAGCGGCGAGAAGGATCCAACTCAGACGCATTGGCTCGGATTTGGCGGTCTTGACTTGAGTGCTGGAGGGCAAATAGCAGAGTGGGGACTGCTAGTATTTGTTTTGTTTTCGCTGCGTTGCGTCCACGGAGATTGGCTCGAGGATGCATAAGCTGCTACAGTGCGGGCTAGGGATTTTGGCTAAGGCACGATTTGGGCTTGTGACTTTCAAAACGTGTGCTGGCCTTGTCCAAGTAAATTCCGGAGGACTTTATCTGCAGACCACCCGTCATTTTTGAATCGCCACCAAGCACATGCACCGAGTCCTCTCGCCAGTGCGTGGGCTAGCTGTCATTAAAGGCAGGCGCGAGGACACTTGGGCATGAAACAACACATCGTAGAGTAGCCACTGGATGCACATATGAAGCATTTCGACGGTTCTTATCGATTACTTCGGCACTTGTTGCTGCACCCGACTGGGATTCATGCGACGAGCCGAGTGGGGGCTGGTACTTCAACAGCATTATTGTATAAAAACAGTTATTGAGGTAGTTATGTACAGCTGTGTGTACTGCAGGCACAGCAGATGGGAGTCCATGAGGTGGGGGCGTCCCTTTTGGATGGGGGAGTCCCTTTTGGATGGGGGAGTCCCTTTTGGATGGGGGAGTCCCTTTTGGATGGGGGAGTCCCTTTTGGATGGGACTGGAGGCTGCCGAGACGCCGCCGCTGTGGAACGGGCCGTTGAAGGGTTATTACATTGTACTAATACCTTATTAGTGCCCGTAGGCGTTTGCTGTGACTATCCTGATCACTCTCTTGCCGGTAAGGCTTGTATTGTAATACAGTACATGTAGTGATAAGACCACTTTTTATCACTATGCAGAGGCATCACTATCTAAATATGTACCATATTGGCGGTACGTTATCGTTCAAGGTAGTGATACCGGTAATGCCGCCATTTTGGCACTTCGTGAGTTGTATTGCACTCAATGCACTCGATACATGGTCAAAACATTAGATAAGTGGTCATTGCTGCGCTGAAAAGTATATTATCTACGGCTGTATAGCACGAGGAGGGATGATACGCGGAGGTTAGAGGATGTCGGTCATTGGGATAGAACGAGAGGGTCTCGCTATTCGGGATCGTACCACTACAAAGGGGATTGTCTGTACCGAAAGGGTTGAACCGGCAGAGACAAGCGTGGCAAGCGTGAATCCCTCTGTTCAAAGCTTCCTCCGGTTGTTTCGGAGGAAGCAGCCGCAGCAAATCCCTACAATTTTGATTTGTCCTTTGTCCATTTGTGCATATGATGATGGTGGAAACTGTACAGAATATACCGCCACTTCCGACACCATATGTTAGGTACCTTTTGTGCACTGTATAATTTGCTGCAGGGGAAGCGACCTCTATTTGGGTCGATGCCACAATAAGCATGTCGGCAACTAAATACATGTACGTCTTCGTCTAGACCCCCGGTTTGTGCGCCTTCGTCGTCCTGACCAGACTCGTTAAGACTACTTAAGTTTGCTGTTTGGACCATCTACTGGCAGCAGAGCGCGTCGCGCGCGTCGTCTACCCCAGCTTCTGGCGCTACTGCGTTGCTTGAGTCGCTTCCCGACGTCTTAGACAAATGCGAAGCTCATACCTGCTTGGTCATGTACTGTAAAAGGGAGGTGATACTCAGGGTGCTCTAGTTGAGGCACTTATGCCTCTTTGCTACAATCCGGAGTTTTGAGGCGCATTACTTCTCGAAATTTGAGGCACCACTAGGGTTTTCATACAAATCTAAGATAAATGGCAGAAAAGGAGTGCCTCGCGGTAAGGTAGTTATCGGGCCGTTTAAACAATCCGTTTCCAGAGGTGTGAGGTTTAAATTCGCTGCGCCATCAAAAATGATCAGATTAGAACTTGGAAATACACATGAGAAAGCGGAAAGAGAGCTTATTCCTGTGATATAATGTCGTAAAAAGTTGAATATTCCAAGGCCAGAAAAACAGCCAATCGTGTTGGAGGATTTTTGCATACAAATCACTGATGTTAGAGTTTTGTCCAATGAAGTGTGGTACATAGAGGCATAGCTAGGTACTTCGACCAATCATACATCAAGATGGTTTGAGGTTTTTTATGAAAAAAACTAACTGTTAATTCTTTTCCGGACTGGAGAAGTACGCCAAGGAATAGACATTCTTTTCCGTTCTCACCTCGGTCCCGCAGTTCTCCAGGCGTGTAAACAGATAACAACAAGAAGATGTTGAGAGTTGTAAAGAGTTTGCTTGAAAAATGGAAACGTTTTATAAGCTCATTAAATCTTAAACTTGCCGACCTTGTTCCATGCCTGGACGTCACGTAGCAGCCACAAGGCCACGTACTCGTCCGCGTACTTGGGCGTTTCTGTCGTGATGCCGAGCTGCTTGACGAGCAGCGGCATGCTCCAGTCCTGGCCTCTGTGCTGCTCCGCGAAGGCCTTGGCGAGCGGGTTGCTTTCGAGCTTGGCCTGGAGATCCTTGCCAAACTTGCGCGCGTCCTCGGCTTTGAGGGTCGGCACCACCTTGTCCACCGAGCGTTTCCATTTTAGGGACTTGGTGGCCCACCCGGTCTTGGCCTGGACGTTGTTGTAAGACCGGACCTGTATCAGCAGGATGTACGCGAGGTACTGCTCCGAGTCCTTGGGCGTTTTCCTGGTGATGCCCATGTTCTGCTTGAGGGTTTGCAGCGGCCACTGCTCGTCGATGAACTGGTTGACGAAGCTCTTGGCGATGATGTTCTCGTCCATTTGTCTCTGCAGGTTCTGACCCATCTTGTTGAGCTGAGGCGGCTTAATCGAAGCCAGGACCTCGTCCAGCGGACGGAGCAGCGGGTGCGAGTAGGCGGTCACAGGGGCCTTCTTCGTAAATGGAACCTTGAGCTTGTCGAGTTTTATCTCTGGAATCTTGAGCTTGAGGTTGGGAAACGGGTTGACCCGTCGTTCTTCATCCGCCGAGTCCAAGGCTTCCGTCTCTTGGTTCGACTCGGTGCTGCGCAGGAATCGCTTGCCCGAGTCCGTCGTGGTCAGATCGGAGGCCGCCGAGACGGGAGTGGCGGCGAGGGCCACCACAGTCGCGAGCAGGAAATAGCTAAGACGCATGCTTTGGTTACTAAGACTGAGGGTCTGGCGGTGCAGTCTTGACTGTGAGTGCCAGAGGGCAAATTGCAAACTGGGGGTGCACCACGACCCGCGGGCTGTTGATGAAGAGCGCGGTGCTGCACATAATATGTGTGTACAGTACATATTTCGTACTGTACACACACAATCCCCCACTTTTTATTCCTAAATGAGGGTATTCCTGTCGTAGGTTGTACCATTCATTAAAGTATTCGAACGGACGAAGCAGGTCTGAGAGCCGGCTCCGAAAGATAATGCAAGCATTAAAACGAGGAAACAAGGGCAATAGGAGCTGGTGTCCAGGCTCGACTTTTCCAGAAGTCCTGTACAAAACGGTCTTACCATAGTTAAGCACCCCAGAAGATTCATAAATTGTGATTTGGCATTCCTTTCAACCATTGAGGGTTGAGGGAGACAAATACTTGGCTTTGTATACATGTAGGTCACCATATATATTCCTGATGAGCGGGTATTCCTCACCTAGGGATATCTACATGTACGGAGGGGGTCGTCTGTACAATACCTGGTATTACACAGACTGGATTAATTCATCACAATCTTTGCGCGCAAAGTCAAGTGTTATCGGAATGACAAGGGATTTGCGGCGGTTGTTTCGGAAGATCCGTTAGAAATGGGGATCGCCGCTTTTCAAATATACTTGTTTGTATATACCATCCATGTGGTATTGCAAAAACTCTCTTCTTTAAAACAGCATTTCAGTAGAGAGTAGTTGTCGTTGACAATGGAAGATGCACAAATGTGTGGCTCTACGGTACCTAATTTATATCGAAAGCTTAACAGCCCTACAAAAGCAGCGAGCTTACATTGTACCCGGAAGGCAGAGAACTGGGTGGTCTTACTGTTATTAACAGCGAACGTCTTTACTGTAGACTCCTCAGAGAACGTGGAAATTTGTGACGAATACTGCAGTCCCATCCTAGAGGAGCTCCCCGTTTGAGGATCACAACCTGCAACTGCATTACGTACGGTGTGAGCTAATAAAAAGGTACAAATGGGGCAAAATACGACCACACAAAAGACTCCATGAAGGTCTGCCTATCCACTTCATCTCCGTCGAGTAAAGGACGATAACAACCTGCGATTTGTACAACAGCAACCACACCAAACGGGCACCAGCAACCACTTTTGTGTACAGAACCGATCCTGTACTACTCGGTTCTGTACTTAAAAGTGGTTGCTTTTCTGTGCGGTGTATTACACCGCATATCGCAAGTTCGTGTCACGGTCCACCAACACCAAAACCAATGCTGTATCCCAAAAGGACGCAGGCATTGTCTACAGGTGGCGGCGAGCTGAGCCGCGAACAGGAGGGTGCCAACCACGTGCCGACATGCCTATTGACCTCTAAGAATGATTAAATGTCTACTTCAAAATAACTCGCGCGAGTTAATACGAAGTAGTGGATTCAAAACAACTCGCGCGAGTTAATATGAAGTCGTGGATTCAAAATAACTCGCGCGAGTTAATATGAGCAGTGGATTCAAAACTGCTCGAGTTAGTTTGATTCATAACAGCTACATGCGTCAAGCTCGAAAGTTGCTAAACGATCAGGTTGGTGAAGTGAGAAAATGGGCTTAGATATTTCAACGAAGCTGTGTGACTGGGTGAAATACCGTTAACATTCAATCCTGTAAAAACTAGCAAGAATGGTACCAACAATGCTCATTACCCCAGAGAGTGTTGGATTCGAATAAGAACGAGGGACATCGAGTGTACAGAGACTATAGTCAACTAACTGCACAAGTAAATAGCAATGAACCAACAGACATCATTCTTAGCGAGTTAGATTGTGGACTATAATTTCGTGGACCACTACCGCAGACTCGCGTCCTCGAGGCATGTGGACTGTTGGTGAGGCTACACCAGTGCATCTTAATGGTAGTGGTAGATAGCCGTCTAACGCCCAACAAATTCAAATTCCAAATTTGATCTATAACGTCGGCTACGATGTAACTGCACAACGTGCAATAACGTTCATGAGGGGGCTAATAAGTCTGTTTTAGTGAAGTTATTGTGGAAAGCTCGTATTGAAATACTACTAGAGCAAGCGTTTTTGACTGGATAGTCACACGACTTACAGTTAGCTCAAATGCCACTCACAGCAAGGGTGTGCGCCTTTAATATTTACCCGTCGGTCACTATATAGCTACAATTCCCAGCGAATTTTCGCATCGTAGTGCACAAATACATATTGCTCCAAATTCAGACGTTGTAGTTGCACCTCAACGCGCCTAGGAATAGTAGTTATAGAGAGGTTGGTTGAGTCCTAACTCCTTTATTTAAAAGTATGCAGTGCGAAATGGTTCGTGGTTCGAAACCCCAATGCGGACCAGTGTGCTGGTTGTCACTAACATCAAGGCAGTGAGCGTTATGGCTATGGATACTCGTTACTAGTGTAAGTGAACTCTATATACCTTATTTCCAAAACAAAATACTTAAGTATGCTGGTTGGCTTGCTGAAATTCTTAAGCCTGATAAATTTCCCTGAGTATTTTTGTGGGTTATACGTTGCCACTTGAAATATGCCAGAAGACCCATTACATACTTTAGCATGCAAGGTATCCACGCTAGCTGAGTAGTTTAACGGACGCTTAGGTGGTTCAGCATGAGGCGCTAGAATACGTGATACCTTCCGAACTACTCTCTATATATTATCGAATCTCTGAGTAGAGCTGCAAGTTCTGTATATGCTCCACACAGATAAAATCAAACAATGCGTCGTAACCATACACAACCACTACCATCTCTGATAACAGGGGAAGCGGCTATCCGGTGGCTTAGAGGCAGGAACTGGTGCGAACCTTACTAAAATGTTTTACTCACTCAATCGGCATATACTCACATGTAAGGGACAATCTGGGTATGGTGTGATACATTGCGGTGCCTGGCATCCTAAGACAAACTAAATGTATGCATTTGTTCACACGGATTGCTTTGTGGCAACCGTGCTTGGGTTGAACTCCGAAATGCTCACGTATAATTACCCTTTACTGTACAGTATACTCTAGTACGTACCATTTCAATTTAAAACAGTATAATTGGCCTCATATCAGCTCCGTACCTCGCATGACGCCACATTATAACAACTCCTAATAGCTGCCTATACGCATGCGCAACCGGAGTCTATTCTACATGTAGTAATATAACTCACTTTATGATGTCTCGCGAGTAATTTAATTCAAATTAACTCGCGCGGGTTATTCTGAAGCATCTGGACCATTTTAACGCGCGCGAGTTATTTTGAATTTGAACCAGGCAAAGCTATACTGAGCTCAAGTACATATACATGTTAGCGGCCATTCGCAGGCGCCCGGCTTAGCGCAGGAACCTGGAGAAAGGGCAGTAGAAAGGACAGGTTGCTAGTGATCGAAAAAGTGGTTGTTGACGATCACTTTCCAGCTCTTTTGGTTGTTCTCGTCTTTTTTAGGTTGCCATTGTCCCAAAGAAGGTTGTTTATGGAGAGTGCTTACGTACACAGTCTTTTTTTTATGGGGGTCGAGGGGGGGGGGGTGAATGTGATATAGAAGAGGACCACGGAGCAAACCCACGCGGGTGCCCGCGTAGCAGGGCCGCGCGGTATTTGCGGAGGCGGCCCAGCGACGAGCATTCCAGCGAGCCTAGCACTGTTCTCGCCAGGTGAGATAATCTTTTTATCGCAGGAGCGCAGCGGAGCAAAGCCATTTCCCGCGGTTGACATCCGTCCTGCGGGAAGGTCGTCACATTGTGGGGTGATGGGCTGCCTATAACTCCAAGATATCACCGATAATAGACTGTGTACGTAAGTCCTGCCGTTGTTTATGGTCCAAAGTTGGTGCTCTGGCGACCCGGACTCATCTCCGTCGATGGAGACAACGCAGAAGTGCGAGCTAAAACGATTCAGTGGTTGCTGTCGGGGCTGGGCTGGGTGGGCGATCGCTGAAGTACAGTAGATAACACTGGGTGAAAATTAAGGTACGATAGCTAGGTAGTCAACGCAATCTACGTAACTACTTCGTGTTGTACATGTGCAGTAGGTGCAATGTATGCTCTGGTTAGCCAGTTTGATGAGATCCCAGTCGCCATAGGTACACTATTAGCGACAGTACACTGATAAATACGCTGCAACGACAGCAAACCGTATCATTCAGGATGGTACAGGTACAATTTTCAGGGAAGTTGAAGTCACATCAGTGCGCCTCCTCTGTGGTGGCTGTGAGTTAACTAAAAAGTGCTGTAGGTAAGCTAACAAATATTACCTTGATGCATGCGTAACAGTGCGTCTCTTCTTCATAAGCTTACTAACTTGAACTAGCCCCTGGCGTCTCCTTCGTATCGTTCACCTCCGCGGGCTTTTCAAACGCGTAAGCCGTGCCCAGCAGTACCCCTTTGTCGGGGTTGAGTATCAACGCTGTCGCGACTTTCTTACGTACGGGCTCCTCAATCACCGGAATGATACTCGAGCTGCTCACAGGGTCACCCGAAGCATTCTCCGCCACTGTATTTTGCCTTTCATTGCCCTCGTCAATGGCAATTTCCAGGTTTTCCAGCTCACTGAAGCGGAATTGTTGACACCTGCAGATGTATCCCAAGACCGCGTAGAATAGGAAGATAAGGACCTCGTGGCCTTGCACTGAAATCCACTCCCAAATGCGCCAGCGGTTGTCCGACCCAGTGAGCGAAGCCACCGTGGAGAAGAAGATAAAGCCCTTCTGGAGTCGCTTGTAGTGGAGGAAGAGCGTCCCCTTCCACATGACCAGCGACATGTCGATGTTGACCTGCTCTCCGATCCGGTAGCGCAGTCGCAGCATCTTTAGGTTCGCACTGGCGTAGTAGTGGATCAAAAAGAGGATGGAGAACCACGAGATGCCCCAGATGACTGCGATACCGATGTTGTCCACCTCCAGCTGCTTCAGCATCACGAAAGCCAGAGCCCATTCCACAGCCACACAACGAATCCGGATCACATCTATCCGATCCAAACTTCCCTGTGTGATCCCCCACCCCGCAGCGACGAATAGAGCCACCTCAGCTGACACTGCTAAAGCCACAGCCTGCGCCACCAACGTCACGATCGCCAGCAAATTGAACTTTGGACTCGCAAAATACCCGGCAGTAAACTTTGTGGCAAAGGAGAGAGCCGAGTAGCCGAGTTGTGTCAATGGAACGCTCAGTAATTTGTAGTGCAAGGGCACAACTGCCCCCTGTGGCGCGTAGTACATGTGCACCATCCCGACTAAACACGCCAGAGTCCACACTGCGGTACTGGCGCCGTAAAACCCCACGAGAAAGTTGTCAAACTCCCACAGACACTCGCCGTCTTCAGTGCACAAGTTCATGGCCACGGAGCCCAGAACCACCTGGTTCGCAGCGGGTGGAACTTCACATTCCTCCGACCATTGTTTGCTTTCGGTTTCTGATAAATGGGGGTAGTTCTTGGAGCAGAAGAAGCACGAGTTCCCGTCGGATGGTGGGGGATACTCCAGACACGAGCGTAGAATAGCCTCCTCACCTCCAAGTAGCTCACACGCGTCGATGTAGAAGCTGAGATTCGTGGAGTTACTTGCCGTGACGACGTCGTACTCCGCCTGACTCGTCACATTGTCGGCTAAGCCGATGATCTTCTTTGTTGACTTGTACGTGGATATGTCGCTCGACTGGTTCTCGAGGGGGAAAGACTGGCAGTAGTAGTCCAGGGTGCGGTTGGGCATAGCGCAGTAGGAGGGCGTCGAGGTTCGGTTGGTGCTCGTGGAGGAGTCGGACGGGAGCTCGAGGAACGCTCTGGCCGATTCGTCGCACGCCAACAGGTACAGCAGGACACGGTGTTGACTCTCCTCTAGCGTTGCCAGGGAGAAGTGGGCGTTGAGCTGGAACTCGAACCACCCGCCGTGTTCGAGGTCGAACGTGGCCAGGAACTCTAGAGGGGAGAACTTGCTGTCCAGACTCACTTCGTGGTGGAAGTCGGACTGCCCGAACAGCGTCGCCATAGCCCGTGAACCCGAGACTCGAGTCGGAACTAAGCATAATATACTAAGAGAAGCAAGAGAGCTGGCGAGGGGGCGGCGGTATGGCGTCATGGTCATGGTGATCCTGGTTCTAGTCAACGTGTGAGCGCTGCAAGTCTGCTGGAGTATGCTATGTATGTTTGGTATAAATACCACTGACATTTATACCCGTTGACAAGTTGGTTGCGTTTCTGATCTGTATCTGAACAATCTCCTTCTCGCCTCAAGTGGGGCTTCGGGGCACAGTATGTTTTATTGAGACGAACCAGCAGTAAAATAAATTCTAGTCTGTATATCTAGCTTTCGCTGGGTGCTTTAGTTAGCTAAATATTCTTTCCTATGTTCTCCAACGTGGCTCAATTGGAGATTCGTTTCTTGCTGAGTTCACTATGAATCACTTTATACACATATCAACCTTTCACTTTCATGTCGAAGGAGGTCAGTCAATTGTTAGTGTGATGGTGGGCTGTGCATGTACCAGGTCTGCAAATATCACGGTGTCGAGTTGAGCCAGCTAAATCGTTGGCTGAAGTCAGCCCCTAATGTAACGCATGAACACAAAAGATAAGTACATGAATAAGCACGGCATTCGTATTCTGGGGGGGGGGGGTATTGATAGGAACACGCTCGCGTACCCGAGCAACAACACGTGAAGGGTGGACAATTCGTTGCAGTAAACCACAAGGCCACGCTACTAATTTTGTTCCTCAAAAGATAATATGATGGATGAACCAGACAAAATGAAAACGAAAAGAAAATGTCTGAAAGTCTCTGATAGAATCACCAAAACGGGATGGAACTTCGAGATAGCTTTCTAGGGATGTCACTTTCCACTAAAAAAAAATGCGACATCAGTCGTGGACAGCACCGCATCCAGTGTGATTGAGAGGAAATAACTCCGAGAGTCTTGGAGTTTTGGCTGCAGCTCGAGATTTATAGGGCGTCGAATACGTCCACGTTGAAGATGACGTTCTGCCGTACTTTTTGTCCAGAAGAGAACTGACCCAGATGCTTATGATCAGAGGAAGCAAAACAAAATAAATGTTTTGCTCCAATGCCAACGGTTGAAGCCGCACTGCAGGGGTAGATCAGGCACAGGAATGTGAGTACCAATGAGTCGTTAATCGTGACTCAACTCCGTCCTCAGTCTTACATCTCGCCTTAGCACTTGGCCAAAGAAAACCCGCGAAGGCCAAAGCCCCACCTTCCGTACGTATCGAAAAAACCATGCCAGGCGGTTGACGAATGCTTGAGGCAGCTAAATCTCCAGCTCAAGTCGGCTCCTATATGCAGAAAGCTATCATTGGTTAGAATGTGGGGGCTGAGTGCTCGTCAAGTTCTACACCGTGTTCGTACCGTTGGGCTCGAGTGAGTTCTGGATGTTGTAAAATATCGACAGGAACAGATTGGATTGCACTATAATCATCCCGTGGTCCAGCACAAAGCCGAGCAGGTGCAACATGGAGATGCCGAGTCTTCGTTGCAGTGTGAAGCCGTTCACTTGCAGCAGCAGGAACTGGACCACACCTAAGATGAGCACGACGCGGGCTTTTGCTATGACACTTGTGTCGTCCAAACCCTTGGTCTGTAAATAGTAGTCGTGGTTCGGTAGGTAATACTGAATTGCGGTGCAAGTAGCTGAGCCCGATTTTTATCGTGTTCGTGTGTACAAGTAGCAGTCAAAAATTTACCGTATACAACAAACGTACCAATAACGAACGGGACGATGCACGTTGTGTAGAGACACAGAATGGCGAATTCGGTAGTGAAAAGGACCCGGGTCGTCCTCTGGGCAAGCTGTTGGCGTTCAACTTCCGATAAAGCTTTGCCCAGACTGTTCTGTTGGGACGTATTCGGTTCATTGCTCGGAGGTTCAAACGCCTCGATTTCCGTCAATGTCAAGCATTCCACTCATCGGAACGATTCGCCTTCCTGAGGACACAGCGACAGTCGCAGCTATTGGACCAGTTGTTTCACAACTATCATCGTCACTGTATGGTTGTCGTAAAACCGCCAAACCCGAGGCGTAACGCCGTTGCGAAAGTTGAACCCTTGTATGGTCGTCCATTCTGATAATCTCCGCGGCAATATCGAGGCAACAGGTAGATTTCAATGGATGACCACTGGGTATTTTCTGCTGAAGTATGACCACACTTTTCATCAGGGTTTTCACGTCAGTCATGGCTATCCATGCCAACAAAATATCCAACGCAACAGACAGGAATATGACACTGATGGATTTCGAATTCTGGATCGAGATGGAGATGTACATTGAGTTGAACACGTCCACGTTGAAGGTCATCATTTGTGGCATGAGGTCGTACTTAGCATCGAGGAAGTAACTAATCGTGTTCTTTCCGACAATCCGTATCACGGCCAGGATGATAAGATAGAAATTCTGGCCTAGACCCCCCACACGCCCGAACCCGTGGATATATATCGGGTACTCGTACATGAAACTCACGGGGACATTTACAGGGTTGATAAAGTTCTGTAGCTGATTGCGAAGTGCGTCATCTTGCTGCAACCTCCTCCCAAACATGAAGCCGAAGCTGAAAACAAGTACCAAAATCCACGCGGGAACCCCCACAACAAGGGTGAACGGCCAAGGGAAACCAACCATGCTTGACATCCCAACTATCAGCGAGACAGCGGCAGCACTTCCCATGATTGCTATCATAGCAGCCTGAATACACGTCATGCCCAATCCAGGAACCACGACTCGAATCTGTCCTATGAGGGCGAGCGTCATCATCCCAATAGACAAGTAGTTGCGTCCCCAGAGCACGGCATTGGAGCTTGCGGTGAAGCCAGCAGTACACAATCCACCAGCGCAACCAGCAGCAGGCATGGCAGCGGGGATAAAATGCAGAAGATAAGTGATTGCAGGATTGACGCTGAGTGGAGGTACTTGCTGAGGCTTTCGATCCGCTCGGCGGAATGATTCCCGCGCAGCTCAACTTGGAAGCTCGAGCAAAACCTGTACAACCGGCGCCAGCACGGAGCCATCTATCCTTCGATCCACTGCGTTGTAAACGTCTTCGAGTGTCTGCTATGGACGAACTCACTGTTGCCTTGAAGTCGTGAAATCGGGACTTGAATAGAATAGTACCTATCGGCTTGAGAACTATTTTTGCGGCTATTGTTTCGAAGACCAGAACAATATACTTCCCGAATGATGGCACCTAAGACGGGAGTTACAAAAGTCAGAATAATACTAAGTATGAGGACTGAGAATCATTAGGGAACCCGGGCTATGAGGCCCGTTCTGATTTGTAGATGATTAGAAGCAACGAAAAGAAAACATGTATCGTTGTTCATGGAAGAAGGAGGCTTGCACCGAGCAAGCGCTCGTCTCGGTATCTCACGGTTATAAAAATAGCCTTGAATGTTGCCACGAGAAAAGAAAAACAAAACGGGAAGCAGGTGCGCACTCGTACGTCTGCGAAGCAACAGAGTAGAGCTAGATGCTGACTAGCGTAAAATTGTGACTCGGAGACAGGGCCAAATACCAGAAGGACTAGCTGCCGTTACTGACTTGATCAACTCCAGAACGAGTAACTGCGTGAACCTGAAAGATTTTAACATGAAGTAGGAGCACTTGCTCCGGAAGAGTGCAGTGGTCAGAGATAACGACGAGGCGCCTCCGAATAACGGGACACAATGCGAAGTCGCAAATCTCAAATTTCACTACGCGTAACTTTTTCAGAAACGTTTCGCTCAACACCAACAAACACTGCTCTTTCTTACATATTACTCAGCGTACCTTGTATGCCTGAACCACGGGTGCTATAAAAAAGCTACTAGCATAAAAAATAATTAACGAATCACCAGATCGACTCTCACGAACCAATTTGAAGTTGAAGCGAGTTCTCATCGAATAGCACCTTCACCAGTGTGCCTAAACTTCCGTTTGCAGCTCTTTACAAGGGCGAAAGGTTTGTGTGAGCTGAATCGGCAACTACTACGACGAAGCTTCTCTGCATGGTGGCATATCCCTCCATTCGTAGACGGTTCCACCATAGCGCGGGGCTCCAAGAATCTGTACAATACAAACTGTGTACCGGGCTTCAGGCATACTATGTATCAATGTTGCTAACAATGTTGCCGGTTGTCAATACACCAAACTTGTCTAGGCCCGCCTAACACAGTTCTTCGAACTGCGAATTATGCCAAGAAACCGTACTAGTACAATACAGTCCCTACAAACCACGGAACGCGATGACCAGAAACGATGCCAGCCCAACCACGCCATAATACGATGTTGGTTTTCATAGTCTTCTTTGTCGAGAGACATCAGCCGCGGGTAAGTGTATGATTTACTTTCCAGCACTAGAGTTGGGTGTTGAATGCTAAGCCAGCTGAATTTCCAGCTGAAATCTGCTCCTACCTGTACATTAGGGCGATGTGATCGGTGAGAAGTAGGCAATTTGCATAGTTGAAATACATCTCACGTACCATTGTGCTCCACCGCAGTCTCTGTTGAAGTATGAAGCCGTTCAATAAGAGCAGCGTGAACTGGATGACCACGACGCGGACGTTTGCTATGGCACTTGTCTCATCCAAACCCGCGTTATGGAGAGCGACTGGAACGGATTCTCGGGAGTCGGTATCCGTTACGAGGTCTTGAGCTGCATGAACTCTAGGTCTTCACTGACGATGCCGAACATGATGCTCTCACCACCGGCGCCTCTTTCAGTGTCGTAGCTACTTGTCGTAGCCGCCGCAACACAGCGGTAGCTAGTGTGCGCAGGAGCCATGAGCGAGGTTCACCACTTGTGGCTTCGACTCTACCGCTTTTTCACCAGCTTCCAGGTCGAACTCCGCGGCCACTACACAGCCGAGAGGATTCAAGCACTGGCCAAGTACCTGGCCTCAACCTCGACACCCCGCACACTCCTCATCTCTGTCTTCTCTCCCCTACCGTGTCTTGTCATCGTCGCTCTAGTTGAGTGTGTCCCGCTAGCTCCAACCGAAGACGGATCTCGAGGCAACGCCGTCTTCTGGGGTAGGGACCTCGTCGCCGCTTCGTTGATGATGCGCGCTGTGCTGGAGCAGATCCGGGTGGCGGTCCCTGGTCTGGGGATGACCCCGTTGCAAGCCATTGTGGTCGCGATTGTCGCAACGACAGTCTCTACTGCGTTCATGATAGGGATGGCCGGTGTCATTGGCTTCCCACTACCGTTTGCGCTCGTGATTGGGATGCTAGCGACGATGGTAGTCGTGATTCTGAGCTTCGGGATATTATTCGGTCGATTGTTGGAGCAGAGCTCCGGAAGGAGATGAACAGCTTCGCCAACGTGCAGAACTGTCCGATGCCGATCTATCTTTACGGGTTCAATCGCTTGGGCCCGCTGGGGCAGAACATGTACCTCGGTCTTCTCCCTGTTATCAAGATCATCGGCAAGAACTGGATCAGTTATTTCTTACGCAACAAGTACGAATTGATGGCACAAATCATGATCTTCAACCTCGACGTGTTTAACGCCATGTACGTCTTGAGCTGCATCCAGAACTCCAAATCGCTGAGTACGACCTTCATTTCGATCGGATTAGACGCTGTGCTCGCGTGGGTGTCCATGACGGACCTCCGAATTATGACCAAGAGGGTGTTTCTACTGCGACGTAAAATACCCGCTAAACAACCGCTAAAATCTGCCAGTATTATCGCCATCGCTGTTGAGATTATAAGGAAGACGACCGGGCTCACGTCCGGCTTTCGAATCGTCGATACAGCTTTGTAGTGGCAGTATTGAAGAATCCAGATATTAACGAGTGCAGCGAGATCTCCACCGGTCTATTTTTTTTAAGAACGTTGAGGTGTATTGAGTTACTGGCCTTGTGGCCGAACTTCTAATCCCCCTTCCGTCCTCAAGAGCAAGAGGAGTGGGTTTGATATGTAAGATGTGCATGTCCCTATAAGCTAAGCCGTGGCTTCGCTTAGAGAGAAGAGGGCATGAGGATTTCTTGTCCTGTGTTCGTGTCTGCCCATTTCCTGTAGTCATTCATCAAGAAGCTGAGAACGCCCGGGTATCGTCGTTCCACCAGGTCCCTATTCATGGGTTCATCCTGCTGACTTCGTCTGGAATCGATAGCGAGGTTCGCAAGACAATCTGCCATCTTGTTGTGGCAACGGTAGTGGTGTCTCCATGAAGCTACGCGCACCGAGTCTGCTAGGCGCCGTGCTCTGTCATAAATAGGCTGAAGCACCCGAGCTTTTGGCCGCCTGCGCTCCCGTATCATCCATAAGACGAGTTGACTATCTCCTACTATGTGCACCTGTTTGAGTTTGCGCTTGTCCACGTGGTGTAGCAATCGGAGCAATCCGTTGAATTCTGCGAAATTGTTTGTACACGTAGGACGTAGCAGCGAGATGCTGCTCAACCAGACGATTCGTGCTACCCCGCACTCGTCGACCTGGATGAGTACACTTCCACTTCCGCCTGGTCCAGGATTTCCACGCGATCCTCCATCGAAGAAGCCAACATAGTGCTCGGGCTGCGATGGACTCTCTCCCGGAGCTACGAGATCTCCACCGGTCGGTCGGCCGAGGTCGCGCCAGTAGGCCGCCCACAAGTCCTACGACTCTCGGATTTGGCGTCGGATAGAGCACTCATAGGCGTCGAAACGTTCAAACAGCAGCCGGATGGGCCCAGGAAATCTCAACTATACAGTCTGGAGGTTATCCGGAAAAGAGCGGCAACGGTTTGTCCAGAGGGCGGCGCAAGTGCTGTTCACGGCGGAATTCGCCATCCTCGTGCTGTATACGAAGTTTATCGTCCCCTTCCTCTTCGGTAAGTCTACTGTGTGTCGTGGTTGCTTTTTTTATTGGTGGTAAAACTCACTTTATTGTTTTTACCGCAGCTACGTGCACCTGCATCCTGTTTTATATGCCAAATCGTGCCTACTACCCTCAACTAGAGGGTTACGATGACGGGGTGCTCAAGGAGAAAGTGAGCAACGTGGCCGTGTTAGGGGTCTCCCAGTTCGTGTTGCTTGTTGTCAATGGGCTTATTCTACAGCGAAGACTCGGGGTCCCCGTGCTGCACTTGCTCTCCTTCGGGCTCGACCACGGCAAGGTCAAACAAATTTGTTCTTGTCGATATTTTACCCCATCCAGAACTCTAAAACACAACGGTACAGTAGAAATCTCCGTACAGCATGGTCAATCCACTATAGACCACTGACGCTCGTGCTATGTGTTCGTGTATTTCTTAGGAGCTGACTTTAGTTTGTCCTTTAGCTGGCTCAAGCCAAAGCCGACACCGTAGAACACGATGTATTCTGTCACGCGCGATATTCATGGGTGTGGCCCCTGTCACGGCAATCAGCACCGGTACCAGAACCAGCGTTTTATACCACAGGTGTTCCCAGCCAAGACGAAGACGACCTAGTTCTATCACAACTAATAGGATGACATTTGTTTTTATTTAGGTCGATTAACTACCGTACTGAAAAATTGGAAACAGCAAGTACCGTGCCGTACGGTTGTGGGGTTCGACACAAAAGCGCTTTGCGGGAAATAAACAACACGAAACAATTTGCGTTTTGGCAACAGAGCAGTGCGATCTGTCTGTCGACTATACGCCAGTGATGAAATTTCTGGCAACCTCAGTAATTAACACCCAACTTGTTCTGTTTTCGCAACTCCAGGCTAAAAAGCATCTTCAATATGCTACAACTTCGTGTTTGATCTCGACGTCCGACTATTCCTCACTACTTCTACTGTCCACCAGAAGTGCTGTCCACCATGTCAGGCGGTCGTCGAGTGCTTGAGCCAGCTAAATCTCCAGCTAAAGTCGGCTCCTAAATGCAGCGAGTTATCATCGGTTAGAATTTGAAGGCAGAGCGCAGATCGAATTCTGCACCGTGTCGCGTACCGTTGTGCTCGAGTGAGTTCTGGATGGTGAAGAAGATCGATAAGAACACGTTCGACTGTACTATGATCCTCCCATGGTCAAGCACGAAAGAGAGTAGATGCAACATGGAAATGCCGAGTCTTCGCTGAAGGATGAAGCCGTTCACTAACAGAAGCACGAACTGGACGACGCCTAATATGAGCACAACGCCAATTTTTGCTTGTATGTTTGTATCGTCCACGCCCTTGAGCTGCGGGTAGTAGTTGTGGTTCGGTAGGTAATACTGAGCTGCGGTGCAAGTGGCTGAGCGGTTTAATTTTTCTTAGTGTGTAGAATAGGACAACATATTGTATTGTTGGCAACGTACGTACCTAAGACGAACGGGACGATGCATTTTGTGTAGAGAACCAGAATGGCGAATTCGGTCGTGAAAAGTACTCGAGCCGTCCTCTGAACAAACTGCTGGCGTTCATTTTCCGAGAAAACTTTGTCCAAACCGTTTTGCTGGGAAGTTAGACGCTGCCTACGCGGAGGTTCGAACGCCTCGACCTCCGTCAACGTCACCATTTCACGGATCGGTGCAATTTGCCTTGTGGAGGACACCGCGATTATCCCAGCAATTGGTCCGGTTGCAAGGTCAATGTCACTATCACTGTTGACTTGCCGCAGTACCGCTAGACCCGAGGCGTATCGACGCTGAGAAAGTTGAACTCGGGCACGGTCGTCCTGTCTGATAATCTCCGCGGCAATATCGAGGCAACAGGTAGATTTCAATGGATGACCACTGGGAATTTTCTGCTGAAGTATGACCACACTTTTCATCAGGGTTTTCACGTCAGTCATGGCTATCCATGCCAACAAAATATCCAACGCAACAGACAGGAATATGACACTGATGGATTTCGAATTCTGGATCGAGATGGAGATGTACATTGAGTTGAACACGTCCACGTTGAAGGTCATCATTTGTGGCATGAGGTCGTAATTGGTATCGAGGAAGTAACTCGTCCAGTTCTTGGCCACGATTCGGATAACCGCAAGGATGATGAGATAGAAATTCTGAGCTAGATCTCCCACGCGTCCGAACCCGTAGACATACACCGGATACACGAACATGAGGATCACGGGGACATTTACAGCGTTGATAAAGTTCTGCAGCTCGTTGCGAAGTGCGTCATTTTGCTGCAACTTTCTGCCGAACAAAAAGCCAAAACTCAACACAAGCGTGAAAATCCACGCTGGCGTCCCCAAGTCAAGCATGAATGGCAGTGGAAACCCAACGACACTTGACAGTCCGATCATCATCGAGACTGCGGCTGCACTTGCGACCACAGTGATCACGGCCGCCTGAGTTGGCGTCAAGCCCAGACCTGGAACCACGACGCTAATCTGCTCGAGAACGGCGCGCGCCATCATCACAGCGGACAAGTAGGTTCGTCCCCAGAAGACGACGTTGGCGCTTGAACCAGCTTGGGGGGAAGCCAGCGGCACACAATCCACCAGTGTAACAAGCACCAGACATGGAAGAGGGGACAGCACACAGAGGAAAAGCGACCGCAGTGTCGACGCGGTTTGCAGGTACTTGCCCAGGTTTCCGATACGCTCAGCGGAGTAGTGGCCTCGTAGTTCGACTTGGAAGCTCGCGCAGAACCGGTAGAGCTGGTGCCAGAACCGAGGCATGTTCACTGAGTGATAACGTGAGTGAGTGAGTGAGTGAGTGTCTTGCTTGCACCGCGTTCAATTATAAGAACGCTTCGAGCTACAAATGTACTCTGGGTTATGGTTAAAAGCGTCCATGTACGTATGCGCGCAGGCGCATGGGCTATTTTGGATAGTTTTGGACGTTGAGCGTTATGAGGCCGTACAAATACTTCTGTTCGATGCCAATTTCGAAGTATTCTCAACATTTGAGTTTTGGTCACGACTGAGTCGGATCGACATATAAACCCTGGTTTAAGCACGAAGGAGAGTGGGTATCCGCTGCATGGATATCTCTCAATCTTGTGCTCGAGGCAGGCCCCAATCACGAGAAGGGATGTCAGTTCAGCCACGCCGAGCTTGGTCACAATATCGACATTTGTTTTGAGAGTCTCCCTCGCCGACAGATGTCAAGCGCGGGCTAGTAGACATGATTCGATCGAAAGAAGTGGGACGTCCTCTTAAAACTCTGGGCGCTCTTTAGGGTGCCAGATCGAAGAAGTTACCCACTACGCCGATGTATCACGGATGCAGCTTTGGTTTAGGCCTGGGTATTAGGGTGTGATTTTCTTTAGGAATTCGTTGAGTGCCTCAGCCAAGTGAACTTCCAGCTAAAATCGGCTCCTATAATCCATTGAAAAGATATATGATCCGCGAGCATGGAGTTGGTACATTTGCACCGATAGTTGAAAATTACGTCATGTACCGTTGTGCTCCAGCGCGTTGCCATCATTTGGGCTACCAAGTGGTCACTGACATCAAGGCAGTGAGCAGTATGGCTATGGGCGTTACTAGCGTAAGTGAACTCAATATACCTTACTTCCAAAACAAAGAGTTCTGGATGGCGTAGAAGATCGATAGGAACAGACTCGTCTGCACTAAAATTCTCCCGTGGTCAAGCACGAAGGAGAGCAGGTGCAGCATAGGGATGCCGAGCGTCCGTTGGAGAATCCAGCCGTTCACTATCAGCAGCACAAACTGGATCCCACCTAAAGCGAACACGATTTCGATTCTGGCTAATACACTGCTACTGTTCGAACCTTTGAGTTGAGGGTAGTAGTCCTTCACAGCGGCGATATGCAGTGGGCCTAGCGGTGTTAGGGCGGCCTGATGGTGACACTGACAGTGAGGCTTTGATTGGCCCTTTCACCGAAATTATTGCAGTTTCTTCTAGCTGGCAAATCGTACCGATCAGTAAAATGTTGACGTTGACGAAGATCAAGGCGTTTGAACCTCCTGCGGGGCATTCGAAAACATCCCAGCAGAGCAGCTTGAACTGTTTGAACAGTTTCAACTCCGTTTTGTCCGAAAAAGAACGCAAGCGGTTCGTTCATAGGACCGCCCGAGCACTTTTCACGACCGAGTTTGCTATCCTGGCTCTCTACACGAAGTGCGTTGTTCCACTGGCCTTCGGTATGTATGGCGCCCTCGATATTTTTGTTGTTTTTAAATGGCAAGTACTAACAAGACTTGGCACATACTTTTTTGCGAGCTCAGCCACGTGCAATGCAATCCTCAATTACCTACGTGCACTTTTGTCCAGTCTGCAAATCTGCGCGGCAATGTCGATAAAACTAATAGATTTCAACGGTTGGCTCTTTTGTCGGAGTATCGTCACCCCTTTCATCAACTCTACCACGTCAGTCATGGCGATCCACGCCAGAAAGGCATCCAACACAACCGACAGGACGATGACGCTAATGGACTTGGAGTTCTGGATGGAGATGGAGACGTACATCGAGTTGAGCACGTCCACGTTGAAGATGATCCACTGGGGCATCAAGTCGTACTTGGTACCAAGACAATAACTCGTCCAGTTCTTGGCGGCAATCCGTATGACGGCCAGCATGATTAAGTAGAAATTCTGTCCTAGACCACGCGTCCGAACCCGTAGAGATACACCGGGTATACAAACATGAGGATAATCGGGCAATTACCAGCAATAATATTTTTTGTAACTCATGGCGAAGTGCTGTAATTTTCGTCCGAACAGGAAGCCGAAGCTCACCACAACCGCGGCGATCCATGCCGGCTTCCCCAAGTCGAAGGCGAATGGCAGTGGGAAGCCAATGATACTCGACAGCCCGACCATCATCGAGACAGCGGCTGTACTTCCCACCACGGTGATCACGGCGGCTTGAGTCGACATCATATTCAGACCAGGAACTACGACTCGAATCTGCTCCAGAACCGCGCGCGTCATCATGGCGATAGACAAGTAATCGCGTCCCCAGTACATTTGCGCTCAAACCAGCCTTGGTGGAAGCAAGCGGCACACAGTCAACGAGTGCAACCAAGAGTAGACACGGAAGGGGTGACAGTACGCAAATGAGTAGTGAACGTCGAGGTGAACTAGAGTTGAGGTACTTGCGGAGGTTCTCGATCCTCGCAGGCCACGCAACTCGGCCTGGAAGCTCACGCAGAACCGTTAAAGCTGGCGCCAAAACCGAGGCATGTTCCCTGAGGGACACTGTAGATTGTTTGAGAGTCTTGCTCTCAGCGGGGTTTACTCACACACAGAAGGAAGAAGGCTTAGAGGTACGCCAGCCTAACCTATCTTCGGTTTAAAAGCACGAGGTTCATTAACTATTTTGGACGTTGAGCGTTATCAGCGGACAAGTCCAGGCCAATCGAGAAACCGCACACCTTTTTCAATGTGGTTTAACCAAGAAAATGTTTCCTTCAGTACACACTAACCCATGAAGTCGTGTCACCTTGGTCATAGTTCCGGTTACGACTTTTTCAGCCACGAGAAGGCCCAGCTGAAGTCGGCTTCTGCGACACGCACAACAAGCAAGAAGTAGTTAGATCGCCACCATTTCGCAGCCCCCTCCACGGGTAAAGTAATACTACCATTGTGTTCCAACGAGTTTTGCACTGTATAAAAGATCCACAGAAACAGGTTGGACTGTACGATGCGCCATCCTCGGTCAAGCACAAAGGAGAGCATATGCAGCATGGATATCCCAATCTTACGCTCAATGCAATGCCCAATGACCAGAAGCGACACCAATTCGGCCACACCGAACATCACCACGCTACCGATATTGGTTTTCAGTGTCTCCTCGTCGAGAGACGTCAGCTGCGGGTAATACACACGATTCGGCAGGTAGAAAGTGGCGGTCGTGTATATAGCTACCAACATTGGCACAGAAAACTTCAAACCATAAGAACATGAATAACCTCATCGAAGAATCATATCAGAAAACACTCAACTTACAATAGATAAACGGGACGATGACCTCTGTGTACTCCACGAGGATGATGAATTCCGTGGTAAAGAGAAGCTGCGCCGTCCGCTGTAAAAATCGCCGCCCTTCCTTCGCCGAGAAGACGCCATCCAGGAGGAGTCTATCTTTCTGGGGTGATTTATCGTGATCTGGTGCATTGAACGTCTCAACCGCTGCAACAGATAGCTGTGGCTCCAGTGTCGTTATTGGCAAAATTCGCTTTGTTTTAGGGTCTCCAGCAGCGTCTGTGGATTCTTCACTGAAGATATCAACATCGGGGAGCTTCAGCGTGGAGATCCCAAAAATGTAGCCACGGCGTGACAAGCGAGTTCGAGCCTGGTCGTCTTCATTGATAATTTGGAGAGCGATTTCAATAAAGCTGGCCAAGTGTAAGGGGTGGCTACTCGGAATATTCCGCCTGAGCAGGACAATATCCCTCATTAAATCCCTGATGTCGGTAATCGATATCCACGCCGGAGTAGCGTCCAACGCGATCATCAGCAGTATTGACGTTATCGACTTGGAGTTCTGCATCGAGCTCGAGACGTACAGCGCGTTGAACACGTCCACGTTGAAGATCATAATCTGGTGCATCAGATCGTACTTTTTGTCCAGGAAATAGCTCATCCAGTTCTTGGCCACGAGTTTGATGAGTGTGAGCAGTCCGAGATAAAAGTTCTGTCCAATCGTTCCCACTTGGACGAAGCCATACAGATACGCCGGGTACACGAAGGTGAGCAGCACCTGACAGACGAGAACCACCGTGTAGTTCACAAGCTCTTTACGCAACACTGCGTCTTGTTTCAACACGCGACCGAAGAAACCACAAAACTCACGGCAAGAACAACGAGCCACACTGGAATTCCGATAACGAGAGCGAACGGGAGCGGGAAGCCGATGAGACTGGCCATCAGAATCATGAATGCAGTGGCTCCTGCACTTGCAATTACCGGTATCGCGATTGTCTGGCGCGTCGTGATCTTCAGTCCAGGAACGCACACTCGGAACTGCTCCACGATCGCACGGGTCATGAGAGCGATGGCCAGGTAGTCGCGTCCCCAGAACAGAGCGTTGGCGCGGGATCCTGCCGTAGGGGGAGCCATGGGGGCACACTCGATGACCATAACGATCAACAGGCATGGTAAGGGTGACACAGCGCAGATAAAAGTCGCCCAGAGTATCGACGTCTTGCGGCTGTACTGGTCCAATCTCTGGATGCGGTCGGTCGAGTAATGTCCGCGTAATTCCACTTGGAAGCTCACACAGAACCTGTAAAGCTTCCGCCACACGCTCGCATGGTGATAATAAATCTCGACTTGTCACGGTGATGTCAAAGAGCTAGTGCAGTCACGAGGTTGAGTCGCCTTGAACGCTGATTTTAAAGTGGTAATTCCACCTCGCTTGAACCCTAGAAGGCTAGATTATTTCCTGGATCGGATTCAGGTCGGGCCTGAATTTCCGGTCAGGTTTTTCAATACAACTATAAAGACGTTTCCTGGCCACTTCCAGCTGCTAGTTGGCAAGGGTGGGCGACATCACGGGCGAGGGCGAGCAGCGCGATCGCGACGCATTGCCAACACCCGCCGATCAGGCGGGGGCGTGTCTGCGCGAGCGAGCGAATGCGAGCGCTGCAACCCGATATTTTTTTCTAGACACAGCGCCTGGCCGAGTCGAGGACTTCGACTAAGGGGGTGCCCCCCGAGCGAAGAGAAAGAGGGTCGGGCCCCCCGTGTCGAAGTCCGCAGACGAGAGTCAACGCGACTACATGTATGCTGAAGCTCGACTGAACCGAGGCACAGATGTCCCGAGGGTGAGCTCTGTTGAACCCACACGCCGGCCGCTTCAGCAGCCTGGCAGCACATGCCGCTGTTGATGAGAACGATCATTTTGTGCTGAAGGCGGCATTTATAGACCGTGCGTTTCTCCAAGTCAGCAGTATTTATACTTAGCAGGTTCAATCCACGTCCACCTTCCTGCACTCCCCAACTTCTCGTTGCCATCGTCCTGAAATCCGACGGGAGCGACTAAATTAGGTCAAATCGCAAACTTGGTCAAGGCCAAATCTTGAAGATAGATCACGGATAGGTCACACATTTGGCACTTAGGTCACGTGACCAAACCACTTGGTCACGTGAAGCTGCTAGAACAAGCTTTAGCGCCCCAGCATCACCCAAGTCGTTCCCTTCATTACTACGGTAAAGTACAACATGCCAAGTAGCTATTTCTGGCCGTTGTACCTGTCCTAAACTCTGGGGGGGTTGAAACCAACGTGATCCAATAGAAAGCATGCGAACAATGGGCCATTGGGACTTCTCCCTTCACAAACACAGCCTTCAAGTCACGCGCCAACCACTAACGTAACCCAAGATGGCTCGGCGCCGAGGCGGTCGTGGAGGAGCCTCTACGGCTTCCCCAGACCCAGCCCCATCTCGTTCTCCTGGTCGTCGTAGGCGATCTCGATTTGCCCCGACTTCGCGTCCGATTCGTCGAAGCAGTCGCGCGACGAGTGACGTTCTTGAAAGAGAGCTGTCCGACGCCATCTTGGCTTCCCAAGAGTTACGGGCAGGAACACAGGCGCCGACGTCGCGTTTAACACGCCGAAACAACCACGCATCGAGTGACGTCCCTGATAGCGAGGTGACCGCAGCCGTCGTGACTCGGCATGGACTTCTGATGGGGATTCGCGATACTGAACCAGACACGCCTGAGCTGGTAGACATCCCACGACCAGCGCTATCCATGCCACTGTCCAATGTGGACACTCAGACCTCGACGAGTGTGTCACGTTCGCAACAAGCGTCCAAGCCTCGGGACGGACGTACAAAACTGTACTATCAGGGGTACTCTTTTGTTCGAGCTAACGGAACTTCAAACAAGATATCGTATCGCTGCAGCTCATATCATTCCCCCTGCCCTGCGCAGTTTGCATTCTACGCGAGTACGATGGCGTTTGACTTCAGCAGCATGGAGGCTCATACATGCCGTGCTGGTCCTGCTCTCCGAGGAGCAACGGTGAACCCAGGCGATCACGCCATAGATGCTTCGAACGACATCATGGAGGAGGTCGACAAACTTGCTACTCAAACGACTCTCACTCAGAGGCAAATATGGATGGCTATTGTGGACAAGTTCTACATGAACGATGGGGCTCCGGTTCGCGGCGTATCGGAGAAAACCGTCAAAAACCGTGTGCAAGAAGCTTGGGGCCACGATTCCAGTCACGGCCGAGCCAGTATCATGACGAACCCCCGACTGACCAAGATTAAAGGATCGCACCAAGGCTTCTTCCAGTTTCAGTATGCCTGGCACGATGACGTCAAGGCGCTGAAGAAGCCGCCAAAGGATGCAAATGGCATCGATCAGATAACTGCGTGGGCTCATCCTACGCTTTTGAATTTACTTTGCTTCGAAAACTTGTCGTGGTTTATCGACGGCACGTTTAGATGTGCCCCCGTCGACTATAAGCAGTGTGTCACAATTATGATCTATGATCTTTCCAGCAAGCTGTTTCTCCCTGTCCTGCATGCGGCAACTACATCTATGACGAGAAAATCCTACGTCCGACTGCTGCAATGTGTACAAGATGCTGTGGGGAGCAAACTGGTTCCGAAAGATGTGGTGTGTGACTTTGAGAGTTCACTGATTGGAGCACTTCGCGAGTTCTTTCCTGACGTCACCATTATCGGGTGCCTGTTTCATTTTAAACAGGCATGCCGTCGCAAGATGAAATGCATTGGGCTACCAGTTGGTGAAATCAAGGTTGCTATGTCGCGTAATGTCTTTGACATACTTACCGTCATTGATCCCACCAAAATTGCTGTGCAGGGAATCACTTGGGTGAAGGCCAAGATTTGCAGCGTGTGTGAGGTGAAAGGTCTGGAGTACTCTCGCAGCAAGTGGCGAACGTTTTGGAGCTACTTTCAGCGGACTTGGTTGGAGACACACCCGCCGGAATACTGGAATGTGTTCGGCATGAGGCGTGACATCATCAGCCGGACGAACAACCCATTAGAGCGATTTCACCGTGAACTAAACAAGCGGTTTAATGCTCGTCCGCCCATGAAAACCTTCGTGACTTCGCTAGAGAACCTTGCTCGCGAGTACGTTGCGCAACGGACGACTGTCATCTCAGGCTTAGCCAAGCCACCTGAGCGTACAGGATTCGTCCTACCAAGACAGCCAAAGCTGCCAGAGGTGAGCGACATCGTCGACTCGCCAGCCAGCAGCGACGGTGAGGGTGAAATTGTCGATGCTGACGCGGACTCGGAACCATACAGCAGCGCTATGTCCTCGACGGGTGACGAGAACGTGGAACCCGGCGAGTACATTCAGCCGGATCACTCCTTCGAGTACGACGGCGAGACGTAGAGAGCCTCCGACACCTACATCACGGACGCGACCGCGCAGTATGAAGAGGGCAGTGAGCATAACACATAATACATCTCATTCATTACGTACGTGACCAACTGTAATTAGGTCACGTGACCTAACGACGTGACCAACTATGCCATTTGACCTAATTTATCGGTTACCAAATCCGACGCCGTACAGCCAATCGATGCCGCTAGCAACCATAGCAATCCGTTCCATTTAGCACAAGAATCCCATGACAAAGATCGCCCTCCTCTCTCTCCTTGCGGCCGCCGTACCAATCGTGCATGGTGGCATGACCATGCCGTACACAGCAGTGCCATCAGCTTCGTCCAGCGATCCAGACTATTACTACCAAGTGACGATAGCGAGTTATGCGTCACGCTTGCAATACCTGGGGGAGTACGAGCTCGGAGACGACGGGACGTTTGAGATCGCCCTGACTCTCGTGCTCACGATCGCAGTACCGAAAGCTGACGAAGGCCGTAACATGCTCTACCTCCTCGCATGCAATGAAGAAGCGGTTCAAGCCTTCCTCAACCTCCCAACGTCTGAAGATGCCATGACCAATATCCACGTCCCGCCATACTGCGCGATGGCAAATCGCACGCTGGACTACTACTGCCAGTCGTTTGCTCTAGAGGACGAGTCTTCCGACGAATACGTGTATCAGGCCTTCAAGGTCGTGTCCGGTTCCATGGCCGAGATGATCCCGCCGGCGTACACCTTGCTGGAGAATAATGCTCAAAGCGCGGCAACGGATGGGCGCTATTCCAAATCTGACTCGGACAGCTCGAACACCGTGATCTTCTTCATCGATTCTTGCGAGACGCTGGGTGGTGAAGATGGCATCCTTCGGTCGTGTCTGAAACATCCTCCAGGGTCCAAGCAAACGTCGGGATACACTCCAGTTTCAGACGACAGTTCTTCATGCTTCTACTGCCCAGCCAATTACCCGCTGTCATACACGAGCCAGATCTCGGGCATCGCAGAGGAAGAAGGGTGCACGCCGCCGCTATCTCTGCCTCCAACTCTCCGGGGTACCGTGTCCATGAACCTCTGCAACTCGAAAGGGGATTGCCTCGGCAAAACCACAAGCTTCCAGTCGATTTTCTACGGCCTGAACTCGCTTGTTTGGGGCATCACTGCGTTCGTGTGGATTGTGCACATCCACGCGGCCGCGCGAGACGCCGTAGTGGACCTCCAGAACAAGATGAAGCTAATCCCAATCACGCAAGTGTGCTACTCGGTACTCACGTTCGGGGATCTGTTCGCTGAAGACAAAGTCGTGGGCACTGCGCGCACTCTCATCCAGAACGTGGCCGTCCTGGCGCAGCTTGTGGCTCTCGCAGTGTTCGCCGAGGTGGTGGTCGTCATCGCCAAAGGCTGGAAGATCACGCGACCTGCGCTGCTCCCGCGCGAAGTCCAATGGATCCGCTTCGTGACGCTGAGCTGGGCGGGGTCATCCGCCGTGCTGAAGCACACGGGCGACAAACAGCTGGCTGTTTTGATCGTCTGGGGGCTCTCGTGGGCGTGCGTCGTGTTCATGGTCTGGTACAACTCGGCCTTCAACTTCAACATGCTCAAGTACCAGCTCGCCATGGTGCGCCAGCTCGACCTGAACCCGCAGCTCACGCCCGTGTATACCAAATTCATGCTGTTCCGCCGCTTCTGCGCGCTGCTGGCTGGGTACATCTTCTTCTCGTGCGTCCTGGGCATCGTGGGGCTTGTGAACGACGCGACTCAGCACTCCTCCGAGTGGGCCTCGCTCTTGGGGGACGAAGGCCTGACTCTGCTGCTGTTCGCCGCCCTGGGCTACACGTTCCGATGCCGCAGATTCGGGCGCCTAGTCGCCACCAGCATTTCCCACGCAGACGGCAGCACCATCAGATCAACAGACCAAGCTCCAGCACATCGCGGGAGTATCCTCCCTGAACCTGCCCCAAATGAACCGGTCGAGCCACCTAAACGCAAAAAGACCATCGTAGTGCTCAACCCCGACCAAGCTCCGTACTTGGCGACGACACTTGAGTCAACTGAGCCAGTGCTAACACCACAAACGCCTCCTAAAAGCACTGCCAACACGTAATCCAAGCCACTTAATAGAAACATTACACCGCACCGTCCAAAGCAGCTCTTACTGATCAGCGTCGACGTATAGCGAACGATACTTCGCCTCGTTGCAGCGGGTGCATATTTGACCGGGTAGACACTGACGCTGATCCTGCTGTCGTCGTAGCTGGAGTAGCTGGAGCTGGAGCTGGCCGAATGGGTCGGAACTGCGTCGTAGGCGGCAGTCCCAGCGCTGAGAACACGATCGCGTCCATCTGCCGCTCCGCCAGCAGTGCCGGCGCGGGCGGGGCCGGTCTCAGCACCGGCCTCTTGCTCTTCCTCTTGAGCGCGCGCTGCTCCGACTTCTTCACGGACGTGAGCAGGCGATCCACCACGTCCTGCGGCCCCACGCTCTTCGGCCCGCGCTGGCAGACGATCCCCCGGGGCCGCATCTTCTTGCGCGCACTGGCCTTGTCGTCCGCGCAGCCGGCCACGATCTGCTCAGCGCACGCGCGCCACCGCCAAATAGTGCGGCGCCGCGTGTTGTACTCCTCCGGCGGCAGGTCCGGGTAGAACTTGTCGATCGTCTCGCGCACGTTCTTGCAGGCCGCCAGGTGCTCCAGCACCCGCCGCTTCTCGTCCAGCGAGAACGAGCTCCGCTTCACCACGCGCGGACCAGCAGCAGCAGCAAGTGCAGTGGCTGTCAGTGTAGACTCCTCTTGCTCGTCGTCGCTGCCGTCACTGCCAGCTCTTGAACCTGATCCTGATCCTGTCTCAAATTCTGCGTCTTCTGCATGAACCTGCTCTTCTTCAGGCCGGACGGACTGCTCCACGGCCATGGCGATGATGTCCTGGATGCCTCCTTCCTGGTCCTGGTCCTGGGCTCGGTCCTGGGCAACGTCGTCCTGAATCTCGCCGGCATTACCCAAATTCTGGTGTCGTCCTAAATTTTGGGTATCATCCTGCACCTGGTCCTGCGCGAAATGGGTCTCGCTCCTCCTGGGCCTGCCCCTCTGGAGCACAATGGGCTCGAACTCGGGCATTTCTCGCTCGTTCAGGCCCGTAGACGGCTCGTCCTGGTCGCCTGCGAGTCCGCGCGGCACTGGCGGCTGCGGCTTGGGCGCCTTGGGCTTGCGCATGCGCCGGCGCGCCGCGCCCTGGCGCGTGGAGGCGCCCGCCAGGATCTCGCGCGCGTTGCGCCGCCAGTTTAGGACGAGCCGCCGGCGCGCGTCGTAGGCCTCGGGCGGCAGCTGCGGGTAGAAGCACGCGATGGTCTCGCGCACGCGGCCGGTGGCGCGCAGGTGCTCGAGCACGCGGCGCTTCTCGTCCAGCGAGAAGGACGCGCGCCGCGGCGGGCAGGGCGATCTGCTAGTGCTATTAGTGCTGGTCATGGCCAGGCAATGCGCTGATGGGTGGACTGGTCCTTAAGTTTGGGGGGGGCGGGTTGGTGATGATGACTTTTGTGGAGGACGGTAGTGGCAATGTTGGAGCGGTCAAGCTCCTCCTCCTCTTCGATGTCGCTCCACTCAGCTGCATCACACTGACGCACGCACTCGAATCTCTCTGCCGGCTGAGCTCATATGTAGGACCAATAAGTTGCGTTTGAGCGACCTCGTTTACACGTGCATGCGTTGACATCTTCAGCGAGTAAACAGGTCGACCCTGCTGCAGGGGGCTGCATGTAGAACCTGCTTCATGAGTGATTGTATCCTGCAGTTCTTGTCTGTCTGTCTGTAGGCTTTACGCGCTCAGTCACCTCCTGCACTGCCAGATGGACTCTCCGTCGAATCCGCAAGTGTGTCCACTTCGAATCACAAAAGCAGTGTTGACAGTATTCAGGCAGCAACAACCTGCAAGGCGAGACTCCGACTGCAAGAAGCTCGACGTCTTTCGCCGTGTTGTGTGTGCCAGTATGATCGTTTTTTTTTCAATGAAAGGACAAGAGCTCTGTCTTTTTGCCAGAAACGGGCATGTTGAAGCGGATCCAGCTGCTGTGCAGATCTCACGCAGTGAACATGCGCAACTAATACAAAACGAGCATTTTCCCTGTTGTTAGAAAGTGGGGGGAGGTACTCCGTGGCGAGTATGTGTATGTGAGTGAGATGGAGGACGAGGGCGTCACTGCTCTCGAAGGTCTCGCTCCGGGAAGCTCAGCAGCATGGCGGTCTCCTTCAGCTCGTCGTACGTGGGCTCCGGGTGCGGGCTGTCGGTGGCCTGCAGCGGCTCCGGGATGTCGAAGTGCGGCGTCCTCTTGTCCTCGTTCGGGTCGTGCTCTCCCTGGTTGCTACGCGGTGACGGCGCGGATGCCCGCCGCGCGCGCGGAGTCGCGCCCTGCTTGCCGCGCTTGCGCTGCTCCGAGTTGCGCTGGTTCTGGTTGGCGCGCTCGCGGTGCATCTGGCAGAAGTTGTGCAGCTCGCCGTTGCGCTTCTTGGCGCGCGCGTTCATGCAGCGCGTGCTCTTGTACTTGCAGCGCAGCTCGTCGGGCGGGTCGGTGGCCTTGGCGGCCTCGGCGGCGGCCCGCTGCGCCTCGTAGAGCGGGTCGTAGGGCACGGCGACGCGCGCGCCCGAGGGTAGTTGAACGAGTCGGTGGCCGTCCTCGTCCAGCAGCACGCGGATCGGCTGGTTAGGAGGCGCGCCTGGGTCCATTGTGGGGTCTAGACTGGAAAACGGCGAGTGCTGCTGAGTCTGCTGCGGCTTGATTGCGGGTGCCAGCCAGCGCGCCAAGTGGGAACTGACGTATGACGGAGACGGGCGAGAGAAGGCGGCCGAGGACCGCTGTCGGAGGGCTCCGAGGTGGGTGTCGATCCGGCGGGCAGCTTGACTGACTTGGTCCAAACACGGCAATGGTCTCCGTTAGCGCCGAGTATATGTACCGCGGCTGCGTGAGACCGAGGCAAGGTCGGCCTGCCTCGTCCAGCGTGGCGCGCGATCTTTCGGCCATGTAAGCTCGAGCTGCTGCTTGGTCCTCGCTAATGAGCTCCAGCTCAGCTAGCTACTAAGTTATCTCGAGCTTTGCCGGCCGGTAAAAGCCTCATGCGACAGCGGCTCCGGCCACCAGGTCAACGTACCACCTCTCGCGCACGAGGTCCGAGGTCCAGCGGAACGTCGCGAGCGTCGTCGACAGCATTACGATCCATGGAGCGCCCGGCCTGGAGCCAATGCCAAATCCCCACCGAGCTGGCAATCCGCTGCCGGAGTTATCGCTGGCCTAGATCAGGTACCGCCCGGCACTTGAGTTGACTCGATATAACGAGTCACGGACCGGGCCAAAATTTCCCTGAGGTGTGCCACGCTCTATGGCCATGCTGACTCACGAGTCTCGCCATGATCACCTGCATCGCAGCGGTGGCAAGGCAAGATCGAGACTCGAGTGGTGAGTCGATCAGAGGGGAGGGCAGGGGCTCTTATAATGTCCACCAAGAACGGAGTCTCTAAAATCTACCAGGTGGCGGTGGATCCATCACCTTTGCTAACCGTCTTACTACGTCGAATGAAGTTGAAGCCTCAGCTGTTTTGCATGGTCTCGAGCAGCAAGTCCGCCTCCCACTCGTTCAACGGCGGGTCGGGGGAGTTGACCGGCACGGGGATCGGTTCGGGGAGGTCCGCAGCTTCAGATGACGACGACTGACGTTGCTGTCTCTGCTTGGCGTCGAAGCGGCTTTGGTTGGCGTTGGCGCGTTCGCGGTGGAACTCGTACAGGTTGTGCCGTTCGCCGTTCTTCTTGAGACTTCTCGGATTGGCGCAGCGACTGCCGGTGTACTTGCATAGGAGATCGTCCTGAGGACTGGACAGGGGGGTCGCCACGAAGTCCACGGGGACGCTCACGTATCCGCCCGACGGGTGCAACACGGGTCGGTGTCCGCCGCTGTCCGTGCGGTGCCGCTGCTCGGGTGTCGACGAGTCGTTCATCTTCTTGTGGTGATCGAAAGCGTAGGATAGTGTAGTGTGTCGTCGTCGCGTCTGATGCGGGCGGAAATGAAAGTGACGAGCTGAGAGTTGAGAGTTGAGCGCTGCGCCTTTGATATCGCTGCGATCCAAGGATTAGGACGCCCCGTCATCGAGCACCGCCTTGTTGGTGATTCAACGGGACGGTGTGTGGAGCGCGGCGCGTGGGGCTGGAGCTGCAATCTGATAAAACACGGTTTGCTCAGGTGCTCCATCGCATGCTGCGTGGAGAGGACGAGGCGTTGTTTATCCGTTGTCATGTCGGACTGCATGCGAGTCTCGGTGGGGCTTCGTTTCGAAGCTCCATTCGAAGCGGTGCTTGGGGCTTGTGGGATCCCACATGCAACTACGAAGGTAGCATGTGGAATCAGAGCCACAAAGTGAATAATTGCGAGCGCACGTGAGGGTTGCAAAGGCAATTTTTACGTCTCTGTATTGCCACGGACGCTAGATGAAAAGAAACACTCTTGTTTGCCTCTACGAAATACATCAAGGCGAGCATTTTTTCCCGCAAATATCGACCATCGAAAGATGACACTTCTTGGATTATTGGACTAGAACTTTTCCATTTCAAGTAGGGGTTTATACCCTCTCTCTTTCATGCATCCTTTGCTAAGCGATTGCTGCTATCGGTAGTAGGTCAGTGCCAGGCGGGGGTGACGTGCGTCGTGGCGGCCGCCGTGCGGCGCTGCTTGGCCTCGGCGCATTGCTGCAGGTATTTTGGGTCCTCTCGGAAGGCGAAAACGCGCGGGTCGACGCTTTCGACTCGAGCGCGGAGCTCCAGCCAGTTGTTGCGAGCTTGTTCCGCGTTGCTAGGCGCGGCGTTCGGTGCCTCAGCCGCTCCACCTTCTCCTTGTTCTTGCTGGGCGGGTTGAATGGCGTTGTCAGCATCTGCAGCTGCAACGTTTTTGGCGTTGTCCTCTGGCTGTTGCTGTTCGGCAGGTTCGGGTGCGGCGGTGGCGGGTGACGGCTCTACTGCGGCCGCTTCAAAGGAAGCGGAGGCGGGGGTGATCTTGGCACCGAAGACAGTGGCGAGAAGTTGCACCGACATTGGGAGCGGTAGTTGGTTGGTTGGTAGTGGCTTGTAGTGGTTGGAGGTGAATTCAATTGTGCCCAGTGCCTAACTCGCATTTTAGCCGAGTAAAAGTCTATCGAAGTCACCGATCTATCGAGCACCCATGTCATGGACACCAACAACCACTGTCTAGTACAGTGAGTGACTTTGATTGAATGGCCTAAGCGCACATCAGTCGATGAAAACTGAGGAGCGAGGGTATATACCTTTTCGCTAAGTTTACATAGTCAACTTATCGGTAGATTCTGTCAAATTAATGAAGTAATCACTACCGCGGAAGTGCCATGCACCGGACACCAGACAAATCCTTCAATGACCCTGAACAAACGAGCTAGCGCTTGGACTAATCCAGTCAAGACCGTTGAAGTCGCAGTCGTCTCAATGGTATAAACTCCTAAAATCGGAGCTGATGGTTGATCTCAGGGGGTGCGGCACCATCGTCACCGCCACAGCTTGAATCCCCATGGCTTTCCCGTTCAAAGCAGAGCTGCTCAACATTAACACAGTCGGACACGTGCTCAAGTTAAACGAAGACATGGGAACTGGTACACCTGTCGAAGTCGTGAAGGTTTGCTGTTTGACTCGTGCACTTGCAGCAGATAGCAGCTCAACCCTCGTCCACCTGTCCACCCGTCCTGTAAATCGAGACTAGCCCTTCAAGGATACTTGTACCAACACAATGCTCGGATGCAGCACCACCTGGTGCTATGTTAGTAACTAACAGCGGAAAAAGGCTGAGCATGCCAATTCCTGGGGATACGACTATTCCAAAAGCTTGATGGACAACGGGATCGGGTTCGACAACCGTAGTATCGCTACAACTTCAACGTAAACCCCAAGCTTACCCTCCGTCAAATAGCGCACCAGCTCATCACGGCTCACCACGATTCACGCAGCCCGCAACTCGCAGACCCACCTCATACTCGATCTTGCTCGATCGGACACACATCAACTCCAGTCCAAAATCCGCCCATAGGATGAAGTTCCTGTTTTCCGCTCTCGCCACCGCCGTCTCCCTCCTGGCCGCCGAAGCCGCCGACTTGTCGAATTGCGTGGCCGTCAACTTCACGGAGCGCGCCGCCGACTTCACGTCTCTCAACGCCGTCTTGGACCTGGCGGTGAGCAGCAACCTGCTCTCCAGCTTCATCGACGACCCGCTCGTCATCGAGGAGACGAACGTCGCGGCCGAGTCCTTTTCGCTGCTGGGCATGGACTTCACCTACACGACCGACATCAAGGACCTCAACATCACGGGCACCACGACGGTCGTGCCGCGCCACATCAACGTGACGTCGCACGACTCGCTCCAGCTCGGCGCCGACTTCTCCGGCAACCTGCAGGTCTCGAGCTCGAGGTTGCGCAGCTCAACCACCAATGGTACCAGATCTGCTGGACCGACATCCTGCACCCGGCCACGTGCTCCCCAGCCGTGATCGCCGTGGACATGACGCTAGGCCTCGACCTGCTCACGCTCGGACTCAACGGCACCTTCGACATGCTCGGCTGTGCCGCTGGAGTGGCCACCTCTTGACCTATGCGCTGACGGACCAGTTGGATCTGCTGCTCTCGCGGCTGCTCACGCGGTTCGTGGACGCGTCGATCCAGGACATCGCGGTGGGCTTCGACTCGATCACGGCGCTGGACGTGGCGTTCAAGGACGAGAGCGTGCTCATCTCGCAGCTCACGAGCGCGCTGCTGGACTTCTCGGCCGACGAGATCAACAAGAAGGGCGCGACCTACAAGGTCGTGGTTGAAATCGTGGACAAGGTGGCCGCAGCCATTCTCAACAAAGTGATCGAGGACAAACTCAAGCCGAAATTCGGCGCCACGTGCCTCGGAACGCGCTAAGAAGGCCGTAGTTCTGCTGCAGTTGTTAGGCTGGCAGCTCCGTTCTAACAATGCAAAATCCATGTCTGGTTTGACTCGTTTAAGGAGGATATGCACCGTAGTGGGATATCTATGCAGATCCTGGAGGATGGATCCCTCCCCCTCCTTTCATTTATCGGAGACCGTCGTCATGGCTGAGCAGGATGAAGAGGAGCGGGGGCCGCTGTTGACGAGTGTTGCGGTGCTGTGTCGGGAGGTTCTGCGGGTTGCAGTGGAGCGGCGGGTGTTGAGGACGATCGAGGGGTTCCTGGATGGCTCGCAGCGGTGCTGGTTCGATGCTGCGTGTGGGAAGTCGCTGAGGCTGGCAAAGCGGGTCTTTGCGCGAAAAGGGTGGAGTCAAGAGTTAGCTGTGGAGGGATTATGTCAGGCTGGGAGCATGGGTCGACTGGATGTCGTTCAGTGGCTGTGCGCGACAGGAGAGGAGGTGGCGGGCGCTCGGACGAGTGAGCTGGCGACGCAACAGAGCTTTTGGAGCGGGTCGTTGATGTCGGTAGCGGCTACGACAGGGCAGAGCTCTCTGATGCAGTGGATCCTACAAAGTGGAGTCCCAGTGGAGACGAAGGATCCTCAGGGCCAGACTGTCTTGCATCACGCCGCCAGGTATGGTCATGTGTCCACGGTGCAGCTACTACTAGAGAATGGAGCTCAGGCTAACGAAAGAGACGATAAAGGGCAAACAGCCCTGCATCTTGCTACTGGTGTGAACATGAGCGATCACCCCATGGCAAAAGGTCTTTCTACTAATGGCGATACCGTGGAAGCGTATCACAGCGCCATGACGAGATACTTGTTGCTTGTTCAGCTACTTCTGGACAATGGGGCTCGGGTGAACGAGAAGGATGGCAAAGGGCAAACTCCCCTTCACCTCGCTTCGAGTGTATGGACGAGAGATGCCTCTGTGGTGGAGCTGCTGGTGAACCACGGAGCGCAGAGTTTTGCCATTGATGACGCAGGTAGAACAGCACTAGACCACGCTACTGTCAATCGGCACTTTAAAGCGGTTGAGTTCTTCCTGACGAAGTGCTGCGGGGACGATCAGCCGCCGTTAAGGGATCTATGGAACGCTCTATTTGCTGCTGCACGCGCAAGTCAAGGCAACATTATCAAGGTTCTTGCTGAAGGGCTGCACGTCGATCTGTCTATCGTCAGCCGCCGCGGGAAAACCGCTCTTCTCGAGGGCGTTGCGTCTTGCTCGAAGGAGTCGGTTAAAGAGTTGCTGAAACAAGGTGCTGATGTGCATCAGTCTGACAAGTTCGGAGTGACGCCCGTTATGGACATGTCGACAATGCGATTTCGATATTGCGCACCTTCTTCTGCAAAATGGAGGAAGGGTACAAGATGTGGATGACGCTGGTCGAACCGCTTTACATTACGCGGCAGAAGGTGGAGGAGAAACTTGGATCTTAGTTTGCTCTTATGGGACTTTGTAGGATACGACGCAATCGTCGGTTTGCTTTTAAAGCATGGAGCTGATGTGGATTGCGTTGACAAGCGGGGGTGGACTCCGTTGCATTCCGCCGTGGCCAACGATCGTATTGATGCGGTAAAAGAGCTGGTCTCGAACGGTGCGAACGTCTCAGCGCAAACTCTCTCGAGCAAAACGGCGCTTGTTCTTGCATTGGAACGGAATTTCATCGAAGTATCCATACACTTGTTGGGAGAGAATTGGGCTGCTGCTGCGGTGCATGAGTATGAGGAAAAAACACTTGGTACTGACTATGATGAGTACTTGCTGGATCCAACACACATCCAATACGATCCATCCCACGATACGGAGGAAGGCTTTTGGCTGGATTCGCCGATTGGCCTGAAGCTGGTGGAAGGAGGGTACCCGATTAACGTTACCACAGAGCTCGAGCGATGGTCAAGACTAAACCATCCACACGTGATGAAGCTGTATGGAGTCTGCCGTCGACTCAAGTCGTCATTTTTCGTCCATGAGCGCTTTGCGTACCCATCTTTGTTTGGCTACTTGTTCGATTCCACGCAAAATGACAAGAACCAGGCTTTGTGGGGCAAGTTTTACGACGCTGCACTAGGTCTGCAGTACTTGCATGACCGAAACATTATCCATGGAGACCTCCATTGGGACAGTATCGGGATCTCAGCAAATGGGGCCGCCAAGCTTCGAAATCTGGGTAGCGACACCGTTCCAATACGTTATACCAGTAGTCATCGCAATGTGACAGCGGCGCCTGAAGTGATTTCAGGATTGCCGCCTTCATTCGATTCGGATATTTAAGCCTTTTCACTAAGCTATGACCCATGGAGCTTGGCGGCAAAATACCATGACACGGCCGTACTATCAGGAGTGCTTCCAGCTAAACCTTCGTCAATGACGTCTAGCGAGTGGCAGCTTGTCACGCGAATGTGCAGCTTCGACCCGTCCAGTCGCCCCTCTGCTTCCGATGTTGCTCGTCAGCTGCAAGTATTCACGCGCAGTTACAAGATCCTTGATAGTAGCTCCTCAAGTTATGACGAGGACACCATCGGAGATGAATGTATTGCCGAAAAGCTCGCTTGTCTTTCGACGATGCTCGCTAAGGTTGGCGAAATGTGTGAGGGCTCGAACACAATTGATACGATGAATCAAACCGTGTACGACCGACTAATGGATATATTCTCTTCGTTAAAAGAACTACACGTAGTTATCCAGCAATTTGGCGACATTCTGCGGTATTACCACAAGAGGCTTCGGAGTACGAGGTCTGTAGGAAAAGCCCTTGCTGCCCGCTTTGCAGCGAGTCGTCGCGATGTTGACGATACTTTCACAGTGCATCGAGATCTAGATTCGCTCATGGACAGCGCTCTCTTGCCGCGTTCGTCTGAGCTTCACCAGTGGCGAGACACGTGGCAGCGTCTGCGAAGCCAGCAGCAGCACGAGATCACTGAGAAGTTGGAGGATTTCCCAGCCCTGTTTGAAGACGTGAACGACGCAAAAGAGCGTGAAGAGCTGCTGACATATTTGCGCTTTGAGCTAAGCAACCATCCCACTCACTACGTAGGAAGCACCACATTCAACGTAACTCAAACGAAGGCGACGATAGCATCGATTGCTACTTTTCCCAATGAGAAGTAGCCTATGACGTGGAATTCGACAAGTTCGACGAGTTCAGTAGCGGTGCCTTTGGGTCGGTCCACCGCGGGCAGTGGAAGTACGCAGAAGTGGTGGTCAAGAAACTGAAGCTGGGGAATGATACACACAAGGACGCAAATTACGGGGATTCGTACGACGCTGAGTCTCTAAGTGCTAGCGTAAATGCACGCATGAGTGAAGAGGTCCAAGCCACTTTCCTGAACGAAGTGAAGATTTGGCACCAATTGTTCCACCCTCACGTGGTGCAATTGTTTGGCGCGTGTCATATCGGGCAGCCATTTTTCGTGTGTGAATACGCTGGAGGCGGGCAGCTGGACGAATATTTGCGAAAACACAAGGATGAAGTTTGGGTAAAACTGTACGAGGCGGCTTTGGGGTTGCGATATCTCCACGTGAAGCGCGTGGTTCACGGTGATCTCAAGTGCAATAACATTCTGATCGGGAGTGACGGCCTTGCCAAGTTGACCGATTTCGGACTGAGTACGTTGAATGCCAACGAACCTGAAAATGTTGAGGAGAGCGCGCCAGAAGTGGGGGCTATTCGGTGGAAGGCCCCTGAGGTGCTACGCGGTGAGAAGGCGACATTTGCGTCCGATGTTTACTCGTTCGGGATGTACATACTGGAGGCGGCGAGCGGAAAATATCCGTGGGAAATGACGATGGACCCTGTGGTTAAATATTATGTTCTGAAGGAGAAGAGGATCCCACAGCGTCCTGAGGAGTGCGGCGAAGAGCTGTACGCACTTGTGAAGCGAATGTGCCGCTTTGAACCGACCGAAAGAGTTGAGATGAACGAAGTCGTCGACACTCTCAAGGCATTCTGCTGAGAGTTCAAGAGCTAGCAGCAACACTATCTGATATTGTAAATTCCGGTATTAATCCAGGTTGGCGCATCGTACGTTGCACTCGTAACGCAAATGTCTCCGCATCTTTCAGTATTATTGGTAATTTTGTTCGGTCGTGTAGATGCCCATCTTCGCGCCGCATTAAGCTTTTGAACTGTGCGCTTCGCCGTGTTTTATCTTCCGAAAGTCAATTTTGCAGAGGTTGCGGACTTTGCAGAGGTTTGTGAACTTTTCATATGTTTAGCGCGTGCGGCAATGGCTAAATCGCAGTGATGAGTGGGTGTATTATTTCTCGGGCGTGGCAGCTAGACGTGGTTAACCAGTAGAAGTAGTAATTTGAGTGCGCTCTTTTTGTTTGGCTCGTTGCCATGGATAAACGGGCAAAACCTGCAATCGTTTAGTGTACTCAACCTCTACGACCTCCAATTTCAGGAGTCGGGGAGAAAGGTATTAGAAGAAAAAAATCTAGCGCTACCAACGGTATTTTGAACTAAGCGCGAGCTCTATCACCTAGCTAAGGAACTTCCGGAGATGCGGCGGTAACACTCACACCCGAGTAGCTTTGCGGTAGAAGCCGAAGTAGGCGAGATAGACCTTCGAGTCTCTGCTGTCATACCCACTCAGCTTCGATGCGACGGCAGCAGGAGTCAACCGTTCGTTAAACCAGCTTTTGAACTGCAGGTTCAGGAGGCGGCCGGTGAACGTCTCCATGTCGCTGGCTTTGGTCAGCTCGGCCTGGTGCTTCGCTCCACCAAGCATCCTGGCCAGCTGGACGTCGCCAAAGTGCCTCTGTAATGTCGTGAAGGCCGCTGTCTCGTCATCAAGCTTGGTCACGTACGACGCCCAAATCGCAGTCACCGGGCTTTGAAAAAGCCCCGTTCCTTCCCTTTTGAGCTTCAGAAGGCTGAAAACACGGTCGATGGATTTCGCTTGGGCACTCCAGTCTTTGAGCAAAGCCTCCTCCAGTCCACAAGCCACCACTCTAGTGCCTGCTACTTCCTTCGCAGGAATGAGCAGCTTGATCACCAGAGCTCCATCGTCGTAGGGCGTCTTTAGCCGCACCAACAGTAAATCATACGGGTCCTTTCCCAGAGTGCGCGCGTAAGCGATCCAAGTGTTCAAAACTGGGTTTCGCAGCAGCTTGTTCGAGCTTCAGCAGCTTGAAAACATCGTCGACGCTTTTGCCACCGTGCTCCCAATAGCTCCACTGCATTTTCTCGAACTTGTCCACGATCATCATCATCCTGCCGACCCCCTTGCCCTCAACGAGTATCTTGGCCAGACCGGCGTCGTCGTAGCAAGCCTTCAACGCCAGAAACACCGTCTCATCCAGATTCGTTACGCCGCCCAGCTGATCCATGTAGAGCATCCAAGACCTAACTGCCGGGCTCTCGAAGAGTTTGATCCCTGTCTCGTCAAGCATGAGCAGTGTGAACACATCGCCCGCCGTTTTGCCACTAGCCAGCCACTTTGTGAACAGGTCCTCCTCCAGTTTCTTGGCGAGAGACCTGGTGTAGGAATCTTTAGCAACACCGATCATGTTGGCCAGCCCTTCATCGCCGTAGCGAGCCGTCAGCGTTGTCACCATCGTCATTTCAGCCGCTTCGGGGTTCTTTTTGCTGGCTTTCGCCACGGCAGCGGCCCACTTTTCAAATTGTTTGCTGCCGAAAAGTTTTCTCCTGCCTGCTCCACCTTGAACTGGGTGAAGAGGTCGTCGGCGGACTTCGCCTTGCCCAGCTTGAGTTTGTCAAGGAGTTTCTTCGCGGGCGCACTGACCATCTCCACCACGGGCTTTGTTAGTTCAGCTACAGCCGCGGGTTCAAATGCCCGGTCTTCGGAGATGTCGCCATCGTCTTCGCTCGTCATGTCAAACACCGTACAACCCGGGTGTCATGAAAGCTTCTGTGGTGGTTAATGGGCCGACCCGCCGGGGTCATTCCCGAATCCAAGGCCGTCGAGTCACCACGGATGCACCCCACGTAAATGGCGACAACCAGTAGCCAAGCTTGGGCGGCTTGGACTTGGTGGCCATCGTGGAAGGTTCGGTGACGGGAAACAGGGCTTTGGAGGCCGACGGTAGGTTGGCAAGTGAGAGCGTGCTACAGGTACGAATGGTTATAAAGTTCGACTCATCGGGTGCAAACCAAGAGCGATGCAGTCATTCGTAAGCGACAAAGTAAACTTTCAGTGATATTGCATCTTGCACCATTTGTGGTATGATGGTGCTCGCCGGTAGATTGGAGAACAAAAGCGTGCTACGGCTCGCATCACGCTTTAGCACTCGTAGACTACGAGTGCTTATAGAGATCGAGTCATCGGATCGGACGTTTTGCATCGACAGTGCGGCAAACTCTTGTAAACGACAAAATATACTTCGGTGCCGTTGCTGCCACGTGACGTGCAAATTGGGTTTATTTAAGTCCTGGTATAAATTGATATAAATTGAAGTCTGCGTATGATGCATCCGTAACGCAAAATACGTGCATCTTTCAGAACTTTCTGTTAGCCTTTTTTTAATCTGGCCAAGAAGAATCGATTCTACTTCAGAAAATCAAACAGATCATCTTTATCCGGTCCCACGTTGAATGGGTCTCATTCGTGAAGTTGAGCGTCTACACTGTGACTATCCACCTCTGTAGACCCCTCGAGGTCGTTGGCAGTCAGCGATGGCAGCGATGAGCATACCAACAACTGGATGGCGTTTTAAACACTCTTAAAAGCAAAATAAAGTTGCTTACTAGTACTGTATAATAAATAAAAACTTGAAACTTGACATAAGCATAGATGAATGCAGCGGACCGTGGCGATTCGTTCACAACGGTTTTTAGTTTGACTTCAAATCTTCGATCAACCTCTTTCTTAAGTCAAGCCAAGCCAGAGGTGAGTCTACACCAAACCTTGTAGAAATCCAAGTACCCCAAGACAACTTTTGGGTCCGCTCTGTTGTACCCGACCACCTTCGTAGCGACCTGATTAGGAGTCAAATTTTGGTTGAACCAGATCTTGAACTGCAGGTTCAGCAAGCGGCCGGTGAGTGTCTTCACGCCCTCAGACTTTGCCAGATTATTCGCATCGGCAACCATCCGGGCGCGCTGGACGTCGTCAAAACGTTCCCATAATCTCGTGTACAGCATTGCGTCGTCGTTGAGCTTGATCGCGTACGACGCCCAGAATGCTGCTGCCGGACTCGTAAACAGGTGACTCCCGTCCTCTTTGAGTTTCAGAAGGTTGAAGACATCGTCGATAGATTTTCCCTTGCTCTTCCAGTACTTAAACAGCGCCTCCTGCAACCTACCGGCAGTTGCTGCAGTGCTCGGAGCTTCCATCGCCTGGATCAGCATCTTCACGAGCGCCTCTTCGTCGTAGGAAGTCTTCAGTCGCGAGAGCAGCAACTCGTACGGGTCCTTCCCCAGCCTTCTCACGAAGAAAATCCAAGTGTCTAAACTCGGATTTTGCAGCAATTTGCCGCTTTCCTTGTCCAGTTTCAGCAGATTGGACACGTCGTCGGCGGGTTTTCCGTCGCTCAGCCAACTGCTAAATTGCACCCTTTCCAGCTTATATCATTAGGCGTCAGCGTCCGCCAGCATTTTCGCCAGAGTTGCGTCGTCGTGGCGGGCCTTCAACGCCAAAAACATCGTCTCATCTGGATTTTTCACTCCCAGCTTAGCCACGTAAGTACGAGATCCAAGAGTTCACTGCCGGGCTCTCAAACAATTTGCTCCCTTTCTCGTCGAGCTTGAGAAGCGTGAACACTTCATCTGCCGATTTGCCACTAGCCAGCCAGCTTGTAAGCTGGGCCTCCTTCCAGGTTCGTGGCGATAGACCTGGTCGTGTAGGAGCGTTTAGCTGCGAAGAGCATGTTGGCCAGTCCTTCATCACCGTATCGAGCGGTCAACGTTGTCGCCATTGCCATTTCAGCAACTCCGGGGTCCTGTTTGCTGGCTTTGGTCACAGCGTTGGCCCACTTTTCGAATTGTTTGCTGCCGAAAATGTTTTCTCCTGCCTTGTCAACCTTGAGCCGGGTGAAGAGTTCGTCTGCAGACTTCCCATTGCTCAGCTTGAGTTTGTCGAGGATTGTTTTCGCGGACCCACTGATCTTCTCCACCACGGGCTTCGCTAGTTCACAGATTCAAACGCCCGGTCTTCGGAGACCTTGTCATCATCTTTGCCCGCCGTGGTCCTCAAATACCCTACACCCCGGCTATCAATGGTGATGCTTAATGGGGCTACTCGCGGAGGCTAACGAGTCGAAGGTCGCCGAGTCGTCACGGGTGCATCCCACGTAAATTGCCGCAACCAGTAGGGAGGCACAGTAAAGCTTGATCGGCTTGGACTTCGTCTTATCGTGGTCCAATGTATATAGAGCGCTGTCGAGAGCGAGTAGTCATTAGAGACCGTATCACTCAAGAAATAGCAGGTCAAGGCAGCGGCGGAACACACCATTTTATTCCTTCGAAGCTATTCTGCTCATTATTTTTCTGATCAACATCCTTACTGCGATGGCAGCTCATTAATTTGGCCCCATCAGACGCATACCCTCGCCTCCAGTAGCGTTGTTGCCGCGATATCTAGCGACACGGTAGGACGGGTTGAACGCCCACGAAAGTGCGTTCAGCAGGCCTTGCGAGTAGAAGCACAGCTCGGACAAATAAAGCAAGAAGCCCGTGGTGACCCACTCTGCGCCAAAAGCTTGCAACCAGCCGAAGAACGTTGGGAGGAAGAGCGCAGCGGCTGTAGCCACACAACTTGATAGCAGTTGACCACTGCTACGGCGTGCACGTTCGGCCTGAGGCGGCAGCGACTGCCCAGCATTGCTCGTGTACGCTAGATACACCGCCGTGGCGGCGAACGTAAGTGTCAGCGTGGCTGGCAAGTAGAACAGGAAGACACGAGCCCAGCCGGGGCTGTGACCCACGAAGCAAGCTCGGCACGGACCAGCTCCATCCGGCAGGAAGCCAATGACGCCAGTGAGCAGCGAGAACGCACCAGTAAACGCTGCCGAGCACCAAATGACGACATGGTACACCAGCTTGTACTCAACAGTACTCGAGTGCGTCCAGCGCACCGCACGAATCAACTCCAGCCCCACAGCCGCGCTAAACAGCAAAATGGCGGTACCGAAAAACTGCTGCGTGCTTTTCAGCAGCGCACAGAAGAACACGTGCGTCTGGTGAGCTCTCCACACTCCAGCAATCCATAGCGTCAAGTTGTAGCCAAGAGTGCACACCGATAACCAGAAGAACAGCGAGAACGAGCGGAAGCTGCGCAGGATCGGGTACTGCACGAACGAGGACACGATGAATCCAGAGCCGACCAGCGAAAGGCCCGACAGGAAGAGCACCAGCACCGCGTGCGTGTCCATATCGTACATGTTGAAGCTGTTCTCGAAAAAGGGCGACGACACCTTGGACGGCAGCCCGTCCGTGTCGTCACTGCTCACCGTCTCGTCGATATCCTCCACACCACACAGCGTCGAGTTGGTGGGACACGCAAAGCCCATCTGCTTCTTCTTGACATCATACAGCGAGTAGAACTTCTTCATGAACACGTCGCCCAGCACCCACATCTCCTGCCCACTGGGCTGCACCAGCACAATACACGTCAGTCCGACACACAGCGTGTAGTCCGACCCTTCCAGCACGTAGTAGTGGTGGCCTCCAATGCCAATCCGCAGCGGCGGGAAGTCCTCGGGCGCGCACAGGAAGCACTGGAAGCCGTACTGCACGAAGCCGCAGTAGCAACCCTGGTTCTGAGCAAACGTAGCCACTTCATACAGGAAATTCAGGTACAGCGTGCCTGGAATGCCAATGAGCGACGTCCCCGAGTCCACGAAGGCCACGCAGCCGTCCGCGCAGGCGTTCCGGTGCTTGCCCACGTTGACGCTGTGCAGGTGGATGCGCCAGAAGGTCCACTGGCCGAACTGCGGCAGCACGTCCGTCATCTGCCAGGTGGCCTGCAGCGAGTCCATGAACTCCTGGTCGTAGCCTCCGAGGTGCAGCTCCGAGCCGTTGCTGTTCGGGTCCGGGGTCAAATAGAAGGCAAACACCGAGTCCAGCTCCGGGTACTGCTCCAGCAGCGCGAAGAAGAGCGGCGGGTGCGAGAAGGTCGAGAGGCCGTCGAAGGCCAGCCCCAGCAGGCCGTCCGCCTTCATCCTGGCCATGGACTCCTCCTCCGTGTGCACGATGCCCACGGTCGTGTCCCGCACCTCGAACTGCGCCACGCGCACCACGTCCTGGCCGAAGTGGCCGCTCACCTTGCCGCTGCCGTACTGCACGGCGAAGGCCGGACGGGTGGACGACTCCGCGTACGTGCTGGACTGCGAGTGGTTGAAGCGGTCCAGCCCCGCGCAGGCCTCGCAGCTGCGGCCAGGCACCCACAGGTCGCTCGAGCCCGTGTCGAAGCACACGAGCACCTCCTGCGGCGGCGTGCCGATCTGGACGGGGCCGAAGAACTGGAACTCCATGAAGTTCTCGAGCGGCACGTGGCCCTCGGCCGCCAGCTGCTGCGCGTCGTGCAGCCCGGCGGCCTCCGGCTGACGCGCGCGGAGGCTGCTGACCACGCCGTCGACGTTCAGCGCGGCGGCTGCTTTGGGCTCTGGCTGCGTGTGGAACTGGAGCAGCTTCTGGGCGTTGCGGCGCTTCGAGGCCGCGCGCAGGGGCACGCGCAGCGGCGCGGCGACGCTGTGGACGCGCTGGAGGGTTAGAGAGAGCAGAGAGAGCAGCGCCAGCGCCAGCGCGAGGCGCCTCCGCCCGGGAGTGGCCGCCATGGGGGCAAGGCAAGAGGTCTTCGCTTGCGGAGTGCGCGCTCGGCGGCAAATTGCGGAATGCGGAATGCAACTTGGAGCACCTGATACCGAGGGTGAATTTGGGCCAATGAGGGAGTGGTGGCGGGTATTTTGACCAATGAGGGCTGTGCTAGGGGAGGGGGAGCGCTAGGTACGAACGTTCGCTGTCGCAAAAGATCGCGGCGGTCGTTCGACTTTTTCGTGAAAAACTCAGACGCACCGAGGCCACACACCAAAGTCAAGTGAAGTGGTGATTGGCACCGAGACCTGCCTGCAGCGCCGGCAAGCAAGAATCTGCCTTGTCGCTGGGTATTATTTCCCTGATTTAGATGTCTGCTACAAGGCCGGCAGAATCAATCGGCACACAAGCGGCAGATCGACTGCTGGTGGAGAAGCTGGAGTCCCCCTTGCTCAGTTTTCAACCGATTTGATGATGCAAAGCCTGCGACTCATACGGAGCTCACCCATGTTTTGCGTAGCTTTGCAGTCCCAGCTTGAGCGTGGAATGGGCTGGGTTCGTGCATGCAGGACACTAAACCAAGTCGTGTTTCAATATGTGATGTGGCCGGTCACCTTCACGGTTCACGTTGATTGAGTTGGTAGCCTGCGAAGGGCCGACTTGCGCTAGTCATTTTACTTCTCTGAGAGCTACGCAGGCCAGAACAAGAGGGAGAAGAATGCTTCGCTTGAACACGAAGAGGGTGCCCCAGACTTTTACCGATCGTATGGCTGGGCACGGGAGCACGGTGCAGAGCCATCCAAGCGAAGGCATGCACGGAGTGGTCATCGGCAGTCTGAGCTCGGACGCGTGGGAGATGTACGTGAAATGGACCGCTCCGCAGAAAAAGTCGCACTCGGTTGTCCAGACAACGTCGGGCACGAATCTGCCTGGAGAGGATATGTACTAAATGCTTGTCGAAGCCAGCAGTATCATGAAGCTGCTGTCGTCGAGTCAGGTTGAAGAAACCCCAGAGCTCCAGGGACCCACTGGATGCTATAGATCACCAGTCCCATTCGTCGACTCGGAGGTGGCCGTCTCCACATTGATTGTGGCGCTGTCGAATCCTGGCCCCAACTTCCCTCGGATCCACGCTCTGGCTTCGGGTCAAGTCATTTGCAATGTGCACTACCTCTGGGTCGGCGTCCAGTTCATCGTCCAGGTCTTGAAACGATGATACTGTGGACAGCGGGAGGTGCGGCGGGGCGTTGGCAACAGTCGAATGGCTATATGGGAGACCACCCTTGCCGAAAAGAAGTTTACGGGTCATAGCATTTTTATGTTTTTGCAATTTATTCTAACTACAGCGGGGTGGATAGAATGAAGTTGCTTTTACTATTATGCACGTGCGGTCCAGTAACTATTACGCTGAAGTAGTATTGTTCAAGTTCCACCGGAGACTCCGCTTCTACAGTGCAATACTCAAGGCGCGAATTATTTGCGCAGTTTGTTCAGAGCGGCGACCAGTTCCTGTACTGTAAGCCGCTTGCTCGGATCGTACTGGCATGTCCCTTCAATTAGAGCGAAAGCCTCGTCGCGGAAGTTCTCAGGCCGCTTCGGAAGCCGCTTCTTTTTCAAAACTTGATACTTCACAACAGCGTCTGGTAAATTCGTCCCCCACGGAATCTCCCCACTCACGACTTCGAGGATGCACATGCCGAACGAGTAAATGTCTGACGCAAACGTTGGTCCCTCGCCTCGTAAGACTTCAGGGGCCTTCCACCGAACAGCACCTACCACTGGCTGATGGTGCCTCATCTGGGTAGTGTCTGACATAAAGCTGAGCCCGAAGTCCGTCAACTTTGCGTGGCCATCGCTGCCGATGAGAATGTTGTTGCACTTGAGGTCCCCATGCACAACTCCGTGCGAATGGAGATAACTCAGCCCTAGAGCTGCTTCGTGGAGCTTTGTCCACACCTCATTCGGGTGATCACGTGAATAGTCGTCGAGTTGGCCACCTCCAGCGTACTCGGACACGAAGAATGACTCGCCGACATGACACGCACCGAACAATTGAATAATGTGTGGGTGGTGCAGTTGGTACCAGATTTCGACTTCGTTTCTGAATGCTTCAGAGGCTTCTGCGTCGTGGGATATCATTATCTCATCCCTACTCGAACTTTCGTGATCTGAGGAGTTGAAGCTGGAATCAAAGTGGATGACTCTTTTAACCACCACTTCGGCGTCCATCCACTTCCCACGATAGACTGAGCCAAAGCCACCCATGCCAAGCTCAATAGAGTTGTCAAGCTGGACCTCGTACGCAGGAATGAACCATTTGGGAATCTTTGTCAAGTTGACAAATTGGGACACCGACCACGCTGGATGGTGCACCAACTCCGTTATAGATTCCTTGGCGTCTGGTAAGTAGGAGCTGGGGTGCGTTCTGAGCTCAAAGCGTAAATACGCCAGCACTTCCTCTCGCTCCTCGGCGCTTTTAACGTCGCCTAACAGCTCGGGAAAATTCTCCAGCTTCGTCAGCATTGCTTGCTGTTGCTGCTTCTGGCGAAGTAGCCACACATCTTGCCACTTGTGCACTTTGGCTAACCGACACAACCCCGCCATATCAATGAACAAGTCCAAGTCTCCGTGCACAGAAAATGTGACGTCGGCCCGTTGACGACTGGCTGCGTGGCGTGAAGCTTGGGCCGAACCGAAAGATTTCATGCGTTTGAGTCTTTGATGCGCCAATAGGAGCAACTGGATAAATCGTTGCACGACTTCTCTTCTTGGCGTGTCGAGCCTAGACTGCAACTGCTTAAACACATCCCCCAGTCGATCGCACACATCTCGGTCCATGAGCTCGATTCCGGATAAACCTCCACACATCGTGGTCATTTCTGCGAGGATATTCTTCACTGGCAACAGAGAAACCTGAACATCGCCAAGCTTGCTCCACGAGAGGGGCACAATGTCTAGCATTCTGGATTCGGCTTTAACGAACGGTTGAGGTGCGTGTCTGTGCAGTAGCATCTCCAGTCTTCGGACCACATCCGAGATCACAATACGGTCGGATGGATTAACTGGCACATGTGCTGCACCAATTCATACACGTCCTCCCCGCAGTTGTCGGGGCGTCGCGGAATTCGCTGCTCTTTCAGAACATGGTGGCGAATGGCTGCGTCGCAGTCAATCGACGGCCACGGACACTTGCTACTCACGGCCTCAAGGATGCACATTCCGAAGGAGTAAATGTCCGACTTCAGCGTCGCTTTTTCCCCTCGAAGCACCTCTGGGGATCTCCACCGGATCGCACCGAGCTTGAGCTTGACACCGCTCTCAAATTCAATGGTCAGATCATCCGACTCGAACGCACTGAACCCGAAGTCGGACAACTTCGCACTGCCGTTGGTTCCAACAAGGATGTTGTTGCACTTGAGATCTCCATGTACAACCAGCTTGTCATGAAGGTACTGGAGGCCCAGAGCAGCTTCACAGAGTTTTCTCCACACTTCGTCTGGATGCAAGCGTAAGTAGTCACTCAATTGGCCCCCCTGCCGCGAACTCGCAGACGAAGAACGGTTGATTTATGTGGCAGGCCCCGAATAATTGCACGATGTGAGGGTGACGTAGTTTGTACCAGATCTTGACTTCGTTCAGAAAAGTCGCCAGATCTTCTTCATTTCGTATCTGTACGCGTCGTAATACCACCGGAGCTTGTCTCCGGTAAACCTTAGCGTAACCTCCACGACCAAACGCTTTGGTGCTGGCAAACGTGATGTCTTTCTGATCAATAAACCAAGTTTTAGTTGTATGAGAAGCCGAGATTGCAGCAGGGATAGCGAAATCCACGATGCTACTTGAGGTGCTCCGTGACATGTACGCAGTCAAGTCACAACTCAGCGCACTGCACTCACTCTCGTCATACTTAGCATCACCTTCCACATCGCCACGTAAATTTCCGAGCTCATTGAGTTGAGGCCCATTTCCCGGGCAGCAGCTTCTGACCCTTTCTGCAAGCCAGTCAACAACCTTAGCGATCGAGATCCGGTCAGAAGGGCTACGCTGGCACATTCGTTGCACCAATTCGTGCACGTCGTCGCCAAAATTCGCCGCGTATCGTGGGGTATCGACTGACTGCCACCATTTACCACTCATCGCTTGAAGAATGCACGTTCCAAACGAGTAAATATCAGAGGCAAATGATGTCTTCTCCCGTTCAAGCACCTCAGGAGCGGCCTCATCAACGCTCTTAAATTTCACTTCAGGATGATTGTTAGCGGCTGATACTGCCGACTCCAGCATTCTGAATCCGAAGTCCGACAACTTCGCTCTGCCGTCACTTCCGACGAGAATGTTGCTGCAGGTGAGATCGCCGTGCACAACTTCCTTGTCGTGAAGGTACTGGAGCCCCAGAGTAGCTTCATGCAGCTTCTCCATCACCTCGTCGGGATGCAACCGTAAGTAGTCACTCAGCTGCCCACCCGCCGCGTACTCACAGACGAAGAATGGTCGGTTGATATGGCAAGCCCCAAAGAGCTGGACAATGTGAGGGTGGCGCAATTTGTGCCAGATCTTGACGCTGGCTTTGAAAACTTCTTGATCCTTCCTTCTCAACTTTCTACCAATTTGACCTTCGTCACAAGAACTTGCGCTCGTTTCCATGTTCCTCGATGCTTCGATCCGCTAACATCTTTATCATACGCTTCGTAGTTCTCACTCAATCTCGACATCATACTCGGGCACAAACCAGGAATCAATCTTTGCCGATCTGAGGTAAGAGATTGCCAATTGGGCTCCAGTAAGCTCGGTAGTACCAGCACTCCCATTGCGTTGGCCCTTCACAACCCGCGCATTCGAATGCAGGTCGTGTTCGAACTGCACATACGCCAGAGCTTGTTCACGTTCCGATTCACTCTGGAAGCAACTTAAAAACTCCGGCAGGTTCGCCAGCGTTTCAGCCACTTCCTGCTGCCGCTGCTGATGTCTGAGTTCCCACAACTCGCGCCATTTGTGGACATGAGCTTCACGGGACAACCCGGCGCAATCCATTAGAGAATCGACGTCACCGTGGACTGAAAAATATCATCAGCCACTTGCCGACTTGCCGCATAGCTCGTCGTTAGTGCAGAGCTTGCGGTATCAGCCAGCTCCAGTTTTTTCTGAAAGTAGCGAAGGATTCTCCTGTATCGCTGCATAGCTTCTCTTGCCATTGAATCACAATGAGCAGTGAGTTGGCTAAACACGTCCGCCAGTCGTTCATACAGGTCTCGGTGCATCCGGTCCGTTGCAGTAGAGCTACTGCACATCTTGTCGATCGCTGTGAGTGTGGTTGACACCTCTTTCAGGTGGTCTAAGTCGGCAATAGGTCCCATGCCGAGGTCGCCCCCACTTTCTTTGTGTACGAGCGTCGCCAACTCACGAACAATAATTGACGCTGTCGGCCGATTCTTAGCTTTGTAGTAGCACATTTGCTTGACCAGTTCCCACTGGTTTGCTGTCATGGCAGCTGGCTTGTCCGGAAGGTTTCCAGCGATAATGGCATCGCGAACTTCCAGGACCTCGGAGCCCCATAGGCTTCTGGGATAGTGGAAACGTTGAGCAATTGTCATTCCAAAGGCGTAAATGTCGGCTTCGAACGAAGGACGAGAGCCCAAGAGCAGCTCTGGAGCTGACCACGGGTGATAATTATCGTCCCCAGTGATATCACGGCCGATGTTTCGCAGTTTCGCCACTCCGTCTGCAGTGACTATGACGCTATCGCAGTTTAGATTGCCATGGACGATGTTGCGGTCGTGCAAGTATTGAAGACCTAGGGCTACTTGGTACAGCTTAGCCCAGAGTAACTCACTCGTTATCTCGCTCCTGGTCACTTCAAGATAATCCTCCAGAGACCCAAGCGTGGCACGTTCGTACACGAAGAAGGGGTCCGCATCACCATTGCCGTCGACAAGGCAGGCGCCGTAGAGCCTTACGACATGGGGATGGCTCATCCGTGACCACTGATCAAGTTTGTGTAGCAGTTCCTCCCGCTTGACCATCTTCACCTCCACTGGCGAACCAAGCCAGACGCCCTTGACCCCGTCACGTAAGGAAGACTCGAGCTGGATATCCATTGCGTCTATAAGATACTCACGGTAGTCCGCAAGACCACGGCCCGCAGCGTCCTGCACTGAAGCTGCTCCGGTTGTATCTGTCTTGGTCTCTTTGCCTGCTTCTCCATTTTCGCGTGCAATTAACTGCTCCACTACGTCCGTGTGCCCAGCGACTCGGGCGTAACGGAGAGCTGTCCATCCACTCTTTTCGCTGGAGTTCACGTCTGCTCCGTAAGCGAGCAGAAGAGCTACAACATCCTTGTGACCGCCCTCTGCAGCTGCATGCAACGCAGTTCGCCCAGCTTCGTCCTTCTCATCCAAGCGTACCCTATGATCCACGAGCCACTCAACAACCGACAGATGCCCCCTCCTCGCTGCAACGTACAGTGGTGACACTCCCAGCTCTTCACTCTGCGAGTTCAGCGCCCCCAGCGCCTCCTCCTTGGTACACAACCACTCCAGGTCATCCAGCCTCCCCTCAGCAGCCGCATGGACGACACCCTCGATAAAATCCCCTCGACTCCAGTCTCCTCGAGCGAAGATACGCTTTGCCTGCTCAATAGGCCCAATACAACATGCGTCCCACAACGGTATCCCTGACGCCTTCATCGCCAAATCTTTTCTGAGACTAGCCTTCTTCTCGATAGTTTGAGGCGAGAGCGTTTCTTGACACAGAGCTAATAGAGCGTATGGGTGCGTTCGAGAGTCAGTAAGTTTGATCTTTGCACATCCAGCCTTTGTTTCGCGTCTTACAGCAGTACAGGGGCCTAATTGGTGGGGAAGGCGTCGATGGCGCCGTAGAAGTCCCAGAAGTCGTCGCCCAGTAGCTCCAAGTTGTCGTCCTCGAGCCAGCTCGCCTGCTGGCAGATCAAGTTGTCCTCCACGACGTAGTCGATGTGGTCTTTGTGACGCACGGGCAGGTGTCCGCAGCCTGGGCGGTGGGTATCCTTGGGCGAGGTGCACTTGACTGGCTGTCCGCTTGTGCTCTTCGCTTGCACTTTTCTACTCGCAGAGGCACGCTGCAGCTCTCCCAGGCTCGTGACGCTGTCTTGGCAAACGAGGTGATTCTGCACCACGTAGTCGCGGTGGTTCCCGTGCTGGATGGACAAGTGGCCGCAGGAGCGGTTGTGTCTCGAGTAGTCGAGCAGAGACGACGCCAGAGTGGACAGGCAGGCCTTCTCCGCTGCAGTCTTAGCTTGACCAGCAGACGCAGGGGCAGGCTGAGCTCCTTGACCATTCTGAACTGAGGAGTTGGGAACACCCAAGCCCATCGCAGCAGTCGACCCGGATAGCAGACTGCCTTGAGCAAGCGTTGATCCGTTCTCGACTGGAGAAATGAAAGCCAGGCTGGGCTCCAGCAGTGTTTGGCTCACTGAACCAGCGCTGGCAACCGTTCCTGGCAGCGACGAGTTCATTTGAGGCGTCTGAAGTTCATTGTTGTTCATCAGCGCACCTGTCATACCGGAGTTGGAGGCTGAGGCTGCACCGCTGTTAGTAGAAGCCGTGGTTGGGAAGGTGGACAAGAGCTGATCCAGCATGTCGGGTCCATTCGAGGCCTTCGCTACGGTGGAGCCAGCTGAGTTTTCAGGCGGAGGAGGTCTCAGCTCGAGGTGGGCCGGGCAGCAGCTTGATCCGATGGACGTCGACGGACAGTGCGGCGGGAACGCGTCCAGCGTCAGCGGGCGAGACAGATCCAACGTCTCCTGCGAGAGCAGGAACGCGTCCAGCGAGGAGAGCGCAGCGAAGCACGCGGGCGGCGAGTGGATGTGGTTCTCGGCGCACTTGAGCTCGTAGCGCATGGGTCTCGTCGGGGTGTCCACGCAGGCGGCAGTCACTGGAACCTTGCGTCGAGTTGATGTGCACGTGCTGGTGATCGGCGCAGGGATCTTGATCGGCACGGAGGCCGGCAGCAGCACGTCCGCACTCACCGCAGCAGCAGCTCCACTGCTAAACGGCGCTGCGACGTCGCTGGGGCTGTCGCAGCTCTCATCGCCAGAGTCGGATCGCTTGGGCTTCGGCGAGAGCCTGCGCTTCTTGGTCTTGCCCCTCCCAGAGGCGTCCGCCTGGTCCTCGTGCAGACGCTGGTGCTTGTGCAGGTCGAACTTGCGCGCGAAGCTGCGGTCGCAGCCGGGGAGCGCGCACGAGAAGGGCTTCCGGCCACTACACAGCAAGACAGACATCGATCGTTAGCCTCTACAGTACCACCACGTAGCTACTCAGCTCTACTCACGTGTGCGTCCGCTCGTGACTGAGGAGGTCGGAGCGGCGCGCGAAGCACTTGCCGCAGTCCTGGTACTTGCAGCGGTAGGGCTTCTCGCCCGTGTGCACGCGGTAGTGCACCTCCATGTCGGCCTTGCGCAGGAAGCGCTTGCCGCAGAACTTACACGCGAACTTCTTGTCGCCGTTGTGGATGTTGACGTGGCGCTTGAGGTTGCCCTTGAGCTGGAACTCGCGCCCGCAGCCCGGGAACGTGCATCGGAAGACCTTCTTCTTCTTGTCACCAGCTGCGTCTGTGACTGTAACTGTGGAGGGCGCAAGGTCTCCGCTACCGGTTGGGAGGGGGTTGAGCCCCTCGAACTTCATGTCCGGATCCGCCATTGAACTGGAGCTGAGACCGTCGACGACGCCTAGAGACATGGCCTCCACTTTGGCGCTGAGAGCGAGCGGGGGCATCTCCATCCACTGCTATTAATATGAGCTTCCTCTTCTCTCTCTAGGACCGCAGCGATTGTCGAATGGCAAGGACGGCTGGATACGCGGAGTGGAGTGGAGGGGTCGGGTCGACGTCAAGGAAAAGAGCTATTGGCGCGCTGCGTCCGCCGTCGGACAAGCGCTTCAGAAACTGTGTGTCTTACATAGATCGGGCACTGAAATGCGCGTGCATGCAAGAAGGGGCTTTGCAAAGTGGACAGCAAGCTCAGGGTTTTGCTTTGGCACGTCCGTGTCATAAAAATATAGGTTCTGGTCGAGGGGGGGGCGTTGGCTGGTGGGAGGTTCTCCTCGGTAGACACAAAAGGCGACACTCGGGAGCACGTTTTGGTGGTGTAACCCGTAGACTTCTTTAGATACTTATTTGAATAAGCAACATTTTATATAATACGGCTTCGGGATTGACACGGCGACAGTATCTTGAATATCTCGGTGTGAGGGGGATTATGAACATCCCGTGGAGCCCGTCGTCGGAGAATTTGCTGAGACTTGAGCCGAGCTGACCCCCAACGTTGTGGCCCATTGGAGCCAACACACGTACACTGTAGCCATTTTCAGAGCAGAGCTCAGCAAGACGTCAATACAAATACGTGTACAGTACAGAAGCCCCATAACTTACCAGCATCCTTAGGTGGCCAACAAACCTGCTTGCAGCAAAGCAAATCACGACAAAGATAAACACCAGAAGAGTTTACCATACCGAAATTAGCGAGGCAGTACAGTACACATTTGATGGTACTTGCAGTTTACCCACATGCGGATCTCAGTTCAGGGACCTCTTGACTGCATTACAGTATCATTGGTTGTTTCGGGTGACTTGGTCTCGCCTCCACGATCGCTCATCCAGTTGGCTGCCAGACGCACATGCCAAAATACCGAGCGGAATCACCCTCACTCCTCCTCGAAGAAGGACCCTGTGTACATGTTGGGACAACACGACTTTCGCCGCATTTTCGACTCCCTTGACAAATGTCCACAATTCTGGTGGCTTTGTTGTTGTGGACATTTATCCGACGGCGGATACAAATCCTAGCTGCTGACAAGGAACAAAGATCTACGATGACGAGCCAAAAACAATCTGACACTAAGAAATGTATGGACGTGATGGAAAAACTTCACTTCGTGACCAAGGCAACCATAAGTGTTATTTTAGTACTAAATTAAAATATTAATACATGCTGGTTTAGCAAATACAGCGTATAGGTATGTTACTATAACCCTGAAGATGCCTGGTATGTTTTCCGGGGATTCATGCGGAAGAGAAGTTTTCAGAAGTGGTGAGGCTGACATGCCACGCGAGGACGGTCGTTGGGAAACGGACAACGGCTCTACGGATGTTGTAGGACAAGTAGGAGTAGGCAGGAGCGCTCATTTGCGAATTCGCGCTCAGCTGCTCAAGTCTTTTATTACCCGCCACGCCACACCCAGGGCAAAATCTGCACGGCCGCAGACTATCCACTGTTTAATACATCGATTTGAGGTGCTGCTACTCAGCAGCACAACCCCAGCACACCAACGACTGAAACCTGTGATGTAGCTGCAACGCCATCTTTCAAGAAGTGAACTTTGTACTCTGCAAGTCGTACAGTATTCAGCACGCCAGTGTTCTGCCGTGTTGCCATCAACACGCTTGTTATGTGGCAGCGCTTGTACCGGTACATGCCACTTGCGGGAGAATCTCTTCGAGCTGAATTTTGCCTTGCAAATCCGAAGCTGCGCACACATCGTTTTGTTCCCTCGGCTTCAAAGCTTTGACGTTCAAACAAACTGATACGGTATGCATGTCCTCGACAGCAAGATTGAAAATTCCGTGTAAAGGGGCAACAAGTTCGTTCGCCATATCAAAAATATGATGTATCAAGTAAAATGTCGGGGGTTGCAGCCATTTTACTAGTGTAGTGGAGAGGTTATTGTTTCGGTATAGGTAACTATTCGTTACTCGCTGTTCTATCGCCTGGACACCACCGGTATGGGATGTCTGGCCTAAGTTGAAACGTATCAGTCAGAAGCGGTAAGATTTCATCGCGCTAGCTCAATGCGTCACCACCGAATTTTCGTTATTTTTTATCGAGCGTGCAACTTGTGGATAAACAACTCCTATTCATTTGCGAAGTCTACCGTAAGCTTATCTAGTACTGTACACGCGTGCTCTCGGCACATGTACAAATACGGCTGGACCTGTTAAGTGCAATCCAAAGTTCCTGAAAGGTGCACTAAAGTACTTTACTGTTAATGCACGCACTAAGGGCCAGCATCAGTTGTGTGCAGGTGCCCCATAAGTACTTTGTGGGGGACTTTCGTGCTCTGCACTAAACAGGTCTAGTCATATTTGTTCATGTAAACAGGTCTAACATGTACAGTATGAAACATCAAATGGCGAAAAAATGTAAAAAAAATAAGTGTTTTAACATTAAAACACATACAAACGCATATAAGATTTAAAGGTCTAGTGACCTTCACTCTGGCCTATTTTCCGCACTCATTCGAACAAAATGCGCGCCACTGCGCCGAGCGGGCCGCGCGCGGGCGCCGCGCCGCAAATCAACCTCCAGGAGCAGCTCGCATGGGCGGAGAAGGTAAGCGTCACACAGCCAGTAGTCTGCACTCGCTAACCAGACCCTTCTCACGCTCTAACTCGCCGTACACGTCGCGTTATTGCGCGCCAACCGCCGTCCTCAGGCGCCCAGGAACACGCTGCAACAGTGCCTCAACTCGCACGTCATCGGGGAGTATCTGGACAGTCGAGCGGCCAGGAAGCAAGCGTGAGCACCTCTCTGCGTGGCCACAGAGCTCTGTTCGGTCAGTTCTAAGGCGCTAGAAGGCCTAATTGCGTGCATATTTGTGCTGTACCCCTTTTATAGGGCGGTTGACGGTGCCGCGGACAAGGAAAACTGCCTGGAGACAATCCAGCGAGGCCGAGATGCGCTTCAGAAGTTCCAGGCCATGCGGGCAAGGTCCCATGCGTCGACCAAGCTCAAGGTGGTCCCAACGCCTCGCATCGCGCTGGGGACGATCCCTGTGATCAATTCAGCGCCAGTGTCGGCGCCTGTAGAGCAGCCAAGAGAGTACAGTGGCAGTAGCGGGGATAGAGGGCCATCCTACGCTTCGCTGAGTGACGGAGCAGTGGCAAGTGATGTGGTGGATCTGACTCAGCCAACAACGACGCCGTTGCCGCCAACTACAGGGAGCAGTCGCGGTTTTACAGGTTATCAGAACAATGGCGCGGGGGCACAAGGTCGCGCTGTGGTGCAGAAGACATTTACAGGGATCGATGATGACGCAGACAGCTTGTTTGACGCCGTGGATGTCGACGCACTTGTCGCCAACCACCAGCGGTCGAAGCATCAGACTCGTCGTCCGGCTCCGCAGATGTCGCCGCTTTCGGACCAGAGTTTGATATCGCCTCCGTGCACGCAGACAAGTGGGTCACAGGAAGCTGCGAGTGCTGTCATGGCTGATGAGTTGCGCCAGTCGATCAAAAGGACGCGTGAGAATCTGCGCAAAGTGCGCGAAGAGTGCGACGACGCGTCACTCGAAGGAGACGTGCCAGACTTTATGCAGAAACGTCGTACGGAGCTGGAGCAGGATCTGGAGGAGTTGAGTAGAAAGTATAGGGAATGCAAAGGCACAGCCAGGGCATCTCCTCACAGCCGAAATGTTTCCCCGGCGCGAGTTCCACCTCGTCCTGTGCTGATGCCGCAATCGTACAATAGCGGGGTCGAGTCATCAAATACGAACCCGACTTGCTCTTGCGGAATGACAACTGCTGAAGCTCGAGTGCAGCATGGCCCAAACGCCAACCGACTATATTATCGTTGCAGTACGTGCGGGTTTCACTCTTGGGTGGATGGCGAAGCGGGTAATGGAGGGGGTCGATACCCAAACGGAGCACAGCAGACCCGTCAAGTCGTTGTGGAACAGCCATGTGTCTCCAGCGACCCGAGCGTAAATGCCAAAATGCTGCGAGCCAAGCGAGTGCTTCGCGATGTTTTTGGTCACAACGCTTTCCGACCGAATCAGGAACGGACGGTCATGGAAGCTTTCAGCAGGCGCGATGTTTTCGTTTTGATGCCAACTGGAGGCGGCAAGAGTCTGTGCTACCAACTGCCTGCCTGTATTGATGATGGCGTGACGATCGTCGTTTCTCCGTTGGTGTCGCTTATTCAAGACCAAGTACAGCAACTCGAGGCTCTTGATGTGGGTGTTGCAAATTTGAATGGCGACCAAGACTATGATACTGTGCAGAAACCCATCATCTCGGAGCTTTTCTCGAACCGGATTCGAATCAAGATGCTTTATGTGACGCCCGAGAAAATTGCTTCCAGTGGCATGCTCAACAACCTATTCGAGTCGCTTGAAAAGCGTGGGCTCTTGGCTCGCTTTGTTATCGATGAGGCACACTGTATCAGTCAATGGGGGCATGACTTCCGAAAGGATTACATGACTCTGGGTTCACTGCGATCAAAGTTCCCGTCGGTACGTACATGCTCTACGAAACGACGCACATGTAGCACAACGTGATTTGACTATGTTTGTGCCGTGCAGGTCCCAATCATGGCGCTAACCGCAACAGCCAACACACAAACGGAGGCAGACATTGTTAAGAATCTGAAGCTCAAGAACCCGTTCATCACTCGCTCAAGCTTTAATCGGTGCGTTAACCTACTTTTTTCTAAGCCGCAGAGATGGTTTTGTAATCTTGGTAAATGTTTGTAACTGGCAGGCCAAATCTCACCTACGATGTACGCAAGAAAACGTCCAAATTCATGACTGAGATAGCTGATTATGTCCGGAAACACATCGATGATTCGGGGATTATCTACTGGTAGGTTTACAGACTCGTGCTAAAGGTCGTTCTGAGAGCATTCTCCCTAACAACTCCCTGCATGCCAATAGTTTGTCGAAGAAAGATTGCGAGCAAACAGCGGATAAGCTGATTAAAGCGCTGGGCTTTGAACACACGCGCAAAGCAAGCCAGATTTCGTTTTACCATGCTGGATTAGAACCAGAGGACCGTGCATACCGTCACCATGAGTGGAGCAAAGGCAAGATCAAGCTGATCTGTGCCACTGTGGCGTTTGGAATGGGAATCAACAAGCCCGACGTCCGCTACGTGATCCACCACACAATTCCGCAATCTGTGACACATTACTACCAGGTTTGTGCGCTCGAGATTCCAATGCGCGATTGTAAAGGTGCTGAGTGTTCTTGTTGTGCCATGACAGGAAGCTGGACGAGCAGGAAGAGATGGCGAAGTGGCAAACTGCATCCTCTACTATTCCTTTCTGGACTTGGTACGTCTATAACTATACCTAACGCTGCCAGGATTGAACAGCACACTAACTACGGTAGCATATTTGATGTGTACGTTAAGACTCGACGACGCAAGTTAATCACCAAAGATCGCGATAATATGCAGCATCGTAACGTGCACCTGCAGAACCTTCGACGAATGACTGAGTTCTGTGAGAATCAAGTAGAATGCCGGCGAACATCTCTTTTGGAGTATTTTGGTGAACATTTTTCCAGCGATCAATGCCGTGGAACTTGTGACAACTGCAAGAACAAAGCGTTGGGTATCACATTTGAGAAGTCGGATGTAACCGAGGACTGCGTAGCCCTTGCCGGAATGAGTAAGTATCGAATGATAAGCTGGTGTGATCTTGCAACTAAAGGCCGCGTTCTAACTGTCGCCTGTTGCTTGTAGTCAAAAGCCTCCAGGAATCTGGCGACCCCGCCACCCTCGTACAAATCAGTCAAATTTTCCTGGGCCAAACGATCAAGGGTCGAGAGTGGAAGCAAGACCAGTTTGCACAACTTGCAGGCTTCGGCAAAGGCAAAGGGCGCTATTCTCGCAGTGAAGTGGAGCGTATACTGTATCACATGGTTCTTCGGCAATATACCCGCGAAGTGGTAAGAATGCTCACTTCTGCTTTTATCTACAAACATCCGCTGACTAAAGCTCGCTTAATGGTGTACAGGACCAAACGAACGCTAAAGGGTTTACGACTACTTTCTTAGCACCGGGTATCAATGCTACCAGGCTCATGCGTGGCGAACGAGTTCGCATCGTATGCAAGACAAAATACCAATCGCGCACCTCTGCTAGTGATGGAGCACCATCGCAGACAACCAAGGCCTCGAAGAAAAAAGCCCCAAAGAAAACTGCAGAGAAGAAAACTAAGGCGCCCGGATCTCGCAAGACGACAACCAAGAAAAAGAAGAAGACGAGTACCAAGGACGTGGTTGAAGACTTTAGCGACGATGACGACGTGATAGTTGTTCCACCACCTTCGACTACAACGGCGTACCCGCTCATTCCAGAGCGCACGTCTTCTAGGAGGTGCGTGATATTGTGCGGGTACGATATTGCATATCGTTTAGCACTAACCACCAATTGCTGGAAAACAGAATTCCTGAAGATCACGTCGAAGCGCTTGCCCAGCTGCTCAAGGATTGGCGTGCTAGCGTGTGTGACAGCCACAACCTCATGCCGTACCACATACTTCCAACTTCGGGTATCGCCGCGATCGCCAACGCAGTCCCCGTGTCAAATGCAGAACTCCTCGAGATTGACGGTCTCGGACGGACTCGAGTGAAAAAGTACGGTGAGCCGATCATCGCTATCGTGCAAACATACCTCGACAAGGTTCGTACCCTTAGCCTTTCATATTGGTTAAGATTATCGAAAGTCAAACTAACCGATCATTTCGCTTCTGCAACAGCACAACCTTACCCCAAAGCCGTTGCCCTCTGCCCGCTCAACCAACGTGCTGGACAGCTTGGATGATTGGGATTCCGCCGTTGAAATTATCGAGCCGCCCCCAGCACCTAAGTCGTCCCCATTTTTCCAGGGCAACGCACGAAAAACTTCGCTTACGTCTACGAAGCCGACAGCAAACACAAATCGGAGCGTGATCGATGACAGTCTAGATGACATCGATTGGGATGAACTGGATGCGGACATGTTGAACCAAACGAGCTCAAGTGCGGCGACTGCCAGTCGCAAACGCTCGCTGGACATGTCGGGAACCACTTCAAGCTGGAAGAAGCGCAACATTTGATCAGCTCTTGACAGTTTGAAGTCAAGCACGACTTCCATCATACCTCACCACCATTCCATGCATGAATGAATGAAGCATTATTTATTGTGCTTTGCATCCAGTTTGCCCTCCTATTTAGTGCACTACTTAGTGTTCGTACTTAGCGGTAAATCATAGTCGCCTTGAATGCGAGTTGCTCAAGTCGTGTTTCGAGCTCGATTTGGCTCGGAAATGGCACTTTCTAAAGGTGCCAAAAGGATGCCAATCCCTGCTGGATGTGCTAAATCATGCTGGAGATGGCGTTTGTGCACAACTTAGTGCTCATTGCCCATCCACGACTTTCAGCAATTCGCACTCGAGTACGATTTATAGATAAGTCGTGCTCGATAAGTCGTACGACTTACAGTCCGAAGTGCCAAAAAGTATGCAAAGCACAATACCTAGTCTTTATCAAATTGTTCTCTAGCTAGGCCTGATCAGGAGACGAACTCCTTCTACAGCACGATGTTGTCGATCAGGCGGCACTGACCGAGTTTGACGGCCACGGAGATGATGACACCCTTGGTCGTATCAACCTCGGCCACCTCCTGCATCGTCTCCTTCGATCCCACCGAGATGTAGTCGATGGCGGTAACAAGAGGTTCACGCTCGTACTCGTTGCGAACGACGTCACGCAGAGCAGCCGCATCCACCGTCGTCTTGCCGTTCTGCTTGGCCTGCTGGAACAGATCTTGGGCGTGTGCAAGTCCGCGATGCAGCACAGCTGCAGCCTCGCGCTCCACCGGCGACAAGTACTGGTTGCGCGTCGACAGCGCGAGGCCGTCCGCTTCGCGCACAATGGGCACGACGTTGATCTCCACGGGGATGTTCAAGTCCGACACCATGCGCTTGATGAGCACGACCTGGGCCGCGTCCTTCTGCCCGAAGAAGGCGTGCGTGGGCTGCACGATGTTGAAGAGCTTGGAGACGACCGTCGCGACGCCGCGGAAGTGGCCCTCGCGGCACTGGCCCTCCACGAGGTCGTCGAAGCCCTCCGGATCCACGTAGCAGCGGTGGTGCGGCGAGTACATCTCGTTCGCGGACGGGAAGAAGACGAGGTCCACGCCCTGCTGCTGCAGCAGCGCCACGTCCTTCTCGAACGTGCGCGGGTACTTGGAGTAGTCCTCGTTAGGGCCGAACTGCGCCGGGTTCACGAAGATGCTGGAGGCCACGAAGTCGCACGAGCGCTTGGCCTCCTGCACCAACGACATGTGGCCGGCGTGCAGGCCCTGCATATAAATAAAAGTAAAATAATTATAATAGTTAGCGGGAGAATCTTTATGGTGGTGCATCATAAAGTATCCGTTACCCCCATGGTGGGCACGAGTCCCAGCGTGGCGTTGGGCGGCAGCGCGCGTCGCGCCTGGCGGAAGGCGTCGACGGACTCGAGGATCTGCATGCTGCTACTGCTGCTCTTGCTGCTGGAGGCGAGGCAGCGACTGGCGAGGGCGCGAGGGCCCCGAGGGAGCAGGCGGCGAGCGGCCAGCATGGCGATGAAGACTGATCTGTATCCGACATCGGATACCGCGACGCAATATTGGTGTGACGTACACGAATTAAATAAAGTGGTGTGCACCACACGATGGATACAGATTGTCGTTCGATTGTGAGTGGTCGTACCGTAGTTGTCATGAAATTGTAACGGTTACTTGAAGCCGTTTTTCCCAGCTGCTGCTGGAAGAACGCCCGCCACGTCGTCAAAGATCCCCCAACCACAAAGCCGGCGAGGCCGCCGTTCAGCGCCCGAGCTACCGCTCGCAGGCCCCAGCGCTTGGCTCGGGCCTCGGTGGGGCTTCGTGCGTCAATTGGCCCTGCCCGACGTTGTACCGCCCGAGTGCCACTTTTTGACGGCAGCCTGTCTGATCGGGCCTGCGAACGACTGGCGCAGGCGGACAACCGCGGCAACTCGCAGTTCTGCGGACGTTCGCCTCGGCCGACCGGAAGACGCGAGGGCTTCCCAAGCACGGCGCAGCACTCCGGCTCGCCCTAAAATTCCGCGCGCTAGTTGGCAGCGCCGAGTCAGCGAACTAACCTAGCAGTAACATGCAAAAGTTTTTGGTTGCTGCAGTTTTCATTGCCGTCGATGGTTCGCTGGAAGAGAGGAACCCATTGACACCAGCGAACACACGCGCGCTGAGTCGTGCGGCGCTCGCCACGTCATGCTTGGCAATTGGCAGCACCGGCGTAACCGGTGTAACCAGCCGCGTCTCAACGCCGCAACGAGCGTCGCAGTTCGCCAGAACTTGCAACGTTCCAGCTCCGAGACCTTCCTCCTCTTCACAGCACAATAAAAACTCTGCAATTGCTGCAACCAGCACCCTATTATCACCACCAGAACGGGTAACGCTCCGCCACAGCTGCAGCAGCAGCAACAACAACAAGCAGCGTCCACTTGAGTCACCGCGCGCGCGCGTGCGCCTCGTTTGCCCATTCGGCGCCTTGTGTGGAGCACACCACGATGGGTCACAACGTGGATGGGACGACGGTACCGTCGCCGGGCTCCCTCATTGCCGCGGCGCGCGCTCTCTGCGCCGTCTGTAGCAGCGCCGAGCAGCCCGGAACAATCCCCGCCTTAGTCTCGGATTCGCGCCCCCCCCCTGCGGTTCTCGGCGTCGGCAGCGCCATGGCCCCGTCAGGCTCCTCGGCGGCCCCCGCGCGCGACAAACGCATCAAGGTGTGCGTCCGCCTGCGCCCGTTCACGCGCACCGAGAAGCTCAAGGCCGGCGGCAAAGCGGCCTGGACCTGGTGCGTGCATACTGTACACAGTGACGAGGCCCCCCGCCACGCCGGACTTTTTGGGCTGTCGACTGCTTTTGGTTTTTCGGGATCCGCTAACCCAAAATTTGACTTTGGACGTTTCGATTTCCGGGATCCGCGACTACCGTACTTGCCAGGCATGAAAACACTATTTATCAGCAGATTTTTCCGGCGCAGATCCCGTCGCGGGTGGCCACGAGCGACGGCGAGGAGAAGAAGCGCAGCGGCGGCTCCACGGCCTCCTCCAGCTCCTCGGCGCTGCGAGACTCGGCGTCGACGCTGCCGTCGTCCTACAGTTTCGACTACTTGTACCCCCCGGCGACTCAAACCCAAACGGTTTACCAAGACACTGTCAAGGTGGGTCTGATACATCGCAAGCAACTGGAGCCATTATTGCCAGGATCGAGATGGCTTCACACGGAGCGAAGCTGGTTCACTTGGCTGCTCTCGTTCGTACAAGGATGGGGGCGTCCCACCCCAACTCTACATTTACACAAAGCAGCGACGGGATTTGAGACTGGACCGAACCAAGAGCTACAATTCTAACCTTTATGTGCTGTGGTGTTCACTGCTCTACTGTAGGATGCTATTATGGCGGCGATGGAGGGCTACCACTCGTCCGTGTTCCTCTATGGACAAACGGGCACGGGCAAGACGTACACCATGCAGGTAGGTTGGTTGACTCGACACTTTGGACTGGAGGTCACTTTAGTCGACCTTCTGAACCGACTCTTTGTGCTGAATACTTGCCTTTGTGCAGGGCGGTCGAGGCGACCCCGGCATCATCCAGTTAGGCGTGCAGGATATCTTTGACCACATCGCGCGGCACCCGAGCATGGAGTTCTTGCTGCGCTTTTCGTACCTGGAGATTTACAACGAGCGGATCCACGATTTGCTGGCGGCCGGGGCGAAATCGGATATCAAGATCTACGACGTGCACAACCGAGCCGCAGCAGCGAACGCGCGCGACGGGTTTGTCACGAAAGACGTGGTGATCAAGGGGTTGCGCGAGGAGATCGTGCTGTCCACGGAGCACGTGCTTTCGCTCGTGGAGGTGGGCAACCTGCACCGTCACATGGCCATGACCGACTCGAACGACCAATCCTCCAGGTCTCACGTCGTGTTCCGAATGGTAAACCGATCTCTATTTTGTTGCGTCTTGCTTGTCAAAGTCCCTGCAAAGTGGACAGCCGCGTCAGACCGGGCGTCTTGGTCTTCTCGACGCTGCTACACAGTAGGACAGAGCTTTGAACCGACTCACTTACTCACGTTTTGTTTGTGCTGGCTCGTGCTCGTATGCAGGTCATTGAAAGCCAAGCGAAACGGAATAATAGAGACCAAGGGGAAGTAGCGCCAGTGCGCTCCGCCACGCTGAATATTATCGATCTCGCCGGCTCCGAGAGCGTTCGACTAGCGAACACTACAGGGCAGGCGTTGGAGGAAGGCAAGTTCATCAACCGCAGCTTGCTCACACTAGGCCACATCATCTGGAAGCTCAGTCGTGACCGGCACAGGAAAACCCCCAGCGGTGTCAGAGCCCCGAGTACACCACACTTGCCGTACCGCAACTCCAAACTCACCCGGATTTTGCAGCCGTCGCTGGGAGGCCAGGCTCAGATCGCGATCGTTTGCACCGCTTCCCCGTCAGTCGAGTGCTTGGCGGAGACGCACAACACGTTGAAGTTTGCGAGTCGTGCTCGAAGGGTACGCAACCGGGTGGCTGTGAACGAAGGTTTAGGAGAGTCAGCTCTGCTGCGGAAGTACCGAGCGCGTATCCGAGAGTTAGAGGAGCAGCTTGAGCATCTGCAGATACGGCGGAGACCGAGAGGGCCAGCACAGACGAGCAGCTCGACACCATCACCACTAGACGAGCGGCAGATGGAGCTCAAGTTCGCCATCAACAACATCAACAGGGTGATTCTGAACTCCTCGCAGGCACAGGAGCGACCCGATGACGAGGAGCTGGCGTCGATAGATGAGGATACGTTTCCTGCCATGGCCACCCCGCCTCAACCATGGGAAGCGTCCCAAGCACCACCGCCATTTCAGACAACACGACGGAGTGATCCTCAAGTGCAGCGAAAGCCGACCCCGAGACAGCTTGCCGCACGACAGCAGGCTGAAGTGGAGCGAGAGATTCCTCAAACGCAGTCCAGGGCAGCCACGCGGCCGCTGCTCCGCCAAGAACCAGTCCACAGCTCCAGCACTGTGAGTATTTCTCAGCCAGAGCCTGAAGAGGAGGAGGAGGGCAAGGACGACGACCACGCGCGACCACGCCTTGTTCACTCTGGAGATTCGGCCAACACTTCGAACAAGACTTTGATCGGCAGTGGCGGGAGTGCGAGCACCAAGACGTTGCCGCTGTCGACGTCGTCGTCTCGACACCTGACCGACAACGACGAAGACCTCGCGGAGACCAAGGAGGAGTACGACGGTGACGAAGAGGACGAACCGGAGCACGAGGAGGACGCGCTGCATGACACTCCGACTCACCCCGAAGCCGTTTTTGAAGAAGCACCGATCGCCCCGAGCCCGATGCCTCAGACCAGCACTCGGCCGTCCCTCACGTCGATGCTCAAGACGAAGTATCTGGACGAGTTGGCCAAGATGGACCAGCGCGCTGGCAGGTGGCAGCACACGGACCAGAGCGAGTTGTTCAAGCAGAAGGAGCTGCTGCGCGAGTTCGTGCGCGGCCTCGAGATCGCCCAAGCCGAGCAAGAGACGCGCATGAGCAAGATCCGCGAACTAGAGCTCGAGAACCGCCGACTGCGTCAGACAGTGTCGGCTCGAGAAGACGAGCTGTCCCAGCTGAAAGCCGAGACCCGCGACGCGCCGTCGTCCTAGAGCTGACCCGACTTGTACACACAGTGTGCGGACGTGATCCAAAGTTCATTAGTTTTGACTGGTATATTTTTCGACGAGGATCCACGGCAGGCAGAGGGGTATTAGACTGGCCGAACACGGTGAAATAGATTGTATAAGGGCGGTGACGAGCGGTAATAGACGTAAATGACTAACAGCCTTCGACTTGAGATGATATGCTGTGGTGATATTCCAGTTCTTTCACAAGTTCTATTTTTTTCATCAATCTGTAGGCATCTTTAAGGCAAGGTAATGGTAGATTTCGAGCGCAGCCCGCCAAGTACATTGACGACTTCGTGCATCCCAATCCGCTTGTGGGCTTCGAATTGGCACATGCGTTTCACCAGCTCATAGGCTTCCACGGAGCAGTGACCAGGGCGCTGGGGAATACGCTGCGCCGTCACAACTTGATATTTAACAACAACATCTAGCAAGGCCATACCCCACGGGTATTTCCCGCTAACCGCTTCCAGGATGCACATGCCAAACGAATAAACGTCGGATGAATACGTCGCCTTTTCTCCAAGTAGCGCTTCGGGCGCCTTCCATCGAACAGCTCCAATCTTGACTTGCTCGCCGTTTTTCAACAATATTTCAGCGTCTTCCCCGTGATTTTCGTCGGCGGATACCAATACCCCCAATGTGCTCAGCCCAAAGTCCGTCAACTTGGCTTGGCCGTCACTTCCAACGAGGCTGTTGTTGCACATGAGATCTCTGTGAATTATGCGCTTGGCGTGGAGATAGCGTAAACCCAGTGCAGCTTCGTACAACTTGTCCCAAACTTCGTCAGGATGCTGCTTCAAATAACGATCCAGTTGACCACCGCCCGCGTACTCGCAGGCGAAGAATGGTGGCCCGATATGGCGCGCGCCATAGGGCTGGACGACGTTGGGGTGATACAGTCCGTGCCAATTCTCCACCTCATTCAAAAATGCCGCCAGAAGGTCCTTATCAGAAATTGCACCTTGAGACCCACTGTGTTCAAGTGAAAGAAGACTGTCCAACGAGAGGATATCACAGTGAGAAGCTGAAGAAAATCCCACCGACAACTTCAGCTTCTTTACCACCACTTCAGATCTCTTCGACTTTCCGTGGTGCACGGAGCCAAATGAACTCGTCAAACCTGTCAAACTCGACATCATAGGCCGGAATGAACCAGTTCGGATTCGCGCGTGGCGCTCCACGGATTTAGCGTGCAAGAAGTGTGAAACTGCACTCGTCGCGTAAGTTTTCGGGTGCTTGCTAAGCTCAAAGAGCAAGTACGTCAGAGCATCTTCTCGCTCTTGTTCGTCCGCTCCATCGCTCAAAAGAGCAGGTAAATCCTCCAGTTTTCTCAACATTTCTCGCCGCTGGCGTTTGCGACTTACTTCCCATCGATCGTGCCAAATGTGAATATCTGCGGACCGAGACATCCTCATCATATCCATAAACACGTCCAGCTCTTGGTGAATTGAGAACGTATTGTCAGCCACTTCGCGGCTCGCGGCAAGCGCGCAGCTGGGATTCGCCCGATCGCGTTGGCGCTCTTCAGATGGCTATGCAAACGGGTACAATGCTGCAGCATCGCCCAAAGAGTGTTGGTGTTGGCGCATCGGATCGAATCTGTAGCTGCTTGAACACGTCGATTAACCGGGAGAACGCATCTCGATTCATATTATCCGTTGTACTTGTGAGTGGGCACAGACTCGCAATTTCTTCGAGAATCGTTGAAATTGTCGAATTGGACTTCTCATCGACACGAATGCCGCCGATGGATGCCCAGGATGAAACTGAGAACTCGTCTGACTCTGACTGTAAACGCCTCGAGCTCGCGCACTACATCCGAGCATGACAACCTGTGTCGAGGGTCAAAGCGGCACATGCGCTTAATTAATTTGAATTGGGCGTCAGACATTGCTTCAGGTGTAGCGGGAGCTTTCCCACGAGAATTGATTCACGGATAGCGTCTTCGAATAAGCCCCACACATCCTGCTGTTGTTTGACTGCTTGAATAATCGTAATGCCAAACGAAAAGATATCTGATTCGAACGATGTCGAGCACCCAAAACTTACTTCAGGCGCTGTCACCGCGGGATTACGTTTTATACCTCCAAAGTCCTGCAACTTGGCGACTCCATTGACAGCAATTGCGATGCTTCCGTGATAGATATAGCCGTGGATAATGTTTCGATCGAGTAGATACTGGAGCCCCAAGGCGGCTTCGTACAATTTGTCCCATATAGTTGTCGGGGTAGTGCTCGTTCCCATCTTGCCACAATACTCCAGAATGGAACCTTGACTAGCACGCTCGTAGACGAAAAAGGAGGTATCGGTGTCACAGAACCCGTAATGCTTCACCACATGGGGGTGGTTCACCTTAGCCTATCGATCCATCTCTTCAAAGTTGTCTTTATACCAGCATTATTTTTACTGTGACCGGCGAACCCCGAACGTTTCCTTCAGCAGGGTTCGAGTAAAAGTGTCGTCGACGGGATCAAGGAGATACTCGGAGTACTTGGCCATATTGACCTTGGAATTTTGTTCAGGTGCAATTTCTCGTGCAGTTTAGCTTGTCAAATATCCGCACACGCCTGGAGAGTCATGTTCGCGCTCCGTCGCCAGGTCCAGCGCAGTCTTACCGGATATTGTAACAGCGTCGACGTTAGCGCTTCGTTTGCACAGTAGTTTTATAACACCGAGGCGATCCGCCGCGACAGAGCAATGCAAAGCTGTCCACCGACGCTTATCGGGAAAATCAATATCAACGTCACCACCTTTCTCAAGAAGAATAGCCACAATGCCTTCATGACCACCATCAGCAGCCCGCATCAGAGCGGTTCGACCAGCAAAGTCGACGTCGCTCGTGCTTCCACCGGCATCAAGCAGACAACGAACTACATCCACGTGACCATGCGCGCAAGCCTCCATGACAGGAGTTGTCCCAAAAGTGTCGGGCTGGCTGCATTGCGCACCAAGACCCAGCAGTAAGCGTACAGCGGCGGTGGCACCGCCTGCTGCGGCTTCGAGAAGAGCAGTTCTCCCTTGTGGGTTAGCTTGGCAAACGTCCATTTCATGGACCTCGAGTAAATACTGGATTACGTCGAGTTGGTTGGATTTCACGGCCGCCAAAAGGAGAGAACACAAGTCGGCCGACAGCGGAGGTTTCTCCTTGGCACCGCCGTCTTTCAAGAAGAACAGCGCAATGTCAAAGTAGTTCCTCACAGTAGTGTAGAAGAGCGCAGATTGTCCCCACTTGTCGCCATCGAAAGGCTGAAGTCCGCAATTTACAAGAGTCTTGACTAAGTCTACATTTTCAGTCGGTGAGCCGGCTGCTTGGTGCAACACCGTTTGGCCATTGAGATCCCTCTCATGCACATGAGCGCCAGCGTCGATGAGGCACTCTACCGTGTCCAAGTCGGCGCAGCAAGCCGCTAGATGTAGCGCCGTCCTGCCGTCTTAATCTTTCCTGTCAATTTGAACACCGCGCGTTAGTAGCCACTGCACCACACCGGGGTTCCCTTCTTGTGCAGCCAAGTGCAAAGTTGTCCGCCCGTCGCGTGCTTGGCTGTCCAGAGCGGCTCCCAACTCTGCAAGACACTCGACCACTTGAAGCTTTCCGGCTTTGGCCCCCACAGCCAGCGCACTTCAGCCTTCATCGTCCTGCTTGTCGATTTCGGCACCTCTATCAAGCAGCCACCGCACCACGTGGACGCGCCCTACCTCAGCCGCCTCATGAAGCGCCGTCCGACCTTCAGAACCTGTTCCGTTAACGTCAAAGGACCCCTTGCTCACTAACCACTCCATAACGTGGAGGTCAGCCCTGCACGACGCCCAGTGCAACGCTGTTCGGTTGTATCTGTCCCTCGCGTTCACCACGGCCCCATTCTCGTATAGCCACTGCATCACCCGCAAGTGCCCTCTCCAGGCTGCCGTGCCCATGGGCAATGCCCCATAGGAGTTCGTTTCCTTATTTATGAGATCTCGTGTCGGAATCTGGGCCACCTCCTCTCCAAGCGTGCACAGCCACTGGATAATGTCGTTTAGCGTCATAAACCGCGTTGTTTAGTCCCTCTACAGCAGCATGTTGGTCCCATTGTGTCCGAGCGAAGACACGCGCTAAAGACTTGAAGCAGGCCCACTCGACAGGGCTGTGGAAATATAGATTGACGACTTGTGTCGAGATCCCGTAACCGGGTCGTGACACGCATAACGAACGTCGTCTGATTGGCTAATATTCTCATCACTGAAGGGCAGTACTCACTCTGCGGCATTGTCGTGCATCTTCGACGGGAACGGTGGCGAGGTAAGACGAACAAGCATCTATCGAACGAGCTAATGTGCTGCGTCATCACGACTAACGCCTTGTTAATGCTGTTAACCTCTATTTGGTGCTTCTAGTGCGCTTCCTGTGACGAAACAGCACACGCCTCGCCTCCGGATTCGACTCGTGGATTGCCTGCCGGATTCGTCGCAGTGTGGTTACTGCTCGCTCGGGCCGTTGCTTCGCCGCATGTGTAGGCGGCTTCATCGGCACATGAGCTATGCCGAGTTGGTAGAGATCGTCGGCTACACGTTGTGAAGTTGGTCGCTGCATTCTCGCCCCTGTACTTGCCTCCACACCAGCGACGATATGTCGGACCAGCACCGTCCATTCCGAAAACATCTTGCGGTTGGTCTTCGTGAAGTCAGATGGCTGCAGCGCCCGAAAAGGCGGGTATCCGGCAGCAGGGTGGCCAAGCCACCAAATACGCCACACACTTAGCGCATCTAGCTGTGGAAAAGCAAAATCCTGCGGCATCCGATGAAAGCGCCCATCTGATTGCCAGTGATAAACGATGCTGGTTGAACTTGATTGGGCTACCTCTTGCTGAATGCGCTGCTGCGCCTGCCATAGTCCAGCGTCCTCTAGCAGTACACGGATCGTCGAGCTGAGGTTTTCTCGCGTTACACTTTGCTGACTCACGCATTTCTCGTCCAGTAGCTTAGCAAATCCGTCCAGCAGTAGATCCGGGAGATGGTTCAGCGCCTGTCGCGTCTTCATGTGCTGCTCAAAAGGCAGTGCAGGCACTTCGAACTTGGTCTCCATCGAGGCGACCACGGGACGGAGTCTGTAATACAGGTCCAGCAGTAGCAGGGAGGCACAGGTTGCTTGTCATCGTCAGCTGCTTGTTGTGGGTTGAGGGAGTCAAATTGTGAGGGCCAGTGAAGGAGGAGGCCAATGACAGACGCATTTTAAACCAATCAGAGTGGGTAAATAGGTGTAACGAGCACGCGATACGCATTCGTGTTCAAATCTCTTGACGGAGGCTACAGCCATTGCTGGCTGGAAATTGGAAGATCAAAATTTGTTGATTGAAAACGTAAGATGTCCAGGTTACGGGGGCTTTAATTTGTCTATACTGGCGATACTATAATTGGAGATTGTATATTGATTGACGGCTCAGATCTGGAACAATCAATTATTGCAATCTCAACAATCTCACAAACAAAAAGATTGCAATCTAAGTTCTCGCTTGTATTTCCTCTGCTACGTTCATATTTTTACTGGTTTGGCGGCGCTATCGCTCTAAGACCTTTGCTTGTGCGATTACATTTGTGTTGAGCTTCAAAAACCTTGGCCAAATGCAATGTTGGGTCTTATATTCATCATGTTGAGCGTGCACCCCATCCAGGCATCCAATGACCCCTCATATCCGCATTTCGAAGCAGGAGAAGACACATAATGGCTTTTTAGGAGCTAGGATCGGTTCCATTGGCTTGACGTTGCATATTTATCTACCGGATCGCTGGCAAAGGCTCAAAATCAGTATAGGAACAATATGGGAACGGGATTGCCGATTGAGATCACGGAGCAATCAATTATTGTGATTGACAATCTCGGCAATATTACAATCGTCAGCGCGGAAACAAAAACATATCTTGTTGACTGACGCAGTCCACGGTGATAGTAGAGCGGCCACTTGGCATGAGCTCAACGAGATGGAGATGTAGTGACCGAAGGTGAACAAACAAAATACCGTTTGCGGTTTATTCGTAGTGTACCATACTCAAACGCATCGACAATTACCTAATGACACCAAACGTAGGCTGCCCTTGCCAAACCGACCAGAACACGGAGCGACTCCTGATGGACCTACTCTTTCCTTACTCCGAGCGGAGCTTGCGGTACGCCTTCTGAGACGTTGCACCGGCGCCACCAGTTGCGGTGTTCGGTCCGTTGCTGGGGCCACCGCTTGGTCCACTGCTCGGGCCGGCACTCGGGCCTCCGCTAGGTCCCGCACTTGGGCCACTGCTTGGGCCGGCGCTCGGGCCACCGCTCGGACCAGCGTTCGCGTTCGCAGAGGCGGTCGCAGTCGCACCGCCAGTCGTCTTCGTGGTCGTTGCCGAGGCGGTTCCGTCGCCGTTCGTCGTCGTGACCGTCTGGGCCGGGCCACTGTTGCCACCGGGACCAGCGCCGGCATTGACATTCGCGTTGGCGTTGGCGCCGCCAGCATTAGCGACTGGGGCGGGGGCGGGGCCGCCTGCGTTCGCATTCGCGTTGGCGACCGAGTTGGCAGGAGCGCCGGCATTCGCGTTCGAGACAGCGCTGGCCGGTGCACCGGCGTATGCGTTGGCGTTGGCAGGCGCACCTGCATTCGCGTTGGAGACGGCATTCGCAGGCGCGTTGTATCCGACCGCGGGGCCGCCGGCGCCGACCACAGGGCCACCGACGCCAACCGCAGGCACACCGACGCCCACACCGACACCGTTCACGCCCACACCGACACCAGGGAGACCGACACCGACACCAGCCACGCCCGGCACACCCACGCCGACACCCACGCCGTGGCCATACAAGCCTGGGCCCACGCCGACTCCCACAACACCGGGAACTCCCACGCCGACGCCATGGATGCCGTGGAGGTGGCCACCGTGAATGTGGCCGAACGTCTGGGCCATCGCTTGTTCCGCGCGCACGCCGTTCGACAGGGCGGCGGCCGCGAAGCACATGGCAACGATCTTGCTGCTGCTCAACATGACTGGAGACTGCTTGGTGTAGACTTGAGCGTGGTCTGGTCTGAGACGACAGGGAGAGCGCTGGCTCTGGTTGATTCGCCTCGAGAGGTTGCGGCTCGAGGGTGAATTGGAGAATGAGCGGAGCTATCAGAGCACTGCTGCAGACAGCGCGGAGCTGCTCCCTCCCTCCGCGCCTGCCCGTCTAGCCTTGACTACGGTAGCGTAAAACGCCGCGATCTGATACAGGCACGCAGGACTTTTGTTGACCATCTCGCCGGGGCAAACAGAGCTCGCGGCAGCCACCGCTGTTTTGTTCACAACGGCAGCACCACGTGTTTCGCGCTTTCGTGTGCTTCGGTCGATCGATCATCTGGGAGGCGATTAATTCGCAGCCACAGTTTCCGCCACGACCCGGCTGCGTACAGCCACTTCAACATCGAGCATACAAAGTTCAGTACAACACAAAATGGTGAGCGTCCGTCCGAATGCCCATCCTTTGTCATAGTTTCTCTCAGATTCATCTTGAGTGTGCCGATGGCGTTTGGTTTCGCTGGCTTGGCACGCGCGCGCGGGCACACACACACACACACACACACACACACACACACACACACACACACACACACACACACACACACACACACACACACACACACACACACACACACACACACACACACACAGGGCGATGGCAACAAAACGAGCAGGAGCGTCTGTACAGTACATATCGGCGTGGAGGGTCCTGGTGGGTTGGCTGCATAAGAAGGTGTAGAAGCTGCTGACTCACAGCTGTGGCGTGCAGAGTGTCTGCTGTGGAGCGTTGACATATTGACGGCCACCTGACTCATGAAGCACGACGTTGCCAATCAAGCAACATCGTATGGAGATCCAGGATCCGGATCTTCGTAGCGCGGGGCCCTAGCATGTTGTACCTGCCTGGTACAGATCCACACACCAGACAGAGACCGATACAGTCAAGAAACCACCAGCAATGTTGAGCAGCAGCAAGTTCGTCGCCGTGTGCATCGTCACCTTAGCCCTGTCCAGCGGAGCGCGCGCAGAGCAGGCCGTGGCCCAGACACTGGTCGGCGGCCCGGGGTTTGTCGGCGTTGGCGTCCCCGGTGTTGCAAGCGTCGGAGTGGGCGGCCTGGGTGTGTACGGCCCTGGCGTCTACGGCCCCGGAGTCTACGGTCCCGGCGTCTACGGCCCTGGTGTCTACGGCCCCGGTGTGGGCGTGGGCGTGGGCGGCTATGGCGCGCCTGCTGCCCCCGCGGCTTACAACAGCTACCCGAGCACGAACGGCGGCGGTGCCACAGCAAGTGCGTCAGCGACTGCGAACGCCAACCGCAAGCTCCGCTCGCAGGAATGAATGGGGAGGCTTCGTACATCTACCCAACCCAACCCAACCCAACCCAACTCACCGAAGCTTGTATTTCCGTGAGCGGTATCAATGTTATCGAGTTTAGTCTCTGTCTACGTAGCAACGAAAGAAATACAAGTCTAGCTTCCTCGTAACCTTACTCCCGTCTAGCTTCCTCATAACCTCACTCTTGTTGTATCTGAAAACGCTCCAGCTACGAAGTGCTACAGGCAGTCTCTCGGCCCGACATGAAGTCGGTACATGTCGATTTTACCGACCCAGCAGACTTTGCACGACACACAATAAAAAAGAAGCAAAGGAGTCACCACTGTAAGATGCACGCTTGTGATTCGGTTTTGAAGTATAGTATTCATACATAGTCGTCGTCAAGTTAGTACCTAGTACGTCAAGTAAGTACCTAGTAGTTGATTTCCCGGCCCGATCTAGACGAGCGCGCACTTACCACACGCTGATCGGTGGCATGGACGGCTTCAGTCCACATCGAAGCAAAGTGTTCGGAAACGTGTAGCCTTTTTGGAAGTCGCAACGCAGGATGGTCGGTCTTCAGCGCGGAAACAAAAACATATCTTGTTGACTGACGCAGTCCACGGTGATAGTAGAGCGGCCACTTGGCATGAGCTCAACGAGATGGAGATGTAGTGACCGAAGGTGAACAAACAAAATACCGTTTGCGGTTTATTCGTAGTGTACCATACTCAAACGCATCGACAATTACCTAATGACACCAAACGTAGGCTGCCCTTGCCAAACCGACCAGAACACGGAGCGACTCCTGATGGACCTACTCTTTCCTTACTCCGAGCGGAGCTTGCGGTACGCCTTCTGAGACGTTGCGCCGGCGCCACCAGTTGCGGTGTTCGGTCCGTTGCTGGGGCCACCGCTTGGTCCACTGCTCGGGCCGGCACTCGGGCCTCCGCTAGGTCCCGCACTTGGGCCACTGCTTGGGCCGGCGCTCGGGCCACCGCTCGGACCAGCGTTCGCGTTCGCAGAGGCGGTCGCAGTCGCACCGCCAGTCGTCTTCGTGGTCGTTGCCGAGGCGGTTCCGTCGCCGTTCGTCGTCGTGACCGTCTGGGCCGGGCCACTGTTGCCACCGGGACCAGCGCCGGCATTGACATTCGCGTTGGCGTTGGCGCCGCCAGCATTAGCGACTGGGGCGGGGGCGGGGCCGCCTGCGTTCGCATTCGCGTTGGCGACCGAGTTGGCAGGAGCGCCGGCATTCGCGTTCGAGACAGCGCTGGCCGGTGCACCGGCGTATGCGTTGGCGTTGGCAGGCGCACCTGCATTCGCGTTGGAGACGGCATTCGCAGGCGCGTTGTATCCGACCGCGGGGCCGCCGGCGCCGACCACAGGGCCACCGACGCCAACCGCAGGCACACCGACGCCCACACTGACACCGTTCACGCCCACACCGACACCGTTCACGCCCACACCGACACCAGGGAGACCGACACCGACACCAGCCACGCCCGGCACACCCACGCCGACACCCACGCCGTGGCCATACAAGCCTGGGCCCACGCCGACTCCCACAACACCGGGAACTCCCACGCCGACGCCATGGATGCCGTGGAGGTGGCCACCGTGAATGTGGCCGAACGTCTGGGCCATCGCTTGTTCCGCGCGCACGCCGTTCGACAGGGCGGCGGCCGCGACGCACATGGCAACGATCTTGCTGCTGCTCAACATGACTGGAGACTGCTTGGTGTAGACTTGAGCGTGGTCTGGTCTGAGACGACAGGGAGAGCGCTGGCTCTGGTTGATTCGCCTCGAGAGGTTGCGGCTCGAGGGTGAATTGGAGAATGAGCGGAGCTATCAGAGCACTGCTGCAGACAGCGCGGAGCTGCTCCCTCCCTCCGCGCCTGCCCGTCTAGCCTTGACTACGGTAGCGTAAAACGCCGCGATCTGATACAGGCACGCAGGACTTTTGTTGACCATCTCGCCGGGGCAAACAGAGCTCGCGGCAGCCACCGCTGTTTTGTTCACAACGGCAGCACCACGTGTTTCGCGCTTTCGTGTGCTTCGGTCGATCGATCATCTGGGAGGCGATTAATTCGCAGCCACAGTTTCCGCCACGACCCGGCTGCGTACAGCCACTTCAACATCGAGCATACAAAGTTCAGTACAACACAAAATGGTGAGCGTCCGTCCGAATGCCCATCCTTTGTCATAGTTTCTCTCAGATTCATCTTGAGTGTGCCGATGGCGTTTGGTTTCGCTGGCTTGGCACACGCGCGCGGGCACACACACACACACACACACACACACACACACACACACACACACACACACACACACACACACACACACACACACACACACACACACACACACACACACACACACACACACACACACACACAGGGCGATGGCAACAAAACGAGCAGGAGCGTCTGTACAGTACATATCGGCGTGGAGGGTCCTGGTGGGTTGGCTGCATAAGAAGGTGTAGAAGCTGCTGACTCACAGCTGTGGCGTGCAGAGTGTCTGCTGTGGAGCGTTGACATATTGACGGCCACCTGACTCATGAAGCACGACGTTGCCAATCAAGCAACATCGTATGGAGATCCAGGATCCGGATCTTCGTAGCGCGGGGCCCTAGCATGTTGTACCTGCCTGGTACAGATCCACACACCAGACAGAGACCGATACAGTCAAGAAACCACCAGCAATGTTGAGCAGCAGCAAGTTCGTCGACGTGTGCATCGTCACCTTGGCCCTGTCCAGCGGAGCGCGCGCAGAGCAGGCCGTGGCCCAGACACTGGTCGGCGGCCCGGGGTTTGTCGGCGTTGGCGTCCCCGGTGTTGCAAGCATCGGAGTGGGCGGCCTGGGTGTGTACGGCCCTGGCGTCTACGGCCCCGGAGTCTACGGTCCCGGCGTCTACGGCCCTGGTGTCTACGGCCCCGGTGTGGGCGTGGGCGTGGGCGGCTATGGCGCGCCTGCTGCCCCCGCGGCTTACAACAGCTACCCGAGCACGAACGGCGGCGGTGCCACAGCAAGTGCGTCAGCGACTGCGAACGCCAACCGCAAGCTCCGCTCGCAGGGATGAATGGGGAGGCTTCGTACATCTACCCAACCCAACCCAACCCAACCCAACTCACCGAAGCTTGTATTTCCGTGAGCGGTATCAATGTTATCGAGTTTAGTCTCTGTCTACGTAGCAACGAAAGAAATACAAGTCTAGCTTCCTCGTAACCTTACTCCCGTCTAGCTTCCTCATAACCTCACTCTTGTTGTATCTGAAAACGCTCCAGCTACGAAGTGCTACGGGCAGTCTCTCGGCCCGACATGAAGTCGGTACATGTCGATTTTACCGACCCAGCAGACTTTGCACGACACACAATAAAAAAGAAGCAAAGGAGTCACCACTGTAAGATGCACGCTTGTGATTCGGTTTTGAAGTATAGTATTCATACATAGTCGTC